AGAATACTCACACCATGGACCTCCAAGGTTAAACTCTACTACGGACCTACAGTGACAATACTGTGAGGGAGGTCAGTAGATATGATTTGATTATATTCTGAATAATTAAGAGTCCTATTTTCTTTTATTTTACCAAGAAAATCAGAACCACGGAATTCATATTCCACAACCTCACTTCTATATAATAGAGTAGCACCCGAAGTGTAATTTTCCCTTGGTCCATGGCTTAAATATGAAAAACTAAATGTTGAAGGTCCATGGAGTGGGTTTTTCATATTTAAGCTCCGTTTGTATCGCGAAAAATGAGTAATTTAGAAAATATTTTTCAAAAAATAATCGTTTGAAATAATTAATAAGTAAAAAATATTTTAATTATCGACAACAACTTATGTCTAAATATTTTTGTTCATTTATTTTTATAAATGATACAAGCGATCAGTTTTAAAAATATATTTTTTAAATCATTAATTTTCCGTAAAAGAAATGATCCTTGTATAAAATAGTTACTCCATCTCCGTCGTAGATTTATGTCAGCTTTTCATATAGTCAATCGGAAGTACAACTACAAAGCAAGTAGTCAATCGGAGTACGAGGACTGCTGCTTGGGAGTATGAGGCTGCCGGATGGCCCCACTTTCAAGCCCCAATTTTAGTCTAAAAAAGTCCGAAGGGGACTTAAGGATTCTGGCTTCGGACATAGTCTAAAAAGTCTGGCTGTCCTTCGGACATAGTCTAAAAAAAGTCCGAAGCCAGAATTAACCCTTCGGACATAGCCTAAAAAAAGTCCAAAGCCAGAATCCTTAAGTCCCCTTCGGACTTCTGGCTTCGGACTTTTTGTCTAAAAGAAGTCCGAAGCGAGAATCGGGAATCGGGTCTTTGTCTAAAAGAAGTCGGAAGCCAGAATCAGGAATCGGAAGCCAGAATCAGGAATCGGGTCCGATTCCTGATTCTCGCTTCGGACTTCTTTTAGACAAAATCGGATTCTGACTTCGACAGAGTCCGAAGCTAGAAGTTTCGGACTTCTGGCTTCGGACTTTTTTTAGAAAAAGCACCCAAATTATTGATTGAAAGTGGTGCCATCCGGCAGTCCTCATACGCCCTATTTTATTGGAAACTCTCACTCGATGTGGGTTTTTCATAGTTTGGTGTGACAAACCCCACCCAGTTCTCATTTTCACCCAAGCAAGGAAGAGATTGGCGAGGCAAAGTTGGAAAGTTAATGGCGAACAACAATCCAGCTGATCACCGTGGTAGGAGGTAAGCTTGGGTGATTTCAAACATATCTTGACTGCTGTAGCCCAGTCTCCGTAGGTCAGTTGGAGAACTGCGAGTGAAATAATGCCAAATCTTGATATCCTGTCCTGTTTCTATCTTTAATCATGTCCGTTGCGAGTGAAATAATGCCAAAACCTGCACTCTACGTAATACAGGTTCTGGAACTCTGAACTTGGGTCAGTGGCTTGCCCGTGGAAAATGGCCTGTTTCTCGCGTAAGATTATGATAGTCAGATCATTACACCAATTTGTACCATCCAGATTTTTTCCTCTATTCTTTTTTTAGCTTTTGTTGATTGAGATGTTCATAATGACTTGACTCTCAAAGAGCAGAAATGGGCTCTACTCAGAACAGAGCAAGTACTTCGGGGAATATCTGGTGGATGCAAATTGACTTGTTTCTTCGCATTTCCTGGATTAGGGTAGCTGTGTCATACCACCCAGATATTGTCTTCTATTATTTTGCTAATTGATCCAGGTTTTTATTCTCGCTGTTCATAATGACTCGACTCTCAGAACAGAGCATGGTGGCTTGTGCTCATACTGAGTATATTCAGTGGGTGTAAATCCGTCAAAAAGTAAGAATGTTTCTTGAAGTCATCGGCCCCTTTTTTTGTGTGAATAGATAAATTTTCATGATATCCGTTCGGGAGTTGAATACAGTAGGACTCATACCAGGAACAATCCCACTCAAGTATGCACACCATTAAAACAGCTGAGTTTGTCCGAGGAAAGTGAAATCCATAATAGCTGCCATGTCTTTTTAAAAATCACGAGGCTGGAAAGAAGGTGAGTGTGGAGGACTGCGAGTGTGCTGTCTCCATTTCCTCTCGTGAAAAAGAACTTCCTATCTCTTATGATGTCTCTGTGTGTGTTTCATCACGTTTATGCTGTTTTATTAGGAAACAATGTACTTAGATCAGGTGAATTCGTCATTTCCACTGTTTCATTCTGAAACCATGGTACAAGCGCGAATCGCTCATATGTTTTTCTTTGTTAATCTATCCGTATGCTTATTCTTGATCCTTATTGTCTAGGCTTCTGCGAAAGACAGTTTTTTTTTTGTCCAGATCTGCCAAAGACGGTTGACTAACAAGTAATTCGCTGATTTTTATTCCCAGGAATGTGTTAGAGCATGCAGCTCAAGTTAGTGGAGGACTTGATTCCCTCGTCAATGCTTTGCGTCAGCTCATCAGGGACAGGCATAGTTCTATAGGTCCGGCCAACATTTTCAATGCACCAGGCATTACGCTTATCTGTGAAGCGATCAAAATCATTCGGCAAAAATTAATCTTTGAGATGGGAAGGCCAGATCTTGACCCAAGTTTTCGACTTGCTTTTGCTGTGATGGCTGTTTTTCTTGGATGTGTCGAGTGCGGTCTCCTATTGTGTGTCCTGCTTGGCGACTTGCCTTTGCCTATCTTTGTTGTTTGCGTTTTAATGTTGGTAGGCCCATTCGTGTTCGTCGCGAATTGAAGGAATAATTGGGACGACAGTTTACAGATTTTATGATGTGGTGACGTGTTCTTTATATGAATTTGATTTGCTCAGTAACCTTCCAATGCTGGGTCGGATATGAACCTCATGTTGTATTATTTACGTTGAACACCTTTTACACAACATAGTAGAATAAATTATGATGACGATTACAATTCTTTCTGGTGCAAATTCCTCTGCAGTTAAGCGTGTTTTGAGCTAGTTTAAGCATAGCTCGGGAGAGTTCCCACCAGCCCCTTCCCGGTAAGGCAGTTTTAAATCTTTTGCTAGAGTGCCAGTTTTAGTTTTGAGTCCTAAGTGCATTTAGGTCCATTACTGCCCATTGGATCCAGATGCATTGGAAGATAAAGCTCATGGAGTTGCATTACCAGTAAAAAGAACTAAGAAATGGTGAAATTGGAGAAACAGGGCAAATTTTTCCTTTGGGCCAGAGAGAAACAAGGGAAATGAGAGTATATAAAAAGAATCGCATACTCTCATTCACTATTCTTTTGTTTCGGATACACGCTTTGTTAGTTTGATATAGTTTATAGCTTGTTCCTTATATTACAAAATCAGCAATCTCCACACAACAAAATTCAAACTAAAATAGCTAATTGGATAGCTCACAAGTTATAAATAATTTGTTCAAATGGACTACGCACATACAGCAAGCTGGACAGGTTCAAGCTTGATTCGTTAGGGCGCGCATGGAATCCATTCTGGAGCAAAATTTCTGCTCCAGAATGCATTCCGGAACAGAAATGCGTTTGTTAAAAAATTTCCGAAATGCATTCCAGAGGAATTTTTGCATTCTGGAGCAAAAACGCGTTTGGTAAAAATACATTCTTTTTTTGGTTCCAGAATGAGTTTTTGCTTCCAGAATGTGTTTTGGGCCAAAAAAAAGAAGCTAGTTTTTGTAGCTTCTTGATTCCAGAATGCATTCTCTCTATTTTCTCACAATTTTTTTTTTCAGAAAATGCATAAAAATTGAAAAATTCTAGAAAAATTCATAAAAATTTCCAGAAAATAAAAAAAAGTCAGATTTCGGGAAAATATGAAATTTGGTGAATTTTTTTTAAAAAAATTAAAAAAAATCAAAAATTTCAAAACTTCACAGAATAACTTAAAATACATGTGGCCACCCACTTTGAGTGAAATTTAAATTTTTTGAGGTACCAAAAAAAAATCAAAAATTTCAAAACTTCACAAAATGGCTTAAAATACCTGTGGCCACCTACTTTGAGTGAAATTTAAATTTTTTGAGGTGCCCAAAAAAAAGAAAAAAATAATAAAAAAATAAAAATTTTCAAAACTTCACAAAATGACTTAAAATACCTGTGGCCACCCACTTTGAGTGAAATTTAATTTTTTTGAGGTGCCCAAAAAATTAAAAAATAAATAAATAATTTCAAAACTTCACAGAATGGCTTAGAATATTTGTAGCCACCCACTTTGAGTAAAATTTAAATTTTTTGAAGTGCCCAAAAAAATAAAAAAATAAAAAAATTCAAAACTTCACAAAATGGCTTAGAATACCTGTGGCCATCCACTTTGAGTGAAATTTAAATTTTTTTAGTTGCCAAAAAAAATTTAAAAAAAATCAATAATTTCAAAACTTTACAGAGGCTTATAATACATATGGCCACCCACTTTGAGTAAAATTTAAATTTTTTTAGGTGCAAAAAAAATCAACAAATCAAAACAAATTTCTGTTCCAGAAATCAATTTCTGGAGCAGAATTAGTCATGTTTTACCAAACAGATTTCTCCTCCAGAAATCAATTTCTGGCAAGAATTCCAGAAATCAATTTCTGGCAAGAATTTGATTTCTGGAGCAGAATGGTTACCATTCGCACCTTTACTCGCCCACCCAATAAGATAGCTAACCAGATTAACAAAGCTCCGTTTTGATCACTGTCATTGTGCTTTTGAGACTAGTCTACCAAAATTACCTAATAATTTCATTCATAAATCACTCGTAATGTCACAAGGCCAAACAATGACGATGGTCATGTGTGCATTCAATGTATTTTATTGCATCACATGATAATAAAATGACGAATGAAACCGATTGTGATTTAGGTTTTTAAATCCATGTAAAAAAATTGCTTTATTCCCCTCGAGTAAAAAGAGTACACGCATGTGTGTGAAGAAAACATTTAAATGTGTAGAGAGAGTTAAATATAAAAATAAAATTAATATAGGAAAAAAATTTAAATGACTGTAAGATTAAATTCGATGCTAGTAAGTAAGATAATTAGAGGATTATATCTTAACTATTTATAAATTACAATTTTGTCCATTTTGTTATACTATGTCACTATGATATAAAAAGTCACGTCTACTGGGTTGCCGCTATGAGCACACGGCACAAACTCATCCGCAGGATCCATCCACAGCTGAGTGTGCAGCAAAGAGTCGTTCTCTGCAACCAGAATCCGAACCATGATATTCTTCTCCATATTCGATTGAAAAGAATGAAGTTAATCTCTACCTTTGGTAGGATCAATGTAGCTTTGGAACTCAACAGCTTTCCCACCAAATTCACTTGCAGCATCAGAAGGATCGGAGTTGCGTTCCGTTGCAATGATAGTAATTTCCTGAAGGGATGACTGAAAATTTGCAAGCAATCTCTTCAGATCACGAGGCCTCACTACAAAATTGCTTGGGTGTCTTCTCATATCCAGAGCTAAATGTTGTATGTCGGGGTCAACATTGCAAGTAATCCAGTATGTTTTCTTAATGCCTGCATACATATCACAACATCACATATGCATGAACAAAAACTCACAGTTGGCGCAGTGGGATAAACATGTATCTCTGCATGGTGCAGCTTCTTATCATATTAATGCAGGTTTGACAGGTGCCAGCCTCCGATTTATAATGCAGTTAGATAACATACTGAATAGCATGTAGTTAGCATGACTGAATCAAAGACTTAAAATGTTAAGTGGCCAAAAAAAAAAAAAGCAGAAGTGGTAGACATCGGAATCTAATTTTTAAAAATGAACTAACCCGTTTCCTTATTTGAATTCGTTGGCATTATAGGTCATATTGGGGCACTGCAAAATCCGTTCAACAGAGTTCACTCTGCTTTTACATGATGAGAAATTAGAAAAACCTCGTCTCCGTGGACAAGTATAACATGATGTATAAATGCTTCTCACAGCATTTTGCAGTCATTTTCTCTCAATGAACATGCCAGTTTCAAGACTTCATTTCTGCTGTTTTTCCATAGATCTGGAGCTAGATTACTTTTAGGGGGAAAAAGAAATCCGCTTACTTTTCCCTAGGGAAAATTGTCAAATCAGTCCTAAACCTATTGTACGGCGGTCAATTCAGTCCTAAACCTTTTAATTTTGCCAATTCAGTCCTAAACCTTTCTAATTCTTGCCAATTCAGTCCTTCCGGCCAATTTTGGCCGGCCGGCACCGGCCGTCCGGCCAACGCTGACTGACAATTTTTTTTTATTTTTTTTAAAATTTTTAATCTTTTTTTTTTTCGGTTTTTTTTTCTTTTTTCTTTCTCTGGCCGGTCCGGCGACCAACGGCCGGCCAGAGGGGAGGGCCGGCGAGGTCGACCTCGCCGGCCTCGCCGCTATTGAGGCGAGGCCGACCTTGCCGTTGCCTGGGTCGCGATGGCGAGGTCGAGCCTCGCCAGATCTGGGCGAGGTTCGACCTCGCCGTCGCGACCCAGGCGACGACGAGGTCAGCCTCGTCGCTGCTAGGCGAGGCGAGGCCCAGCAGCGACGAGGCCGACCTCGCCTCAGCAGCGGCGAGGCCGGCAAGGTCGACCTCGCCTCAGCAGCGGCGAGGCCGGCGAGGTCGACCTCGCCGGCCCTCCCCTCTGGCCGGCCGCCGGTCGCCGGACCGGCCAGAGGAAGAAAAAAGAAAAAAAAACAGAAAAAAAGAAAAAAAAAAGATTAAAAATTTTAAAAATAATAATAATAAATTGCCACGTCAGCGTTGGCCGGACGGCCGGCGGCCACGTCAGCGCTGGCCGGCCAAAATTGGCCGAAAGGACTGAATTGGCAAGAATTAGAAAGGTTTAGGACTGAATTGGCAAAATTAAAAGGTTTAGGACTGAATTGGCCACCGTACAATAAGTTTAGGACTGATTTGACAATTTTCCCCTTTTCCCTATGTGTCACAAGCTTGCAATCTTAACCATCAAATACACCATTAACAACCTAATGAATTCAGAGCACCATGCACACAACTGAAAGGTCTTTACCATTGAAGCACTGCAGAGCCCATTGAACTTTTGATGCATTGATGTCTGGTAATTGCACGCTCAGATAATCAATGTTTGTAACAAGTGTTCTAAGGACAGAACAGACTGCCTGCACAGAGTATTTTCTAAGTATTTTGCACAGAGGATTTTTATTTTGTAAGTTGCTTGCAACCATACCTTTGAAAGAACACTGCATTGAACCTGTGCACCAAATACTATAAACACATCAAAGAGGTCTGGCTTGAAGGCATTCAATTGATAGACAGATCTTGACGAATTGAGTGCGTGAAAGGAAAGCTGGAGGTTGAATACAAATATCATAATCTTAATCTGATATCCACAAGTAAGAAGGTGATATTTGTACACAGATCAATACTATTTCTATTCCAGTTTCAAATAAGCACAAATAGTGCCAAGTGCCAGGCATGAGCTTAAAACTTGAAACTTCTATTGTTGTTTGGTAGTTAAATGCGACGAAGCAAAAGGAAGTCATGGAAAAGTATGGTCATGTGAGAGTTATGCTAGCGAATGCAATCATGCTTTCACTTATCGAGTGTTGCAAGCCTCCATACAAGACCGGGCGGGGGTTCGGGGGGGCCGCCCCGGCTGGTGTCGCGGGGGCAGCGCCCCCGGGCCGCCAAAGGCATTTTATGTTCAGTCATAGAAGGATTTATATGGGAAAGTTAAATATTTTAGGCTATGTGGGCAACTTTGTAATTTGTGCCATGTAGGGTTTCGCTATATATATTTAGAGTGAATCAGGTCTCTAAATATAGAGAGCAGGGTGTGAGAAAGAGTGGCTATATACTTTTCTATGTTATTAGTGTAACGGATCTCATCTCCCCGTGGACGTGGGTAGGTGGAACATCTCCCCTGCTGAACCACGTAAATTCTTGTGTTGTGCGAATTTCCATTACTTTCTTGCATCATTGATAGGATCGAATTTAGATATTCGACAAGAAATAAATATCATTTGGCTCGAGGTGCCAGGATTCTGTCCGAATTTGGAATTTGATGATTCTTTACAACTATTTTACTATATATCAAAGTCTCAATGGAGCATTAATATAGAAACGATAAAATAATGGTGTCATAGTATAACGAACTTTTTTTTTAGTATAGATTTATTGCCAAGTACTAGTTACATGTGCAAAATGCAATAGTCTAATTATAATCAGGAATATATATCATAATTATTCATGTAATTGAAAAATAAAAACAAAATATAAGATTACAAAAGTTTAAAGATAATTAAAAGAAATATTAAGGAGCCAGGAGATTCGAACCCGGCGCCCCTCCTCTCGGTTGCGTTTTCAAACGCTGGCCCCACAATTTGGTTGTGCCAAATTCTGATCATTTTGCTTTTTGTCATATAAAATATGCAGTCGCTATAAGTGGAACTTGGTATGACGAATGAGGCATGACGTCAGAGATGGCTTCTTTATTCTGTGATGCTTCGCGGTAACTTACCTTGTCAGACCAAAACTTAGACAGTCCATGATTTTCTTCTGCCGCTTGGTGTTCTATTCATCCAGCCATTTTAACATTCGAACTTCTCGGTGCCTGTATTCTCTCTTGCCCTTTTCAGAGACACCATTACAATCAACATTCTCATTAGCAAAGCCCTCCACGGACACAACAAGGATTGACACTCCTCTTGACCTTAGGATCAATTCGATATGAAAAGAATCATATGTGCAAGTTTCTCTGCATGTGGATCGTCTTTTATAACTTGTTCAAATTGTGTGAAATAGTATATTGATTTGTCACTTAATCAATAATTTCTGTCTGCATTTGAAGAAAATATTGAAACCGGGATCGGAAGTCGGGTAAGGACTAAATAATCGTATGATAAAGTACAAGGACCAAGATTAAATATCGACAGTAATACAGGGACCTTTATGTAATATCTTTTGCATAATTATTTTTTCATTCCACGTTAGTGCCGCTTGTATACCTCTGGTGTTTAATTAGCATATTCCGCCGACAATTGGCCAGTCATTTAAATTTTTCCTCAAATGATGATTGGAGATTATATTTTGGACCCAATCTATCTCAAGATAAAGTATGATGACCAAAATTGAATAGTTGCAATAGTACAAGGATCATTTTTGTAATTTTTCCTAATATATTTTCCAATACTTTTATGTTTTCGTTTTCTCGTTGATCATTATTCATGTTCTATTCAATGCAAAACATTAGTCTATTCATTAATACTAAACTCGCAAGCCATGCGACTAGTTTTCTATTTCAATTTAGGATGCTGAGACTACTTTGTAAACTATGAGTTACGCTGATGTGATAATTTATAAATAAATATTTAAATAAATTTTTCTAAGTATTATTTAAAAAAACAAACCGACGCCACCAAAAAAAGTCGTAACCCTAGGTCCAAATTTTATCTTCCCATCTCAAAGATTAATTTTGCTGGACAATTTTGACCACTGTATAAATAAGCATGACATGTGCTCGAGCAATGTTGGTCGGACTGATATGGGTATAGATGTCCCTGATGGCTCCAAGTAAGGACTCCTCCATAGAATCAAGATGTTGGTTATCCATTCTAGCAATTTGAGCTCTATGCTGTGCTCCATATCAAGGAATTAAAATCAACAAACTACTTGTTACACAACAGTCTTTTGCAAAAGCGGAAATTATCGGGACAGGTGTCCACGACTCATGTATTAAGCACATTTTATCATGTATTTCCAAAAATGAAATATATTTTAATACTTCCCTTGTACGTAAACCGGACATTGCACATGATATATGGGATGTGAGAATTCGAACTCTTTAAGTACTACAGAAGACAATGGTTTTCCTAATATATATGGTCATTGAGATACAAGTCTAAAATGAACATCACGCACATTTCTTAATACATGTACTCGCGTGAACACGTAAACATTTAAATTTAAAAAGAATTTTAATGCGTGGTATGATTATTACACTATACTTCTTGTGTAATATGGCATCGCTGCTGGAGTATATCCTGTATGTGCATTGCAAGGATGGAGCTAGCAAGTTTTCACAGTGGATGGATTAACATAGAGATGTTAATTGATCGGGATTTAATTAATTCTATTTTATTATTTTCAGCTATAATAAATGAATGAAATTGTGACGAATTGGGTCAAATTCTAAGCATGATTCAAATGCAAGACCCAAAAAATGCAAAACATAATATGAGTTATCATGGGTCAGGGATAGCAAAAATGAATCTCTGGTGGGGTCAAAGGTCAAATAACAAGAAAAACAGACTAAGATTGCTTGCTAGACAACACAACAACTAAGCAAGAAAAGGAAGTCAGTGGGGACAGAGTTTTGTCCACACTGATGATTCCGAGGCACTTGTAGGAGTGTAATCACCTGCTAGGAAAAATGATATAAACAGTTCATGAATTTTGATTCAATGTGCAATTTGATCAACTATATTGAACATTTTCATATAGTTCAGGGACTAAATTGAACATGTATAAAAAATCCATGGACCACATTGAATAAATTAAAAGTTCATGGACCATATTGAATATTGGCTAAAGTTTAGGGATTATATTGAATAAATTAAAAATTCATGGATCAAATTGTACATTGGACCAAAGTTCATGGACTATTTGTATCATTATTCCTCACCTACTACTGATCCACGATTAATTAGGTAAAAGGAAGATTTGTCTTCCGACAAAATGTATTCTACAAATAAAGTTTATTGCAAGTCTTATCATTTCTGAGGTGGAAAAGCTACTGAGACTTCTAAATAAAAGTCACTATTAATATAAGAGTTTCTCTTAACAAAAGAAAGAAACGAAAAAACTTAGGCAAAAAAAAATGTAGTTTTTCTTAACAAAAGAAAGCAAGAGAGTGAATGTGCAGTGCCTCTTTAGAGAGAGTCCCACCTCTCTTAGGAAGAGAATTAAACAAATAGTTCAAGAGGATCAAACAAATAATTGTTATTTGTTCAAGAGGATTAAATAAATTGCTAACAGATTAATTGTCTAAAAAGTTATAAATCTATTGTACGACGGTTAATTCAGTCCTAAACTTTTCAATTTGGCCAATTTAGTCCTCAACATTTAAACAATTTTCCATTGTAACCCATCCGGCCAATTTTGGCCAAACACGTCATATCGCCGGCCATGCTAAGTAGGACGTCCGATGCTGACTGGACTACCATGCCAATAATTGCTGATCAAAATTGGCCGGATAGACAAAACTGGAAAATTGTCAAGCCAAATTAAAAAGTTTGGGGCTGAATTGGCCGCTGTACAATAACTTTTGTATTTTTTTGGATGAATATTCTAAGAATTTGCATTTGGTGATGATAAGAGAATTAAAAATATAGTTCACGAGGATTAAACATAGAATTGTCATTTGTTCAAGAGGATTAAACAAATGATTGCATCTGGTCCTCCACATTTGGTGATGGCAGGATCATTAAACAAATAGTTCAAGATGAGTACCAGTAATTGTCTTTTGTCCAAGATGATCGAGAAGGAGGAGGATGAAGGACAGTGACTACTATGAAAAGTTTGTCACAAATGTCAAAACACATAAACTTAAAGACAGTGACCATTGTGGTCACTGTCTTTAAGTTTATGTGTTTTGACATTTGTGACAAACTTTTCATAGTAGTCACTGTCCTTCGTCCTCCTCACAAGGTAAACTAGTCTATAGTTTGTGACAAACTATATGTTTAATTCTCTGTCACAGCAATTTCCACCATCGGTCTATAAATATGTCTGCTCAACTCGCGCCATGCTCAACTCGCAGCCTCGCAGCAAGTTTTATTTTAGACAAGGAAGGAAGAGAGTAATCACTCAAAGCTTGGAGATTTAATGGCAAACAACTATCCAGCCAATCACGGTGGTCGGAGGTAAGCTCACTAGTCCACCTCCTTCAATTAGTTGGAGAGGACTGCGTGTAAAATCGTGCAGTATTGAGTTCCTTCCCTGAAAAAGAACTTCCTATCTCTGACCATTTTCCCTGCGTGTTTCCATCAAGTAAATGCTGTTTTATTTGGAAACAATGTGTACTGTGCATAAATCAGGTGAACTCATCCTTTCCAATGTTGCATTCGAAAACCATTGCCCCGTTTTTGCTTACTTTGTTAATTGCTTCATGTGTTTACTATTGATCCTCATTGTTCGAGCTTTTGTCAAAGACTGGTTGTCTAACAAGTAGTTTACTTACTTTAATTCCAAGAAATGGAGCAGAGCACGTGGCTCAAATTGCTGCAGAATATAATCAACAGCTTGATTCCTTGGTGGAGGCCTTGCTTCAACTCATCCGGGAAAGGCATGGCTTTGCAGGTCCTACCAACATTATCGATGCACCTATCATTATGCTTATCTGTGTAGCGATCAAGATCGTCCGGCAGAAATTACTCTCTGAGATAGCAAGGCAAGATATGGACATAAGGTTCCGACTTGCGTATGCTCTGATCGCTCTAACTCTTGGATGTGTTGTGTGCAGTCTGTTGATGCACATTCTGCTTGATGAAATTCCTTGGCTGATTGACTTTCCATGGGTCCTACTGTTGGTAATCTTATTCGCATTCATCGCGAATGAAAGGATTAATTAGCGAATGGTGATAGTTTCTGACTTTTTGATGTGGTGATGTGTATTTTATATGAATTTGGTTTTGCTTTGTCACCTCCCAACGCTGGCTTGGACATGAACTTCGTGGTGTATAATTACCTTGAACATCTTTTACATCACAAAAGCAAAATAAATTATGATGTGGATGATTACGATCCTTCCTGGTGCAATTCGAAATTGAGAAATGATGAAATTGGAGAAACAAGGCGACCTTTTATTTTTGGGCCAGAGCGGAAATAATTCAGCGCACATACGAAAGAATTACATAATCCTTATTCTTTTGTTTTGGATATACATATTGTGGGTTTGATATAGTTTACAACCCGTTCCTCATATTACGAACTCAGCAATCTCTATGCAACAAATTTCAAACTAAAGTAGCTAAATGGATTGCTCACGAGTTCTAAGTAACTTGTTCAACTGAACTCCACAAGGAGAGCAAGATGGACAAGTATAAGCTTGATTCATCACCCACCCGCCCGATAAAATTATAAACCCTAATTAATGAAGCTCCGATTTGATCATTATCATTGTTGTTATTATACTGGTTCACCAAAATTACATGGTAATCTTGTTCATACATTACTTGGTGATGTCACAAGGTACTCATGCCTAGTGCATGGCCGAAAATCGACGGCCATGTGTGCATAACTACAACAGATGAATTAAGCCGATTGATATTTAGGTTCTTAAATCCACGCGGAAAGTAGCATGAGTAAGATTTAAATTCAATGTTAATTTTCAAGAAATTCAGACGTTAATATCTTTAACGTGCATTAACATGAGTATGTCATTGGACTTGTTTTCTGTAAGGTACTGATTAACCGGCACTCACTCCATGGAAAAATCGATTAAATTCCCTTTGTCTAGCATGGGCCATACATATTCTCTAGTATGGGCCTAATCATTCTCAACGTTCCAGTGCAATAGGGAATCTGGGGCTGAACCGGCCCGCCCCATTGAGGATCGGATCTCTTTCGGGTCATAGGCTAATGCGAGCTTTAGAGGACTGCAATATCCGTTTGACACGAAGTTCCTGCTTTTCTTACATTATGAGAATATGGAGAAGTTCTTCTCCATGGCACGTATGAAGTGATGATACTCATTGTAGCATTTTGCAGTGACTTTCCCTCATTTTAGGCTGTTTTTACATATAAGGGGAGCGAGATTATTTTTAGGGGGAAAAAGGAATCTACTTATATTTCCATCTTTGCCCACAGGTTTGCAATCTTAACTATCAAATACACCATTTCCAACCTAATAGACTCAGAGCACTATGCACGCAACTGAAAGGTCTTTCCCCGTTGAAGCGCTGCAGAATCCATTGAACTTTTGATGTATGTCTGGTAATAGCACGCTCAAATGATCGATCTTTGTAATCGGTAATCTAAGGACAAACATATCATAAAGATGAGCAATGACACTAGACCTTCAATAGGGGCAAAGTGTCTGAATAGTCATACATTTATTTCATTTTTACCAATTTAACCCTAAACTTTTTGACCTAGAGCCAATTCAGTCATTCTGATTAATTTCGGCTGGATATCACTGACGTGCATGCCGACCGACCTACGTGGCATAGCCAGTGCTGACGTAAACAACTTTTAATAATATTTTAATATTTTTTTGAATTAATTTTTCTTTTCTTTTCTTTTCTTTCATTCTCTTCCTCCAACCGGTCATTGGATCTCGGTGATCGGCCAGAGGCCACCTCGTTGGCCACTGGGGAGGCTCGCCATCGCTAGTGACGGGAAGGTGAGCCTCACCATGGCTGGGTGAGTCTCGATCCTGCCAGATCCGGTGAGGTCGGGCCTTGCCCAGTCAATGACGAGGCTTGAGCCCTCGTTAGAGGCCGCAAGGTCACCTTGCCCATGGCCAGCAAGGCTTGACCTCGCTAGATCCAACCAGGGCGAGCCTTGCCAGCCTAGCGTGAGGCCGCCTCTGCGGCCATCCAGCAAGGGCAAGCCTCACCCATGGGCGACAAGGTATAGCGACCGGATGGAGGAAGAAAGACGAGAACGGAAAGAAAAAGAAAGAAAAGGAAAAAGAAAATCAAAAAAGTATTAAAATATCATTAAAAGTTGTCCACGCCGGTACCAGTCGTGCCACTTAGGTCGGCTGGCGTTCACGTCAGCAATATTCGACCAAAATTAGCCGGACGAACTGAATTGGCATTAGATCAAAAGGTTTAGGACTAAATTACAACAATGCACAAGATTTAGGACTTTTATAATACTTTTACCCCTTCAATAGAATTTGCATTCATGGCCATTCGGTAGTTAAATGCGGCATAGGAAAAGGAAGTCATAAATAGTGTTAGAGATGTATTCCCTTGATTCTGTATATCTCTCGGGATCACAATCCTAATTGATTGTAATTGATATTGTTATATTATGTTAGTATATATAATCATCTTGTAAAGCCTATAAAGAGGCTCATGTACTATTTACCGTAATATATTGAAATTCCACAACTCTCTTTTGTTCCACAACCCGAACATATGGGAAGGCAAGACATGGACCCTAGATACTGACTAGCATACGCCCTCATCTCTATTATTTTCGGATGTGTCATGTGTAGCATGCTAGTGTACATTTTGCTCGACAACGTGCCTTGGTAGATTTTTGTTCCACGTACTAATGTTGGTTATCTCACTCGCATTCATCATGAATCCGATTTGGTGAGGATTCACTAGCAAATGGCGTATTGTTGTGCTATATGTCCTGTCAATGCTGGTTGGACACTCACCTCGTGTTCTATTATTACATTCAAAGCAAATTATCTGATGATAATGATGATAGTTTCACTTGAGATCCCCGTGCAATTCAAAATTGATAAAATATTGGAGAAACTGCGCAAGTTTTCTTTGGGCTATAGAGAAATAAGGGAAATGTTTCAGACTCATAGTATATCAGAAAGAAACACGCATCCTAATTCACAATTCTTTTGTTTCGGATCTGTGCATTGTGAGTTTGATATAGTTTATAGCGAAGTCAGCAATCTCTATGCAACAAAATTCAAACTAAAGTAGCTAAATGGACAGATCACATGTTCTAAGTAACTTGTTCAACCGAACTACCCATGCGGAGCAAGCTGGATAAGAACAAGCTTGATTCACCACTTGGATAAGATAATTAACTGGTTGCGATTTAATCACTATCGCCATGCCTTTGAGACTGGTTTGCCAACATTACTCGATAGCTTCATTCATACATTACTTGGTTTTGTCACGAGTTACTCGTGGCGAGTGCATGGCCGGACAGCGGCATGATATTTATTTTACTACATCGCATAATGATAATAGAGAATCAAGCCGATCGAGATTTAAAATTTGAAACCCACGCAAAAAGTTGCTTTTTTTGCGCTACTACAAAAAGAGAAAATGCATGCGTGTGGAAAAAATAAATTAAATCTATAAAAGTAATATAGTGAAAAAATTAAAATGAGATCCACGTTCGATGTTCGCTCATAAGATATTTAACGTATTATATCTTAACCATTTCTATTCCAATTTTGTCCATGTTGGTGTACTATGTCCCTATGATACATCTGAAAAAAAAAAAGAAATAAGCATTACATGAAGTGTTTTGTAAAATTTTGAGGTTGAAATCCTCACTGGATTTGTTTTCCGTAAGTAGAGATTAACTGGCACTCCATCCATGGAAAATCAATTAAATTCCTTTTTGTAGCTTGGGCCATGAATATAATTTCTCTAGTACGGGTCGAACTGTTCTCAACGTGCTCGTGCAGCAGGGATTTCGGGCCTGGGCCGGCCCGCAGCATCGCGGGTCGGATCTGTTTCGGGTCATAAGAGAGGACTAGGGTTTAGGCTTCTGACCCCCGTATAAAATCCCCAAATTCACGTTCACGCCTCGTCGCTTCTCTCGCCTGCTGCCGCCGCTGCACTGCTCTCGATCCTCCTCCGCCTGAATTCCGGTAATTCTTCATCCCTCTGAATACGCCGTTCACTCCAGATCGCGATGCTTTCATGTGGGTTTCTTTTTCGCTTTTGCATACGATCGAGTGGATCGATTGATTTTTGTAGAACGGAAGCTGCATTTGACTGGTATCCTCTGTTTCTTGAACTTTTGAATTGATCGTTGCCGAATTGCTGGTTACAGTGATGAAGCGTCAGCTTGAACCCGCTTTTTTTCCGTTTCTTGAGGAATTTAGCTTTGCATCTTGGCGATGATGAATCTGCGTTGGTCTTTAAAGTAGTACTTTGTGCTTTGGCTTGGAAATGTTGTGATTTGGCTCTCCGTGTGATCGTTGTTTAGAAATTCTCCATATGGGGCTATGTATTGGTGCAAATTATGCAGCATCCCATTTGGTTGATTGTCGTTCTATTTTGGCATTCGATTTTTCGCAAGATGGAGCTTGCGTCGATGTTGAAGTAATGCTTTTCGACTTTGCCTGATTAGGTGATTGAGCAAGGGATTTGAGGGTATCGAAACGGTCATCCAAGATGCAGAACGAGGAGGGTCAAAACATGGATCTTTACATCCCCAGGAAGTGGTATACCATCAGTCCCTTTCTAAGTTTGCCATGACCATCTACTTTTTTTGTTGAATTTTTTAATTGATGCCTTTCCTTTTAACGCCTCCATCGCAGCTCTGCCACAAATAGGCTCATTACTTCTAAGGATCATGCCTCCGTGCAGATCAACGTCGGGCACTTGGGCCCTGATGGAGTCTACACTAACCAGTTCACCACATTCGCCCTCTGCGGTTTCATCCGAGCACAGGTATGTCTTGCCGCTCTGCTGTTCGAGCTATTCTCTGTATGTGATTGTTAACTGTGACTCGTTTTCGATTCTTCTTCGTGCTGGAAGCAAGCAAGGCACTAACTGTGTTAGATGCAGCTGTTGATTTCTATCTTTTTGACATTGTTCTTATGTATTGGTTTTGCGATCAGAATGTTGAGATTGTTTGGTTCTTGTCGTTACAAAATGTTATATAATTTCTTCTCTTTCTTGGTCCTAAAGAGAGATATAAAAAAGTAGAAATCCAAATTTGCTGCACTTTAGTAATTGGAGACTCAGTTTCTTATTTGCAAGTGGATTCCCTCACAGGGTTTATCATGCCTAATAAAAACATTAACTCATGATCAACTCTCGCTAGATCTCTATGACCCGCTTTCATGTGCACCGCCCTCGTTACCATATGCTGCACTTTGTTCTTGTAATAAATTTCTCCTTTTTATGGGGTCCGGGCTTGTTAATTGGTCTTGTCCTCATTCTCGTGCACATACTATCTATTTTGCAGGGTGATGCTGATAGTGCCATTGATAGGCTCTGGCAAAAGAAGAGGGCTGAAATTCGACAATAAACCATTTTGTAGTGGGTTTTTGAATTGGCTGGCTCTTTTTGCCATGAAATATAGTGGTCGCAAGTACATTTGTTTCTTAGTGGCTTTACTTTAGGCGAATTTACATTTGCTCTTGTTCTTAACCTGCCTCTACCTTTGCTTAGTAAGCTGTTTTCTTTTGCGTATTGAAAATCCGATGAACTTTTATTAGTAGTTTAATGGATGTGTTTTGCAACTCGGATTCTTTAAGAACCACAACTTGTAGTACTTGAACTCAAGTATGTGGTCTTTGCACATCGTGATAACCTCTTTCCTTGCAGTTGGTATCTATCTTGCTCGCAAGTAGATGCTCATTGGATATTTAATGATCGTCTACTTCCTCTTTGCAAACGAGGCCCGGCACACTTGCAACAAAGGGATGGTATATCATATTCATCATGCTCATTCGGCAACTCCATGAACTTGATTACATTGTTTTGCCTTTTCTGTTGACCAACGAAGTTGCTTTCATCGGTTTTTCTCTTTGTGCTTAGCATATGCTCATTGAAATTGATGCTCTGCCTACGTACATACATACATATCAAAGCTTCTCTGTCCTCATGATGTTGTGAAAGCATTAAAGGTGTCTTAGTACTTAAAATGAAAGATGAGGACCTTTCATTGAACCACGGCAAAAAATGTTCGAAGATTAGTTTAGGACCGAATCTGTTTCGGAATATAGTATAGGGTTCAAAATTGAACCGTGCTAATTTATTTTCCCTCAAGATTTTTTTGCCTCTGCTTAAGTAGACTTTAAATGGCTGTCCACAGTCTGCAGAAATATGAGAAAAACTATTGTTATAGTGAAAAATTGCATAAATGCACGTATTTGCATGGAGTTGACAAATCCTTCATATCATCCTCCATCTTCTGTTGCTCTGTCTACGGCTGCTGGAAAGATCTTGGAAGTGTTACACCAGGACGCTTGTCAATGAAGATGGAAGGAATCAGATGCTTATCATTCATAAAAGAGGGGAATAAGCACTTCGGCGCGATACAAAACCATTGTTTTTGGATTGCCTTTCCCTGAAATGAGAACCTTGGCTCATATCTTCTTCTTCACATCCTCCGGTAAAGATGTGTTTTCGATCCCCAAGGAACTGTTCCTCGAAGCTACTGACCATTGTATCGCAAATTACCGCCTTAATCTCAATTTATAACATTTGGGGTCCGTTTGTTTTGCAGAAGTTGAATAAGTTAAATAATTTGGAAAATATTTTTCTTAAAAAATGAATGGTTATATCGTTTACAAGAACAAAATGAATGAACGAAAAATGTGTTTATTGTTCACAAAAATATTTCGACAAACTGTTGTTGATAAGGAAAATATTTTTAATTGATTAATTACTTTAAGCAATATAAGCGATTATATTTAGAAAAATAATTATTAAATTGTTAACTTTTCGTGAAACAAATGGAGCATTGGAATTAAAGAGCAAGACATTTTTGTAGTAGAAATCTCACAAATGCATAAAATTTTGCTGATGTAACAACGTATGTTCACATATTCATCAGCTTTTGGATAGTGGCAATGACGACAGGAACTTAACCAAATTACGACCACAGATTCTGCATATATGATTGCTCGCAAAAGATGATGTTTGTACATATTTATATGGCCAGATCATGCTAGAACAAGAATATAGGCAGATTCTTTTCAGATATGAACAGGAGACCCGAATGTCAATTTACAAGCCTTTCTTCCAGTGGATTTGAGAATAAAACCTCCACAAAAAGAGCTTTTCTAGACAATTTGAAAAGACGATAACTACAGGCGAGCCATTAATGACCAATGAGCATTAATCATTTCCTGTTCTAATCCATGATAAGTTAAAGGTGTTCGAAAGGATGAACCTAATAATCACGTTGCACCCTTTGAAATTTGGTGATAGCATCTGAAATGTCTTTAATATATGGAATAATAATACAAACAGTTCCTGAAATGCGATTCTTGAACTTTGAAGCTGTTCAATGTTGTCCCTGAACTTTAGCCTAATATTTAATATAATTAATTTATTCAATATGATCCTTGGAATTTTGATATATGTTCATATGAAAATGTTCAATGTAGTTCTTTCAAGAACTACATTGAACATTTTCATATAGTTCAGAAACTAAATTAAACATGTTCCGAAAGTCTAGGGAATATATTAAATAAATTAAAAATTGATGAATCATATTAAATATTAGGTTAAATTTTATTAATTACGTTAAATAAATTAAAATTTTAAAAATTATATTATATATTTTGTCGAAATTCAGAAACTGTGGTGTCATTTTCTTTTAATATATAACGAAAAGTCCGTATCAGTCAAAGATAGCTTTACGTCAGGTCAAATGAAGCTTGTGATCCCATGGCCAAAGTGTTAAAAACATCAATAAATTTTGACAAAAGCTTTCGATTCGAATAAGAAAGAAGATTGAAAATCTAAGTGGGTGGACCCGAATCCAAGCGACTGCACGGTACGAACATATTCTCCAGCAATAATGATGACATGCATGCATGCACGAGTTTTCTGTAATTATCTACTTGCGTGTTATCTCACGCAGTGTCGCATCTTCACAAGCGGACTTCGAAGGACGAGAAGCCAGAGGGGACAAAAGCAAAAATCTTAAAAGAAGAGAACCCCGTTTCACAAGATTAAAGAAACCCCAAAGTTTTCACTTTCCTCGAGGATGAACCATCGTTACCCTCGTTCTTAATTTTGGTAAAGCATCACCACCATCATTTAGCTTAGTTCTAAAATGATCCCACTGAGTAATCATTAGAGGGGAGCAAAAGGAGGCACTCGGACTGGAACCGCTTAAATTGAATCAAACCGGCCATTTTTTGACAATTTTCGGAAGCATCAATCCGATTCTCAATTTAAAAAAAGTAAAACCGGTGATTATCGATCGAGTTTTTATTCTATACGTGGAACTGCCCATCTGGACCAACTAGACCGAATCGATGATTATTCCTTTATAATTTTTATTTGTTCCAGAGGATCTCCTCTTGGAACAGCTGTAGGAAGGCCCAGTACACTACACTACTCCTAATTTCTCAAAACCCCAATGTTCTTATTGCTGCCGCTCTTGTTCTTCCTTCTTCTTCCCTTTCCGCGTGGTTTTGGTCACCCACACATTGCTGTTCTTCTTCGATTTCTTCCCACTATCGACGCTCGAACCAATCCCAATTTTCAATCTGCCATTGAGAAGACCGTCAGCCTCGCCGTTACTAACACCTGCTTCACGCAACGCTGATTGCTCATCATCCCCTAACTACTCACGCTCGGGTTGTGTTGATCTAGTGCGCTCACCGACATGGTCATGGCCGACAAAGCTCAAATCTATAACCGACGATGCCTGAGCCTGAGGGACAAGTATTTCCTCCTTGAAGCTTTTGATGATGAAACCAACACCTTAAATCACCATATGTCGTCCGTGACGCCCTCCGAATTGTTGAGCAAGTTGAGCAAGTCATTTGGGATGCGCTTCGCCTCCAACGAGTTAATATTCGAGCTGGCCAAGTCGAGATTCGTTTAAAGCCTATGCTATGGTCTCCTTCACGAGCACTTCAAGCCTCTTCTACGGTCTTCTCCACTGCCTCCCACCCATCACCCTTCTCAGGCCAACTGTGCATAGCCCGGGTCAAAGTAGAACCGAGAACCGGACCAAAACCGGCCGGTTCGGTTCCTAGTCCGTTCGGTCCGGTTTCAAGTTTCAAAATTTTGGAACTTGAAATCAGTGATCGATTCCCGGTTCTGGGCTGAGAACCGAACCACCCAAGAACCGATCACCCTTAGTAATCATAGCCACCAAGAATCATAAACAAAAGCCAGTTTCATACATTAGATTTTGAAGCAAGGACAAGTCAGAACTCTACGGTTTTTCATGTTCCAATTATCTCATGGACTCCTAGTCCCTAGTTGGGGATCAGTCAAATGGGTTCTTTACACGGCAGAAACGTTGAGATTGGGTGTCTTCAAAAGTGAGAGAAAAAGGACCTATATCTGAGATGGTTCTTTCTCAATCATGACTTTGGTCAAAAGGGTATTGGACTAGGGCTCTACTCCTAGTATTCCATCCATGCCCAAACATCAATTCTAAAGGAAAAGGGAAGAAATTGCCAAATCTATGATCTATTCAGAGAGTATATGGGAGAGAAACAAGGATGGCCTAAAAAGAACCAAACATTAAAGAGACTAATAAATCAACCAACCAACCTTGAAAGATCCAAAAGTACTTGACAAATCCGAACGCTAAATTGTGGGTCCTCGCCATAAGAAAAATACTCATTTCAACCCCAAAAGTTTGAGTCCACTTCTACTTTCAACCCACTTACATGGTCCTTCACTGGGTGCCTACATGCATTGCAAAAGTTACACTCCATAAACTTACACAAAGCAGCATAAGTTCTTGCATGTCCAGATGACCCATCACCACACATATATATACCTTTCAAATGCTTCCATTTTCACTAGATTATGGTGATCACATGACGGAGCAAGCATTGGGATTCTCATCGCTGAACAGCTCGAACGTATCGCACGGGCGCCGAGAGTACGAGTCAAGATCAGATGGCGCTCGCTCGACTTCCAGCCCCGGATGATGCACGTACTCATAGGCATACGACGGCGGCTGCGGGGCGTAGTACGACGCCCCGCAGCTGGCGCTCGGATACGCTGTGTGGTAACTGACGGCGTACGCGGAAGGGACGTAGTGATGCGGCGGGTATTGGTACCCGTCATGGCGTGGAGGGCTGTGATCTCCCGGATAGAACATCGGGCATTGACCCATTTGGCCTTGACCCAGTTGGCCTTGAACTTGAACTTGAACTTGGCCGTGCTTGGGCGATACAGTGCCTGCGAGTGCACCGGAAGGATGCTGTTCACTCTCATCACCAACGGGGTTATTACTGTGCCCTTTATTCCCTTTCTTTTTCTTCTTCTTCTTACCGCCGCCGCTGCCGCCACCGCCGCCCCCGCCGCCCCCGCCGCCGCCGCCGTTTCCGAAAGCTGGATTCTCAGCCGCCGCTGTCGGTGAATGGTTACCGGCCGGAAAGGACACCACCGCATGCCTCCCCTCAGGCCTCATCTCCTTCACCTGGACGGTGACGCTGCCCTTAAACGGCGTCCCCCCACCGTGGCCAGGGCCACCGCCTTCGCTGTTCTTGCTGGTTCCACCACCATGTTCAAAGCCTTTGGCCGAGTCGCCTTCTTTTAGTTCAACTCCACCACCACAACCACCGCCATCGTCTTCAGATTCGTCGATGCTTTCTGGATCGTTCCGTTTCTCTTTGTTCTTTGACTTGCCCTGCTTTTTGTCCTTTGAATTGAGCTTTACAGGCCATAGCTCTGCATGCTTGCCCGTCTTTACTAGTTTCTTGATCAAGGTCTCTGCCTCGACGTTGCCGTTCACGGTCACTTTTTGTTGCCTCAGGTCGATATCTGTAGTGTAAACGCCTGACAAAACGAATGGGAAGATGGGAAAGCTTGCATTAAAGGAAGAGCTTTTGTAACAGAAAACGAAACGAAAATGCGCGAGGATGAGGAAGCGATGCAAATTAAGAGAAAAAGAGAACAGAGTAGGAGAGAGATAGGAGGAAAGTGAAAATACCAAGAGTCAGAGAACTAGGAAAAGGATGGATTTTTCAGGTGAGAGAACTGAAAATTGAAAGCCAGAAGAAGTGAGATAACGAAGGAAAGCAGCAAGTCCCAGATCAGAAAAATAAGGGCAACTACGCTATGACACTTTTCCTGAAACTAGCACAAGTTCAAAATTTGAAAACACAAGAACAAAAAAAAAACCGCAACTTGAAGGGTGAACAGAACATTACGAACTCATTAAAAGAGACGCTTTGAAGGTATTAAAAAGAGAGGAGTCACCTTCAATGCTGTGAAGAACCTTCTTGACTTTTCTCTTGCAGCCTTCACAGTGGACGGAAACTCTCAAGACCGATGTCTGAGCAAAAACAGAGAACAGCATGTCATGAACTTGCCAGAGACAGAAACAAAAAAAATTGCAGAACATGAAAGAGACACGGGCATACACAAAAAGGGAACGACCTTGTACTTGAGAGAGGGCTCTGAAGTTTCTTCTACATATTTTATTTCCGGCTTCATCACCTCGCCCTTGCCCTCCGGGTTCGCCATGAAAGAACAGAGCAGAGAAGGAAAGAGCCGACGGTTTGCTGCGAGAGAGGCAGAGGGAGAGGCCTCAGAGAGCTGTGAAGAGCGTGCGTGCGAGAACTTTAAGGAGCAGTAAAGACAGAGAAAGTGAGAGGAGAGAGGGTGGCAAATGGCAATAGGAAACTGCTGATGGAGCGACAGAAATTTAGAGAGAATGGACACCCTATCCCACCTATGCAAAGCATTTATGCTCCTCTCCTCTCCTCTCTCTTTCTGGGTAAAAATCGATTGCAGTACACCAACTTTATCGAAAATGAGGAACAAATCGTATCTCGCTTTAAAAGCGGTTTCCGCAACCGGGGTTCCCTCTGGTAAATGATCCATCGCCGTTAAAATATGTTATAGTCAATCTTGGCCATTCATTTTTTACTTGCTGCTCGTGTTATATTAAAAGAGTGACACAAATGATTGATGAATTTTGATTTGATATTCAACATGATCTCTAAATTTTTAATTAATTTAATATGATTTATTAAATTTAGCTCGATATGTAATGTGATTCTTGAACTTTTAATTTATTCAATGTAGTATTTAGACTTTTGATAAATGATCAATTTAGTTTTAAAATTATATGAAAATGTTCAAAGTCATCTCTGATCTTGAAGTAATGAAAGGACGACATTGAAAACACATATAAATGATTCTCATGCATACTATCCATTGTAAAAACATATTGTTTCTACTAATGTCTTCTTTTCATGAACCTAAGTATGTCATTAAACTACTTCATCCAGGACCTCGTACTGATCTCGGGATCCCTCATAAAGTAGAGAGAGGGTATTCTGGCCTCTTAGGGAAGAAAAATATTTGGGGGGATAAAATAAAATAAAAACCCATCTATGGAGCTCACCGTCCCTGCAATACAAATGGACAGGCAGCAGATGCCCTTATAGGGAGCTTGCTTCCCCTTCTATGGTGAGATAACACCTACTAATATCTCCTTTTCATGTAATATTGACAAAATATTTAATTATTAATTAAACCAAATGAAAGTTAAATTAACACACTAAAAAAGCCGAAAATTAAGATAAATAAAATTTGAAACAAATTTTTTTAAAAGGGAACAAGAAAAAAAAGGTTTTTAAAATTGAAAGTTCGGAAAAAAAAAAAAGAGGGGTCTGGGATCACTGACCCCTCTAGAGCAATGCCAGGGTCGAGCGACCCCCACTATTTTGCGAAGGGAGTCTCGGCCCTTCATAGCAGGCCACTCACGGTGGGCAAGGGTCACATGACCCTCGCCATTACATCGGACAAGGGATCTAGTTGATGGTGATGGGCAGTGGCTATCACTACTTGGCCACCTCTCTCTCTTCATTCTTTTATATAAAAGAAATTTCATTAAATGCTTTTTTAAAGATTATTAAAAACAATATTAATTGGAAAGAAAAAGTTTATTGAGAACAAATAAGGTTTAATACAAACAAACAAAATTGACATTTGATGGTAATTTATCATTTGAAATTACTTTCTACAAATGAAAAGATTTACCTTGAATAAATAAACTTTTTTTTGCTAGAATTGAATAAGTCAACTTTACTATAAATAGATAATTTTTATTGACAAATAGACTCACTTTACTCTTGACAACATGATATACCCCAAAAAAGGTCAAACTACCTATAATAACCATACTTCACTGCACAGGAACTTTCGTTTTTCTTTTGAAAATTAAAGATTTAATAAATATTAATTCTAATTTACTTTTTGACAGTTATAAGTTTTGACCTAATACCTGAAGTAGATGACCCTAACCCCCGTTGACGTCACTTGACCACCAATATTTACTGCCTTCAGTTAAAAATTCCTCAATTTTGTCTTAAATTTGACTTCCACTTTTTAAACTTCTTTCTTATATAGAACATAATAATATATGCATTTTTTAAAGCATGGAAATGTTAACCCGTAAAACTATAGAAAATTTGTTTCCATGAATAATTGAAATTTAGGAAATTGTTTCACCAACTTTAAAAAGTTTAGAGGAACAGTTATAAGTTGAAGTTTATAAATTGTTTTTATCATGCTAAGAGTACAAAAACTTGTCTATAAAACATACTTAAAGTGATGTGATAGACTTTTATTCAGATTTCCATATAAATCACACATGTAACTGCCAATTTACAACAAATTATTGCATCAGTGGATAAACTGGCATACTTATCACTTAACGTTACTCAATAGGCTTTCTTAGCTCAAAGTATTGTGCTCATGCATGCGAATTAATGACATGATAAGACATTATTTGTCATATTCGAAATAGTATTTACATACTTTCTCTAGAAAGCCAATCTCATCTCCATACATGTTCATTTTCTAGTGGCCTAAGAAACCTCGATTGACGGTTTTATTATGAGGAAAATTGTTCAAAAAAATAAAAATCTATTATATTTTTATCAATTCAGTCATAAAATTTTTAATGTTGCCAATTGAGTCATAAAAATTTTCAATTCGGGAAATTTCTCTATTTCTAGCCAGAAATAGGGCCGGAAAAGAGAAATTTTATCATTCGCGCCCTAATTAAATAAATAAGTCATGAAATCATGAAAACTCACAGGAGTTATTCGGGCTTTTATCTTGGAATTTAGCTTTTGTAAGGCATGAAGAGGCCATCATACATGTATATGACTAGGGAAAAAGAAGTATGAGCAGTACTGGGGATGTAGTTCTACCTTTTACTTTAAATTTTTAATGAAATTGTTCTTTTTTTTTTTCAATGTAATCATTTCGAAAATGTGGGTTTTGATGGTCTCGACATTTTCATATTCTCGTTGACCACATTGGGGGCACAATGGATTGGATTCGTCAATATTGAAAGGGGGCTACTTGAATTATCGAAAACGGAGTTGACATTCCTCTTATTCTCTTCTACTTTATGGGATAAAGGGTCCACGAGCATTTTAAATTTGTGTGATTTAGAGCTTTTTTTTCGCGAATTAAATCCTTTAATTATATATAATTTTTTTTTATTCGAGTTGGTCATTCCATTAAAAAAATAAGCTTGAACGCTGACTCGACAATTGAGTCACCTTTTCAAGTGTAATTATATGCTTCATCTGAACCCCGCCAAATTGCAAGTCAGATTCATAAATTGAGATATAGTAATAGTACTTAATTAAAGTGGAGGCATCGACTCGGTCCCCTTTGCTTATTTCAACCTTCAATCGGTGGACGAAAGTGCTTTAATAAGTTGGTTTTAACTCCGATATTTGATATGCCCGAAGACATCACCCCCGACCCAACATGAACCTAAGACAGAAGCAAAATGCTAAAGAGAATCGAGATGACCAAAACATTCGTAACAAAAGTCGTATTGACGGGTGTGTTGAGGGAATTAAAAAGTATTTTTTATAGGACTTTATCAAAGAGTACCTCAAAGAAACTTATTAACAATCCAACTAAGGAAATTATAATATTCAAATACACATGACACGAAAAAAGTACAAAGTATTGAAAATTGTAAAATTTCCTTCATTGTTCATTAGATTTTGTTAATAAGTGTCCACAGCCGGATTCTTTGTTAAAGCACTTATGGACAATCGGGAGCTAATGTCCGATGATCTTGTCAAGTCCATAGCATATTCAGCTCTTCAACTCAAACTCCTACCGCATGCGAAATTTGATTGTTATACATAATGCCAGGTATTAGAAATAATAATCATTGTCGTTAACAAGGAAAATCGACAATAGTGATCCCTACATTTTGATCTAATATGCAATGTCATCTTTGAAATTTTAATTTATTCGATGTGTTTGTTGAATTATTCATAAATATTCAATATAATCTATCAACTTTCGATTTATTTACTTTAGTTTCTCAACTTTCCATAACAAAGTTAAATAAGTCATTCCGTACTATTTGTAACTTTTCATAATCACAATATTGCACAGATTCAACAATAGTTTTTCATTTCAATCATTTTCTTAAATCAACAAAAAAATATGATATCTTTTTTATTATCTTTTTTGTCTTTATAAATATTGCGATAGTTCCACTTAAGTGTATTTTAACCATAATCTCTATAATAGTAAAAGTAGAAACTCATTTAAAGTTGTATCGAGTTGATATTCCCACTATTTTTATCTGTATATTTTTCATAATGATATCTAGAAATTATTTTGATTTATCTATAGAAACTCGTACTTACATTAAACCGAATCTTGTTCCTTGTTTTTCAGGTTTATAAAATTTTCAATTTTTCATGTTTTGTGTTTTCCAAGAAATAAGAAATAAGATTTAGATTAATATAAGTACAGATATCTGTAGACAAATACCTTATGAAAACACTTGACATAAAATAGCGGAAATATCAACTCGATCCAACTCTAATAGGATTCTACTTTTACTATTATAGAGATCATAGTTAAAATACACTTAAGTTGAACTATTGTAATATTCATAAAGTAAAAAAAAATAAAAAAAAGGTAATAAAAAGATAGTATTTTTTTTGTTGATTTAGAAAAAGGATTGAAATGAAAAGATGATAAAAAATTTGAGCAATATTTTAATTACGAAAACTTGTGAATAGTATTGAAAGGTTGATTTCTTGACTTTGTTGGAAAGTTGGGCGGACTGGGTTGAACAAATGGAAAGCTTAGAAACCATATTGAACATTTATGAATTGTTCAAGGACCATATTGAAAGAATCAAAAGCTTAAAAATAACATTACACGTTGAGCCAAAATTTAGAAATTATTAGTGTTGTTTCCCCCTTTTAAAGAATTACTAGCCTTTTGTTATTTATTGATTCTCCAGCATTAAATTATTGTATCCACGTATAGTTTGCACTGAAGAAGTCCTCACGGGCCTCCTTGTTAAAGCTCTCAGCTAATGCTTTCTCACAATCCCGATAAATTGGTGGCTGCACTTACCGCGCGAGCGCACACATATATATTATATATATAGTAGCAATTGTACATAAAATAAACCTTTCTTTTCACAAATTTATTTAGACATGCACCACTAGAATCGAAAGGTTACAAAAAAGTGGGTGCTGGACCGATCCTTTTGGAAGGTGCAGATTGCAATTGATACAGTGGCATGCACAAGAATTAGTGTGAATATCGCATTATCTATGAGACATTTGTGAAGTATCTGCACCCACAATCTAGAAGTTCTCTTTGTGGAAATAGAACTTGGTGGTTGTCTTGTGGGAGAAGTCTTGAGCCAACCTTCTCATTTCTCCAACCACCCCTTGCAAACCACAGTAAAACACTCCTGCCGAAACAAGGAAAAAGCTTGACATTAGTTGACTAATGACTAGATAATTAACTGTTAGTTTCCTAGAAACTATGTGCTAAACATGCTTTAGGATGCTCACCAACTCTTTCGTTGGGGTGGTTGACCGCGACGTGCTTGAAGACGTTGCGCCAGTTCGGCCTCGCGAAGTGGGTGCGGACCCGGGTGCCCGACACGATGTCGACCCCGTTCTTGGCGTGGTTCAGGGACTGGAGCATCGCGATCAGGGCCGACCGGGCGTCGCCCTCCTCATACACGCTGGTGCAGTAGTTGTGGAGCTCAATCACGCCGTCCCTATCGTTCTCGGCGACCTCGTTCATCACGCCTTTGAACCACTCGAACGAGCCCTGCTCGCGGGTGACCCAATAGAAGTAGGCACGCCGGGTCAGGAACTGGCTTCGCTTGTTGCTCTTCGCGCCACTCTCTACGATGCCCTCCTCGATCTCTTTCTGTTGCTTGATGTTGTTGAGGACGTCTTTGACAATGCTGATCAGTGGTGTCGCACCAATGCCTAGCCCAACCAGGAGAAGCACGTCGTATTTCTTGTAGTCTTGTGCTGGAGCACCATATGGACCGTCGATCAAGAGCTTCGGAATCCTAGTGACGAGGCTCATAAAATGAGTTCATTCTAAGAAACATTGATCAAATTATGTTCATGTTATGTCGGATTAAGTCGAGCTTTGCACTCTCATCTAGACGTCGGGCCTAGCGAGCCGAACGGACCATGAGTTGCACGAACGAGTCTAATTACCTGGGTACGTTTCCGCCCGATGCGATATCTGCTCTTAGAAGTCCGCTTTGATCGACCGATGGAGGCTGACATACCTACACACATTCACAATGTGGCTTTTTCCGTCATGTTTTTGATGAGCATATATACATCAATGTGACAACATGTCGTGATTAAACTGATCCGGACCTTTCTTAAGTTCAGAAGATTTCTCACAATCGGTTGCCAATAGGCAAGACCAAGTGTGTTGCAAAATTTCTTAGAACTAAACTTGAACAATCACCTTTGAGAATACAGCTTTAAGCTGAGATGTCCAGTCGCCCACGGTGCGTATATGAACGCTTAAGTAATCGTCGCCAGGGGCCGAGGTGATTGAAAACGGATGCCTGATAACGTTCAACTGACCAGTTAGCCAACTTCCTTTTCAATGGCTAAGTAAAAGTTATATAAAGAAGTAACCATTTTTCTCTGTCTTTTTCGTTAAAGAAATTACCATTGGAATGGAGAAACAGCTGCACAGTTGACAAAGATGTATTGACCGCTTGTGTATCTGAAGCCTTGAGGCTTAGACATGTACAGAGCCATCACATTTCCTGGATACACAGCGACCTGAAAAGAACCAGAATATGAACACAACTTAGCTATTGTGATTGTGAATACCTTGAGTTTAAAACATCGATTTAGGCAACGATTCTGTTGTGTCTCAAAACAGAACCATTCTTAATTGAATCCGAGCCTCACCTTGAAGATCCGCACGGTCTTGTACCCGGACCTGAGTGCACGGAGCAAGCGCTCACACGCATACAATGTGACTGGTACTGCCAGATACATCCAAGTCTACGCAAACAAATTCTTAAACAGAATTAGGAATTTGATGTGGGACAAATCGTAAAAATCTCATTAGTTAGCAAACAGTTGGTTTAGATCTATCACTTACTGTTTTCTTGTACCACTTCTTTAATAAATACAGGAAGTAGCCATGTATCACAAAGAGCACGTAGACGATGATAAAGAGGTGGTGCGAGTACCAAAAGGCATTGAACCCAGTGAGCTTCTTGAGGGCCTTGGGGAGGTCCAGCCGGTTGTGCCGGAACCAGGGCTGGGCTAACGTGTAAGCTATGGCCATCAGCACCACCATGCACACGCCGGTCCAGCCCTCAGTCCCTTTCACAAACCACCAGTAGTTATTGGGGCGCTTCTCACCAAAGAACTGCTTCATTGGTTCGTATTCTGCATCTGTGGCGTGGAGGAGCCTAGGAAAGTCGCAGGTCAGATGGGCTCCGGCATGTAAACCGACTCCGACCACAATGCCCCAAGCTATCACCTATTTAGGCCATATACATGTAACATGTATAATTTAGTGGAGGGTTTAATTAAGTAGAGTAAAACTATTTTCCTCTTCTACTTTACTGTCGAAGCATGTCCAAATACATTTTCTAACTAAATTTATCGCAGCATAGTGAGCATCGTCAACAAACAAACCGAGGACTAACCAAATTCAACTCCCAAAAGAAACCAAAGATTTTTTTTTTTAAAGAAAAAAGAGCATCAAATGGTTATACCTTGTGGAAATTGATGTTGTCATTGAAGGGAACGATCACACCCAACCTTGTTCTACTCCTCAACCAAGTGATTGTGTTTCTGCAAACTGGAAGCAAAATCAGGGCCATGTTGAACTTGGTGGTCTCAGCTCCACCTTTAGCTGTGGTCACACAATAGCCCATCACATCAAACACAGCTCTCTGCTTGTACTGGATGAACTTCCAAGTGAACAGGCCTGCACAGATTGAGATCCATAGGCCCAAGACCCAAATCCTCTTCCAATTGTCCTCAATGAAGTAGGCCAGTGGCTTGTAGCATCTCTTGATGGGGTTCTGCTCTCTGGTTGGGACCAGCTTCTGGCTCAGCATCTGGCTCAGGATCCGGCTCTCGGTCCCGGCGCGGGCCAAGCTCGATTGGGTCGGGGCTTGCAAGAGGAGGGTCTCCAGGTTGTGTAGCTAAAACAGGAGTTCAACAAATCAGTGGTCTTCTCAACTATTTCACTCAATTTAGGACTTCCAAAATCAAGACAATTTCATAGAGGAGGAATTGAATATTGGTGAGCACGGTACACAAGGGTCATGTAAGACTTGCCGGTCAACAATCACCGCTACAAATCAAAGGTTTGGATCTAAACATGTACCTCGATGTAACCAAAATTATCAGGATCCAACTCTTCCATGATCAAGGCTGCATATTCTTCTGCTCCTTGTTGGATCTTCGACAGCTTATTTGCCGCAGCACTTAGTGCAATTATCTGATGATAGTAATGATAAGTTCAGAATTAGTAACTTATTCCCTCACATTGAATCATTTCTCGTCATCATCATATTCTTTTCTTGATCATTCTTACCTCTCTCACCTCTTCCTCAGTGATCCGACCATCTGCATTTTTGTCTACCCTGCATAATGAAATTACTTCTCAGTGGATTTGTCTGACTAAGTCCCAAGTAAACCCAATTTTTCGTAAGTACAATTTGAATACTATCATAGTGAAATGGGCATGTGAACTTACATATCGAAGAAGGTTTGCAACCTCGCATCGAAGCTTTGATCTGCTATCTGTTCCCAGAATTCCCGTAGCTCAGGCTTGCTTACCACAGACGATGTTATGCCTCTCCGTCGTGCCAGCGCGTCAAACAGCTCACTGGCAAACTCACTGGATTCCTTCATCCCTTCACAGATGCAACAATCTTTGTTAGTCCACTACTCTACTTTAATGCCAATTTGCTAATATATTGTGTTGAAGGACTAAATGAGCAGATAGAATATTCTTGAGATGAAACAATGTAGTAAATGCAAATCTTTCCGTTTGAAAGTATTTGATTCTAGCATTTCTTTATAGCAATTTCGGTCGACATACCTATACACTGGCCAAAGAGTGATTTTGGAAGAACCCCATTGACTGCCAATTCATCGAACCTTGCTTCGACCTCATACCAATCTTGATCGATCTCGGCGTTCTTGGTCATGAACTGTAGGCCTTGCAATGCCCTTGCGGCACCAGATTTATTCCTATCCAACTGCTTATTAGACCCTTTTGTTGAGGTAATTCGCCTGAGCTCTTGTGAGACTTGTCTGAGCTTGAATGACAGCTGCGCACCAAGCGACGAGGGCCGCGGCCCCAAGTAACTCGCGAGCAATGCAGTCTCAGGGTCTCCTGCTCCCTTGATGTTGTGAACCGAGACGCTATCATCACGGACATCTAGCGTGATCTCGACGTAGCATTCCTCGTCTTCGTCATCCTTGAATCTTGCATTGCTTCTGATCTTGGTGCTCGTGCTACTCAAAGGGCCACTATAACCCAATCTGGAGCTACTATTGCTTTCTGTGTCAGACCATTGAACATGCTGGTGATGATCTTGGAGCTCCATTGCTACAAATTCAAAGGATCGTCTGTGTGTGTGTCTCTCTCTTTCGCACACAGCTCGTGCAAGCACCTGATAGAGGCGACTGCAATTATTGAGCAACAGTCATGGAATTAGAAGAGGCAATGGGCTTTATATAGCAAAAGGTTATACACGTCGGCCTGTTTCGTGGAGTCACACTGTGAATTTCCTTTGTAGCAAATGCATGACAACCAGATTTGATCTGTCTGTTTTGATGATCTGTTATTGCTTTTCAACGCCTTCTTTTGTCAGTTCTCAGAATATCACAAGCCCTTTAGTCACTTGCCACAGCTTGAGAAATGTTAATCAATTGAGCACTGAATTCCAATGGAAGGCAAGGCTAGAGGCAAAAAGAAATCTGACTTCGCAAATGTAAACACTATCAATATGTATGCGGAGCCTACACAAAATGCAATAGTAAGCCCATTGCATCAGATGGGACATTTTAACTTTGATAAACTTCCCATGTGACAACTTATTAATTCCTCAAACACAGTTAGACAGCATGCAATTTACGAGCCAACTAGTAAAAATCTCGATGCAAGACGTGAAATCGAAGACCGAAACCTCTGGTTGAAACCTTACCAGGAAAGTTCTTCCTCTGCAGAAGAACAAGAAGAACAAGAATGAGTTGAGGGATGATGTGTGCTTAGTTTCAGGACAAAATGAAGGAGTTAGAGAGAATGTCTTGAGTATGTGAGGCGGTGTGCATTATCCGAGGCAACTAGAGACAGTGTTTATATGTAAGTATGCAAGGAGGTGGCTAAGGTGGTTTAGTAGTGCAGATGAAAGAAAAAGTCCAAAACATGAAGAAACCAGGGGCTAGAGTCCGTTGGTTTTTGAGCGTGGTTGGAGACAGAGAGAGAGAGAGATTATTTGTATTTGGAGGCACTTCTTCAACCTTCAAACTCGGCACCAACTCAACAACTCGTTCAACCCCTCCACTTGTCACCAAGGTCAACATTGAACTTAACCTGCCAGCTTTGTTCAGATTTCAAGAAGAAGTGATTCTTTGCGAATCGAGAATTAATGTCATGATCTCCATGTTCGGCAAGGGTCGACCTCGTCAGCCTTGGGCAAGGTTCACCTCGCCAGATCTGGGAAGGTTGAGCCTCGCCTCACCATTAGCGAGGCATCCATACAATAGGTTTGAAAAAATTCAAAAAGTTGCAAAACTTGTCTACGCCGGCGTTGATCGTATCACATTACACGACTGGCATGCATGTCAGCGGTATTCGACCGAAATTGGCCGGAAGGACTATACTAGCAAATTGTCAAAATGTTTATAACTAAATTAGTTAAATCGAAAGGTTTATGACTGAATCAATATCTGTACAATAGGTTTATAACTTTATTATTATTATTTTCTCCCATATATACCACCTAAGACTTTTCACTACTCTCTAATCTTCACACAAATGGATTAGAACGAGCAACATATATTCGTTTAATGACCCTACCGACGAGGAGATTGGGACTATTCTCTTCAATGATCGTGATCGAGAATAATGTCAAAGATACAAACAAAGCATTCACAAAATTAGTTTATAAAGCGCATGAAGATGAGTACTCGAACATGGACCATCTATACATAGACCCACATGAATTCGTCATTAGAAATCAATTTCTCAATCTTTAGCTTGTCTTGTGCGATCAACTCCGGCGCCATTTAGTGCAGCTTTTGCATGGTTTTCGTTTGACCATGAAAAGCGAAACAAAGATCGCATCGAAAGAGAGAAGAATGTGGATGACACAATCTCTATTGAAGCAAAGCCATGTCATAAATATGTAATTAGGGAGGCTGGAAAGATTTGAACTCAGGATCTTCAACTTTAATACCATGTGAGATTTTGTGGGATCACTACAGACTATTTAAAAAGTTTAAGCCGTTAGAGGAAATTGTAGTTTAGGCTCTGTTTGTTTCGCAAAAAACATTTTCCTCATTTTTTGACGTTTGGTTCGTTTAGGAAAATGAGTCAACGGAAAATGTTTTCTTCGTCAGCGGAAAACCTATACTTAAATTTAGGAAAATGATTTCCTCTTTGAAAAATCGAAAAACACTTTTCAAATTTTAATTAGTTATCGACGCTTAGACTTGAAACTCTACGTTTGGGCACGGAAATCCCATCACTGGTTCCCGGGTCTCTGGCATGCAGGACTAGGTTTCCCGGTCCATCGAGGCCGAGTGTGGGACCTCGGTGCCCACGCGCAGGTGCATCGAGGTTGGGCCCGAAGCCTTAGTAACCATGCCCGATGTCCCGGCACTTGAGCCCGGATCCATAAATGTTGTGCTTGGGTCCCCCGATGCTCGAGCTCTGTTCCCCGACACTCAGGTCTGGGTTCACAAAAGCTGAGCATGGGTCCTCGGTGCTCGGCCGGTGACAGTCCATGGGTGAGGGACGAGCTTGCTCAAGGCTAGCAAGGCTCAAGCTCGCCAGATTCCAGCGAAACAAATGGAATCTTAACATTTAAATATTCTATCCTGTTGGAGTTAAGGTTGTTATAATCTAGTCAAGCCAACCCATATCCATTCCACCGAGTTTCGTGCACGAGTCAGCCAATTCTTATCCCAACGTACTTCTTGTGACTATGCTCTTCACACGGTTTCAAAAAAAAATCGCGACCGCATTTTGCGACGAGTGACCTTATAATATACTATAAATTTATACCCTCGTTTCGTAATTAGACTTGGGGATTCCACGACAATGTGGTTGTCTCGTCTGACGGCATGCGCATTTACGCGTCCGAGGACCTAACCACAAAGACAAAAGGCGTTGCCTATAAAAGAAAAAGCAGAATAGTCGTAGGTCGTAACTTGTGACATTGTGAATAATATGTTCGGCTCTGATTTATCATGGCTAGGTTCTATCTAACATTATAATCATCAATTACAATGACGATGTATCAATTAGCATACTAGCAAGAAGAGTGACCAAGTATGTTTATGTACATATTATCACTTGGTTTCGGCAGATTCAACATACAAAGGCCACAATTCGAGTCCATTAGAGCAGTCGATTGGACGTACCCTCGCTCGAAAGACGAAGCGATTGATTTAGAGACCGGCCATACTTAATAAATTACTCCCTTTTGGTTCTAGAACATATGCTTGTATCTCACCGGTCGCGCCGGTACTTAACAGAGCTTACCTAGCAAACCAGAAAGAAGGCGGCAAAGAGAATTTGCGGGTAAGAAAGACTAATCATTTGCAAAGAAGGTGGCATGTTGACTTTTAGGGATCAATTAGGTACATTAGCGTTGATCAGTTGCTCGGTTACTCCAAAGCAAATCCAGTCTTTGACGAATCCCGACCAACCACCGCATGACGGGGCTAACACCAAATGCTCAAGTCAACACCATTTTAGATAATCATTGGCATCTTGAGTGAAATCGAATGACTGATTGAGACGGTAAAAAATGGATTGACCTGAATAGATTCGTTTAATTCGTTTTGACTTATTTTCATGCAATACAAATATAATGACTCTGAACTGATCCTATTTGCTAAAACACTTCCATATTTAATAAAATCTAGGAAAATCCATACCCAAATTGTGGTGAAAGTATGGAGTGAGCGAGCACGAAAACGAGTGAGGGCGAGAGAGAGTAACAAAGGTAGATTGTATTTGAGTAAGTTGTACACCCATTTGTGACCCAAATAATACTCATATTATGTTTAAATCCATTTATGATCCATTCATTGAATATAACTAATCCATCTAATAACTCGATCCAACATATATGAGTTAAGAAATACATCTACGACTCACTTTGACATGTCTAGGTTAAACTAATTAAATGTTTACTATAATAACTGCTAATGAATATTAATTCACTTTCACAAGCAATCCAAAGAGGAAAGCACTTGTTGCTTGACGATAACATTTTTTTTTCTCCCGTGTGTGCACTAAGAATTGCAATTTCAATCCCAAGGTATAGACCATCGAATGACGTGAATGATTCCCTTCTTTTCCGTGGGCCGATTCAGTTGAACGAAGCCCTACTGCATGACATGTGCACATGTGAAGAGGCGAACGAACGAAGACGACCTCGGCTTTGGCTTTGAGCTAACACGTGCTAGGGAGTAGTGACCTGTAGTTATACTTATAGCGATCGGCCATTATGGGAGCTCGAGAGGTTAAAAGGTCTCAGGTAACGTATAATCGAGCTGAATCGAGTGAGCGCGATTTGATTATGTTCGAGCTTGTCTCAAGCTCGTGCGCTCTGGGGATTTGGAATCCGATTCGAGTACGATTTGGAATAGGCCAAGGGCAAGCATTTCTCGGCCAAAACTAAGGATGAGAAATTCTCCTCCATAGATACCGAGCGACTACTCTTCAGTGCAGATGAATGAGTTATAGATTTTTCCCATAGTAAAACCAGCATTGCGAAGAAAGTACATTTTGAAATCCAAGGTAGGTTCCACCAAAAAAAAATCCGAGGTATGGAAAGAAAATAATAGAATATACTAAGTACGCTTTCCATTTACCACCTCGATGTTTGGCTTAAGCCGACCATATGCGAAAGGAAAAGAAAGGACAAAAAAGCGAGAAAGGAATAATTTAGAACAATTCAAATGAAGGAAAAAAATTATCTATGTCAGCGCTGGCCACACCACGTAGGATGGTCGGCGGTCGACCGGCGTCCACATTAAAAGGTTTACGATTAAATTGGTAAATTATTCAATTTTTTAGGACTAAACTGGCACAATTGAAAGGTTTAGAACTAAATCGGCAAATCGTCAAAAGATTTAGTAATAAATTGGCACAATTGAAAAACTTATGCTTGAATTAGCCGTCGCACAATAGGCTTAGGACTTTTTAGATAATTTTCCCTGTTGTCATGTTGATTTACAAACCTGTTATTTAATCATGTTACACAAGTAGTGTCAAGCCATCATTTTTTTAGCCGTGTTTGTGTCACATAGGTCATATATGATAAACTAATCTTGTCATCTTCGGGTTGGCTTGTTTTGTACTATACCTATATGTTGATATGACACGAACATGACCCGCGACTACAAACTTTCACCCTTAATGGCGGATACGAGCACATAGAAGTGAGCCATAACTATGACTTAAACCGAATAATCTATTATTGCTATAGAACTTCTATAGCAACATTTAAAGGGGGTGTCATTGCTGATCTCCCCTCCCCACCATTTTTTTATATATAAAAATGCACTTTTTACTTGGTCGGTTTGCCCGTCATTTAGCGTGGGTCCATAACACAAGACCATTACATGAGTCCCACATGATCCATAGGACCACAAGTCATACACCAATGGTTGAACACAAGTTGCTATTTTTGTGAATGGGGTTTGGCCGAGCCTAACTAATTTCTTAAAATACATCAAAACGATATTCATTTCATTGATATTATCTACTAATTCGACATTCAAGCTAAGCCTAGCCCACGCCTGAAAAATCTGTGGATCAAATGATATTTTCAAAAGCTAAAACTCAAAATCAAAAATAATTTTTCATCCACAACAACGTCGATTTTGTTTCACTTAAGCCACGTGAGCACTATTTCAATATTGTTTGCTTTTTGATATCCATGTAGGTAGATTTTTAACGGTTCTTATTGACAAAACTTTGACGGAAGAGGGTAAATGTGTCACACATGTAAAAATTTAGGATTTTTGGTGTCACGAAAAAATTACTAGGATAAATGTGTCACAATGAGCATAGTTTGGAATTTTTTTGTGACTTTTTCCCTTCTTTTTACTTATATATAGCTTAGTAAAAAAATTAGAAGATGCTGTCAAAAAAAAAAGTTATTGTTCTTATTGAGGAACAATTTATCACAAAAGTAGCACGAATCTTTCGAAAAGTGTCCTAATTGTAATTTGCTAGTTGAATCACAACCGTGAAAAAGATTGCCCGACTCATCTAACTTATTTATTTTATATTTTTATAACACGACACATTAAATTCTCTTACTCGATTGGTCTCTATGAATGCGAGCAAGTTTCTTCCTCTAATATCTATTTGGCAAAAAATTTCCTAAAACACAAATGTACTTATTCAATTTTTTGTAGCGTATGCCATTAGACTTAAAAAAAAAACACATATCGTTCGTTTCCAATTGTTTTTTTTTTTATAAAATAAAAAAAGCACGATAAGCAACTTCCGATAAGCTCCAAAGTAAAACTCGGCAAACACTTGCTATGAATCTATGATCATCATCATGTAATCATCCGACCAATGGTAGACGTACACGTGTCCCGACTAGGAGACATCGTCGTGTGGCCTTTCCCCGCCAACTCCTGATTACAGAAACCGCCCCCCGAGCTTTCTCTAGAATCACAAGAACGTTCCCGACAGGACCCGGACTCCTTGCGAAGTCCGACGTGTCAGTCTCCCATTGGTCTCCCGACGTGTGATGGCCCCTCCCGACCCAAACTTTCGGCCGACGTTGACGTGTACGCACATCATTCGACGGAACACTCTAGCGCTCCACCGATCGCGCGCACCCGAACACTATAAATTCTTTGCGCGCTCTCGTCGACGCCACCTTCAATTTTTTCCAGGGAGAATTAGTTCTGCCTCTATCGAGAGCGACTTTCCGAGTCACAAGCGAGAGAGAGAGAAAGAGGGTGATGGCGAGGAGGATTGAGAGCAAGGCTATGGCGTTCCTGCTTCTGTTTGCTTTAGGTAAGTCCTGCGTTGAATATCGTCTGTGTGTTGTTACGATGTCAGTATGGTCTTTTGAGTAAATTCATGGTTTAAAGAGGAAGCATGAACGAGTTCTTGCGGTTTAAGTCATGATCTTGACGATGCAAGTGATTGCTCTGTGTTGCTTTTTGCGGACTCGGCTTATTGATGATAGCAGAACTTGACAGATGCATGGTCTAGGCGCCGCCTTATGGTTTTCCCATTCCACGTCTCGCAGAGCTTTGCAACATGGTTCGAATTTGAACCGATTATCTCGGAAGCTTAAACGTTAGAATACAACGCATTATATATGTATTGATGACACCAATTGATCCTAGTCTTAAAGGTTTGAGTCGTTGAAAAATGTCGACACGGTGGCACTGTTTGCTTGATGGAGAGCAGTGGCGAAAGCCAAAGGGTGTATTCTCTGTTTGATATATATTTACCGTTCTTCTAAGTAAGAAGAGATATTGTGAGTTTGTGGATTGCATGAGCAGTTTGTAATGAGAGTTTTTATGGAGAAATTAGAGTTTGTTTAGTGATTGGAGTTTCCTGATTTGTACTCTCTGCTTCTGTTGATTGCTGTTCGTTGTAGAATTCTTTCTGGGGTTGGCAGCGGCTGCTGATGATTCACCGAAGGTCGGGACGGTCATTGGAATTGATCTCGGGACTACGTATTCTTGTGTCGGTGTGTACAAGAATGGTCACGTGGAAATAATAGCCAACGATCAAGGAAACAGAATCACCCCTTCATGGGTCGCATTCACAGACACCGAACGCCTTATTGGAGAAGCCGCGAAGAATCAAGCGGCCATGAATGCGAAGCGCACTGTTTTTGATGTGAAGCGCCTCATAGGGAGAAAGTAAGTGGATTCACATGCTTTCTGGATGATCACTTTTCAGTTTTTGTTTGTACCTTGTGACACAGTTTATTTACTTGCTTCTTCTCCCCTCTACCCGAAGGTTCAATGATCCAGAGGTGCAGCGAGATATTAAGTACTTGCCTTATAAGATCGTGAACAAGGATGGAAAGCCTTACATCCAGGTGAAAGTGAAAGGCGAAACGAAGGTCTTTAGCCCTGAGGAGATCAGCGCTATGATATTGGGGAAGATGAAAGAGACGGCGGAAGCTTACCTCGGAAAGAAAATCAGGGATGCTGTCGTCACTGTCCCAGGTATTATTCAATCTGAGTATCTAACGAGGGGGTGGGAGCAATTAGAAGCGTCCGTGGATTGATTAGAACAACTGATTTCTAAGCATTAGTGAAGCTTTTGACATTGTTCTTCTGTCTATGAATTTTAAAGAGAACTTGTGTTCATTAGTACCTGGCAATCGAGTCTTGATTGTGTGCTTGTCCGTGTAGCTTATTTCAATGATGCTCAGAGGCAGGCCACGAAGGATGCGGGCGTCATTGCTGGCTTGAATGTGGCTAGGATTATAAACGAGCCTACAGCGGCAGCTATTGCCTATGGCCTGGACAAGAAAGGAGGAGAGAAGAACATCTTGGTTTATGATCTCGGCGGCGGTACATTCGATGTGAGTGTCTTGACCATCGACAACGGCGTGTTTGAGGTTTTGGCGACCAGTGGAGACACCCACCTTGGAGGAGAGGACTTCGATCATAGAGTCATGGACTACTTCATCAAGTTGATCAAGAAGAAGTACAACAAGGACATAAGCAAGGACAGCAAGGCCCTTGGGAAGCTTCGAAGGGAATGCGAGAGGGCTAAGAGGGCACTGAGTAGCCAGCACCAAGTCCGGGTCGAGATCGAGTCTCTCTTCAATGGGATCGATTTCTCGGAGCCGTTGACGAGGGCGAGATTCGAAGAGTTGAACATGGACTTGTTCAAGAAGACGATGGGTCCAGTTAAGAAGGCCCTGGAAGACGCGGGTCTCAAGAAAACAGATATCCATGAAATCGTTCTTGTTGGAGGAAGCACAAGAATTCCTAAGGTGCAACAACTTTTGAAGGACTTCTTTGATGGAGAAGAGCCCAATAAGGGTGTCAATCCTGATGAGGCTGTCACCTATGGCGCTGCTGTTCAGGGTGGAATCCTTAGCGGTGAAGGCGGCGAGGAAACCAAAGGTAAGATATGATCACTTTACTAGAGTTTGTTTCGTTGCTCTTGCTGGTCACTAGTGTGGAATGGCTAGAGAGAGAGACTGATGTTTTCTAATTTGTACAGATATCCTTTTGCTTGATGTGATTCCGCTTAGTCTGGGTATCGAGACGGCCGGTGGCGTCATGACCAAGTTGATCCCTAGAAACACTGTCATCCCGACCAAGAAGTCTCAGGTCTTCACTACATATCAAGATCAACAGACTACAGTGGCGATCAAGGTATAGCCTGCGTTTTCGTCATGCTTGTAAAATTATGCTTGGCCTTTCTTGAGCAGGGACTCGTATTTTTCCGTGTAAAACCAACAGGTCTTCGAAGGTGAAAGAAGCTTGACTAAAGATTGTCGCGAGCTTGGAAGGTTCGACCTCTCTGGCATTCCACCTGCTCCAAGGTAATCTGTTATAGCCTATTGATCAATGTGGTCTGATATTTTACTTAGTCGGCCATCTCATCTCCATGAAGATTCAAATTTTTGAAGAATATGAGCTTAAACCCTATGTACTTCATCCATAGCTAGTTCATGACCCGGCAGCGACTTTCGACTAAATACTAAGCTGTCGTTGCAGGGGAGTGCCCCAGATTGAAGTCACATTTGAAGTTGATGCGAACGGCATCGTGAATGTGAAAGCAGAGGACAAGGCCGTGAAGAAGGCAGAGTCCATCACCATCACGAACGACAAGGGGCGGCTCAGCCAGGAAGAGATCGAGAGGATGGTGGAAGAGGCTGAGCGGTTTAGAGAAGAGGATGAGAAGGTCAAAGAAAAGGTGGATGCGCGGAACAAGCTGGAGAGCTACGTATACAGCATGAGGGCCACCATCAGCGACAAGGACAAGCTCGTGGACAAGATCGACGCGGACGACAAGGAGAAGATAGAGAGCGCCCTCAAGGAGACGCTTGAGTGGCTGGACGAGAATCAGACCACGGCGGAGAAGGAGGACTTCGACGAGAAGTTGAAGGAGGTGGAGGCGGTGTGTACGCCGGTCATCAATCAGGTCTACGAGAAGAGCGGTGGCTCATCTGCCAGCCCTGAAGATGATGAAGCTTATGATGAGTTGTGAAAAACCAGGAGTTCTTTCGACATTTTTGTTCGGTTTCTTTCTCTTTCTTGTAAACATCGATTCGATCGAGATGATAGCAGCTATAGGATTTTATCATTTTCGGATCTTCGTTGTAAATGAAAGATCCAGAATTCGATGGCTTTCAAGGTTGCGCTTCATGGCTTGTAAATGTTGCTGGAAATATGACAGTTGACTGGTTGTTTGGCTTACTTGTATTCCAGTTGAAATCGAAGATGGCCTGGGAATTGATCCTCAAACCATCATCGGAGAGTCCTCACGGACAAACCTTCAGGGGACTGTCTTGAGAGCAAACAGTGTACAAGATTGTTTGGATTCGCGGAGAAGGGCGGCAGGTCCACGATCCGAATCGAACCGGCATCTTTAACATTATTGAACCTTGATTAAAAGGATGATGTTTATAATAACCGAGGGCGATAAACATGCTTCTTCGTGAACGTGTGTGGTGTTGTTGCCTCGCTATTTCCTTACTTTCTCCTCCTTGTGGCTTTCATGGTATCTGAGTTTAATATGATTGACACACATTTTGCAAGTTGCGTGACACAATTCAGAAGAAAATATATCCAGGGAAAGTGGTCCAAGTTCAGCCATTTTAGAGATATTGATGTTCATCATATTAAACTTGATATGAACAAATGTTAGATTGGATCTATGTTGTTGTTGATACACGAGCCTCTTAGACCAGCTGATCGCCATTTCCTATTGAATGTAAAACGAAGTCATGATATGTGATGTCGAAAACACTCTTATATTATGATCTTTTAGGACTTTGATTCGATTGAGTCCTAGACATTGTACTATGCTAGGGAAGCATTAAGTTCATAGTGGTAGGGCATTTGTTGGGATAAGAACATTAGGATACTTTCGTATGATACTCACTTGAGTGTCATTTCCGGTAAAGCATCTTACATGGATCTTTTTAATTTTTCATTTTGACTTGGAAATTTTTGTCCAACATGGCAAGAGTATAACAAACTTGTCGTTTCTTGCCGTTTCATTAAAATGTTCCCCAATTAGACAAGGCCGTTTATATAAGACTCTCTCTTCTCTTCGTGTCTGAAAGTCGAGCACCACCATAGAATCGCAGCGAGCACTTGGTAAATCGAAGTCAGCTCTCTCTCTCTCTCTCTCTAAAAACTTAGGTTTTTTCTTCTCTTTCTTTATTTTCTCTGTTTCGTTCGCTTTTAGTCATGGATGCTTGACTAGTCGAGTTAGGGCTTCTTTCCCCCCTCTTTCTCTCTCTGACTATGGAAGATTACCGTGGCTATGCAGAACAAATTTGGATTTTCATACTTGAAAGTTCGAATGGTTCTGCTCTAGGTGTGTCATATATTTAGGAAACTCGTAGGTGAATGGTAGTTTCTCAGTCGCTTTGTCCCTTTCTTTTTTCCATTTTGGCGAGCTCTTACTGCTTCGCTGAATGCCTATCTCATATGGTTCATGGTGGTGCTGAGGGAAAGTGGGTTACCCATTTTAGCTGAAATCCTAGTATTGCCGAATTGTGCACCTTTTTTAGACCACGCTGGTATCCATGGCGTTGCTTGTCTAGTTAAATGCCCTGAAATAGTGAAGTTGTTGCTGAAAGTTTTGGTAAAAGGTTTGATTTCTCTGTCAGAAAGAGAACTGGTTTGAGCTTCGGTTCGACAGCATTGGAACTTTTATCTTCGTATCTAATCGTGTGTGGCGTCATTTGCTGTCTGCAATTACCCGACTGACCTCTTTTTGAAGAGGTAGCATTGATTTTTGGCGCATCTCATTGTATTGACTCTAGTTTTATGACTAGTCTTATCTCGATCGCTGCTATGCTTCGGCCAAATTTGACCTGTTTTGCATTAAGATCCTTCCAATGTCTGGATTTTGGTGTTGCATGGTAGTAGTTGTAGGTCCGAAAGGCGAGGAAATAGCAGAAAACAAGTGTTTAATTGTACACCGAGCATGCTGATGAAAAACACAATCGTCATTAACTTAATCAAATTACATCATCTATATATATATAGTGAGCATTAGGGCTCACTAATTATGGAGAAGACTAAACTACCCTTTCAACACTCCCCCTCAAGTTGGGGCATAAACATCAAAGAGCCCCAACTTGTTACACAAAGTAATCGCTCTATTACCTTGCAATGACTTAGTGAAAAGATCAGCAAGTTGGTCTTCAGTTCGTGTGTATTGAAGTGTTATTTCCTTGTTTTGAATCTTTTCTTGCACAAAATGGCAATCTACTTCAATGTGCTTCGTGCGCTCGTGAAAAACTGGATTTGAAGCGATATGCATAGCAGACTGGTTATCACAACACAGAACTGAGGGAGCTGAAGAAGACATACTAAGTTCGGATAATAACATCTTCAACCAAATCAACTCACTAGTCACATGAGCCATGGCCCGATATTCCGCCTCAGCACTCGATCGAGACACCACCTGTTGTTTCTTACTTTTCCAACTCACAAGATTGCCTCCCAAGAATACATAATAACCAGAAGTTGATCGCCTATCAAAAGGACAACCAACCCAATCAGCATCAGAGTAGCCAATAACATCAAGATGTCCATGATTCTTGAACAATATCCCTTTACCTGGTCCCTTCAAGTATTTAACTATACGTAGCACTGCATCCCAATGTGTAGTACGAGCAGTACTCAATGCCCAAGAAATACCACAAACAACCCATATCTTTTGTGCTAAATTCTGCCTGTAAAAACTGTTTCAATTTTTTTATGCCCACAGAATCACTACCAGTAATGATAATATCATCCACATACACAATCAGGAGAACACACCCAGCAAGGGAAGTAGAGCTAGATACAGAATGATCTACGGTACAACGTTGCAAACCAAACCGAATAACTGCATCACTGAAATGACCAAACCAGGCACGAGGAGACTGTTTCAATCCATATAATGCCTTGCGTAGACGACAAACACTGGTAGACTCCCCCTGAGCAACGAACCCCGGGGGTTGCTCCATATATACCTCCTACTACCTCACGTTGAACAGACCAGCGCCGTTGATAGGTCTTGTCGGCGAACTAAAAACTAGGCGATGACGTTGATGACTCAGGCATACTCGCTAAGGGAATAGGCGGTGGTGGAGCCATAGTCGAAGATGGAACATCTTCAGAAGGACCCGCTGTAGAGGAGTAATATGACTGATCCTCGAAAAAGGTTACATCCGCTGAGACATACAACCGCCGACTAACTGGACTATAACACTTACACCCTTTCTGAGTTCGAGAATACCCAAGAAACACACATTTGTCGGCCTGTGGATCGAGTTTATCATGACCAGGAGCAAGACGATGCATAAAACAGACACACCCAAACACACGAAGTGGTAAAGTAAAAAGTGGACTTGTGGGATGGATAGTGGAGAAAGGTATGCCCCCATGAAGCACTGAGGATGGAAGGCGATTTATGAGATAGCATGCTGTAAAAACAGCATGCCCCCAGTACATTTTGGGGAGGTTCATATGAAAAAGGAGGCAACGAGCCACATCCAGGAGATGACGATTTTTTCGTTCAGCCACCCCATTCTGTTGGGGGGGATAAGGACAAGAAGTCTGATGCAAAATCCCATAAGATATAAGAAATGATTGAAAACCAGAGGAAACAGCCATATATTCTTTGGCATTATTAGAACGCAAATATTTAATAGAAACATGATATTGATTGAGAATTTCAAAGTAAAACATATGAAAACATGAAAAAACTTCAGTTCGATCTTTTATTAAATATAACCATGTCATTCGGGAATAATCATCCACGAATGTAACAAAATATTTATAACTAGACATATCGCTGGCACGACACGGTCCCCAGACATCAGAATGGACCAACTCAAAAGGACTAGACACACGACGCTGGACACGAGAAGGAAACGACACCCGATGGTGTTTGCCAAATTGGCATGCATCACACTGGATAGGACTCATAGATTTTGAAACAGGTGAAAAATGACGAAGAATATCAGGTGGTGGATGACCCATACGACAATGCATCTGAAATAAGTCGGAAGCAGTTTTCTTTTGAGCAGCTGCAGCAATGAGGTCTTTGTTCAGGTAGTACAGCCCATTGGACTCATGTCCGCCACCAATCATCCGTCCAGTCCTCAGATCCTGAAAGACGCAACGAGTGGAAGTAAACGTTACAGAACAATTCAAATCTCTAGTAAGAGAACTAACATAGAGCAAGTTATATGGGAAAGCTGGCAAATGATAAACAGATGAAAGAGTAAGAGAGGGACCCAAGGTTGCATTCCCTTGACCAGTGATATGGGACTGTGAACCATCAGCAAGTGTAACGGAACTAGGTGACATAGAAGTAATATCAGACAACAGCTTAGAATTACCGGTCATATGATTTGTGGCACCAGAGTCTACGACCCAGGAAGTGGGCGCAGAAGAGAGTAAACAGGACAGACTACCTGAAGAAGTCTGTGCCAAAGTAGCAGTAGGAGCAAAGGAATCCACTACCTGGTAGTGACGCACTAAGGACTCATACTCGACACGAGTCAGCATAATGGTACTAGGTAACTCCTGTGACTGATCAGGAACCTTATGTACTGGAGATTCTACTGCTTCGGCATAAGCAGCCCGTGGACGAAGCTCAGGATGTAGGGTATAGCAATAAGACTCAGTATGGCCAGCTCGCTGACAATGGTTGCAATAACGAGAACTTCCGGCACCCCTACCACCATCTTGGCCACGACCAGGAGAAAAGACAGACCTGCCACGACCCCGAGGACCACGTCCTCGGCCTCCACGACCACCAGAAGACTAAGAGACCATAACACTTGCTACAGGTGCAGATGATAATGAGTCAGGCACACATCGAAGGACCCGAGAAAAGACCTCATCTACTGATGGAAGAGTACCCTGGGAGATAATCTGTTGTCGGAGAGAAGAATGAGTAGGACCAAGAAGGGTAATTGGTCCCATCGAGCTTAACAGAGGTCAACTTTAGATTAGTGAGACCGGTATCCGTGTTTCCAGAATTGCCAGCCATAACTCAATAAGAATATCAAAATAAACTTAATCGAAATTTGCACTTTGTGCACCAATTGTAATATTTACCACCAATTACCACCAAACATAATAACTCATCAGAACAGAAGCACAAATCAACATAGGGCATTAACAAACCCAATAATCAATCATCGCAAGTAAACTTCAACACGAGGCAGGGACTTTAGTTTTGCAAGAAAAGAACGCCTATGTGATATGCGTCGGGCAAATAACAGTGTGATTCACCAAAAATTAATAATCCCATTCTCAAATATTTCTTCTGGCTGCTGAACCTATAATGCTCGTTTACACTTGAATACGAGCAAGGCCCACCTTGTGACTTCACTTTCCTCTCCCTTACCTTTTGACTCTGAAGGACATCGTTGGCAGTTCTGTGGAACCAGCAACACTCATGAACCAGCAACCCTCGTAGAATCAGCAAAACTCGTGGACTCTGGAGGTCGTCGTTGGCGGCTCTGTGGAACCAGCGACGCTCGTAGAACCAGCAACACTCGTGGACTCTGGATTTCGTCGTGGCTTCAAACTCAAACTCAAACTCGCGGCTTCAGAACTTGGTGGAACATCGCCAGATCTGAGTTCAGCAAGGCCCAGCGATGCCGGACTAGAACTGGGCAATGTTGGTGCGACTCAGGACGACTCAAAGCGACAGTAACGAGGTGTCGATTTGGTGAATCGACGGATGAATCAATGCCGGAATGGTGTCGCAAGAGTCGCCGGAGTCGCGGGAGTCGTGGACGTTGTGGACGTTGCGGACGTTGTGGACGCCGGCGGTGCGGTTGTTGCGGGAGTCGTGGTAGCCGCCGCCAGCGTAGATTCCAAGGCCGGCGGCAGTGACTTCTCAGGTGACAACAGTGGCCTCCGGTGGCTAGGGTAACAGTTGAACGACTAGGGTTTTGTTTATTGGCTCTGATACCACGATGAAAAACACAATCGTCATTAACTTAATCAAATTACATCATCTATATATCTATATTAGTGAGCCTTAGGCTCACTAATTATGGAGAAGCCTAAACTACCCTTTCAACACATGCCAATGCTGTTACTGAAATCTGGCAAGTATAAAATCCATAGTTTTCTCAGTATCGGAAGAATTTTCTCTTTCCTGGGGTAAGACAGACTGCATTAATGTTAAGCAAAGTAAGGTTGATGGAAGGGGATTCAGCATATGTGGTGCTGTGACGGTTGACCAATTTATTTCAGAGATGATGTTTCTTCGTAGTGTTCTATTAAATACTTTTGGGAGCATTTGGCAATGCTAATGTATACATCGGCAATTTTTGTACCTGTTCAGAGCTGAACGGTGATTCTTTATGCCATATGTTTTTAGCTAGGATTGTGGGATTCATTTCTCTGTTCTGTAAGGCAGATCTTTCAATTTTCTATACAACCACAAACAGAAATCGACTTGCTCTATGTGATCCTGCTTCGGATGTGCTGAGTTGATATAACCACCGCAGTTTTACTTACTGAGATTTCTATTTGAAATGTCATATATTGTTGCTGGAAGATTTTGTTATTTGGTCAATTGTCCATTCTATCGGTAACTCTGCTGCTGGATCCTGCTATGGCATATGCTCAACAACAGCGGCAAGCAGCAAATATGCAGCAGCAGCAGCAGCAGTATAGGTTTCACCCGCAGCATCAGCAGTTCCCTCCTGTGCAGGGTCCTCCTTTCCTACTTCCACGATCTTCTCTCCAGCAATTCCCTTATCATCACCTTATAGCTTCCTTTTCGAAGTCGAACCAAACACACACACTTTTTCCTGTATAGAGAGCACTCTTCCTTACAAAACAAAAATGAATTGGCAATTGGCAAATAATTGTTGACCGTGACTTGAATTCTTGTGAGCCTTTGTCATTCAGGCTTAAACAAGTCTCACAAGAGCTCAGGTGAATCACTTCGACAAAAGGGTGTAATAATAAGATTGATAGGACTAAATCCAGTGCCGCAGGGCATTGTGAAGCTTCCGTTTATGACCAAGAACATCAAAATCGATCAAGATGGGTCAGAGGTCGAAGCAAGGTTCAATGAATGGGCTCTCAATGGAGTTTTTCCATAATCATTCTTTGGCTAGTGTATAGGTATGTCAACTGATTTTGTTAAAAAGAAATGCTACTAGATGAGGATTGTTTCAAACGTAAAGATTTGCATTTACTGCATCGTTTCATCTCAAGACTATTCTAGCCACTCATTTAGTCATTACAACACTTATAGTAAACTTAGCATTCAAATAGATTAGTGTACTAACAACGAACTGCTAAGTTTACTATTATGTAAGTGTTGTATCGAATGGCTAAATGAGTGGCTAGAATAGTCTTGAGATGAAACGATGCAGTAAATGCAAATCTTTACGTTTGAAACAATCCTCATTGTTTTGTGATTCTAGTAGCATTTCTTTTTAGCAAAATCAGTTGGCATTCCTATACACTGGCTAAAGAGTGATTTTGGAAAAACTCCATTGAGAGCCCATTCATTCAACCTTGCTTCGACCTCTGACCAACCTTGATCGATCTCGACATTCTTGGTCATAAAATGTAGCCCTCGCAATGCATGTACGGCACCGGATTAAGTCCTATCGATCTGATTATTACACCCTTTTGTTGAGGTGATTTGCCTGAGCTCTTGTGAGACTTGTCTGAGCCTGAATGGTAGCTGCACACCAAGTGACGAGGGCTGCAGCCCCAAGCGACTTGCGAGCAATGCCGTCACAGGGTCTCCTTCTCCCTTGATGTTGTGAACCAAGATGCTATCGTCACAGACATCTACCGTGATCTCAAAGGAGCACTTTTCATCTTCGTCGTCCTTGAATCTTGTGTTGCTTCTTCTCTTCGTGCTCATACTGCTCAAAGGGCCACTATAACCAACTCTGGAGCTACAATTGCTTTCATGGTATCTGAGCACCGTTGTAGAATTTAAATGGGTAGATAGAACATTAACCGATGATTGAAACACGTTTGGCAAGTTACGTGACGTAATGTAAGAGGAAATATCCAGGGAAAGTCGTCCATGTTCAGCCATTTTAGAGATAGTGATGTTCATCATATTAAACTCGATATGAACAAATGCTAAAATAGATCTATGTTGATACTTTGCTATTTCTTCGAATTTAATACGAAGTCAAGATGGGTAATGTTGATAGCACTGTTGTATTATGTTCTTTTAGGATTTCAAATGGATTGAGTCCCGGACATAACGCCACATTAAAGAAGTGCGAGTCCAAAGTGGTAGGGCATTTGCTATATCTTGGAACGTACCTTATCATGGTTATGATTCCAAGTTAGAATTTGGAAATTGGCCTTTTGAACCACCATGAAACTTGAAACCTATGGTAGGGAATCCCATTTGTTTTTCTTAATGGAGTTAAAGATTACCAATCAGTTTTGCACATTTGGATGTGAAATTTCATAACGAAAACACAAAAAAATATCATCAACTGATTAAGTAAACATATATTTACGGAAAATATATCATACATGATGCCTCATACCCCGAATGCGGTACAATGAGATACAGCCCGAGGCCCCTCGATCTTATCATGTACTCAATGATTCTGGAAAATACGGAACATGGAATACACTTTGCAACCTCTGTGACTTACTTGGCCATGCCGTTTCCATAATTTCTTCTCCAATGCTACTCTATGACACATGATTCTAAAAAATAAGATTCTTTTTTGGTCGGATAAAAGAAAAAGACAGTTGGGATGTGGTAACGTCTGTCGCGATTAGTGAAGTAAAACGACCTTTTCGCCGATTAAATTTGAGCCTTTTATTATTTTGGCAACTAAAAATTGAAGAAATTTGCTCGGGGCGCCGCGTCCGGGGGATTTCACATCCTTATACCCGCAAATGCCCTCGGACTGGCTATTTAATTACAATCCAGACCTGGCTATGTTACAAAAGAATCATCAGGCTCTTCCCACCGTTCCTCCACCAGACTCTCCGCCATCAGCGTCACCGCCGCTGCCGCCCGCCGCCAGCCGCCCACCGCCGCAACTCTCGTCTCCGGTAACTCCACTTCAATCCCCCTCTCTCTCTCTCTCTCTCTCTCTCTCTCTCTCTCTCTGTGATGATCGATTCTCTTCTCTTTGTTCTCTCTGATTCGTGCGCTTAGCCGTGGATGCTTGACCGTTCGAGCTAGGGCTTTTTTTCCCCCTTCCTTCTTTCTCTCTGGCTATGGAAGATTACCGGAACCCACCCTCGATTTACGAGTGCCTGTGGCTATTAGAGAGATTCTCCATGGCAGAACCGGATTGGATTCTCGCATGCTTGCGGGTTCGAGGATGGTTCTTGCTCTGCTTTTCCGGATGCGTCGTGTATGTTTAGGAAACTCGTGGTTGAATGGCAGTTTCTTCGGTCGCTTTGTCCCCTTCTTTTTTTCGACCTTGGCGAGCCTCTTCTGCATGGCCGAATGCCCTATCTCATGTGATTCGTCGGGGGTGCTGAGGGAAAGTAGGTCACCCATTTTAGCTGAAATCTCAGTACTGCCGATTTGGGGGCTTTTTAAAGATTATTCTGCTATAAATTATGAAATTTGTTGCTGAAAGTTTCGGTAAAAAGTCGATTTCTATGTCGGGAAGAGAACTGGTTTGAGCTTGGGTTCGACTGCATTAGAACTTTATCTTCTTATCCAATCATGGATGGTGTGTCATTTGCTGTCCGCAATTACCTGACTGACCTCTGTTTGAAGAGTTAGCGACGATTTTTGGCGCATCTAATTGTATTGACTTCTAGTTTTATGTCTGGTCTTATCTCGACCGCTGCTGTGGTTCGGCTAAATTTGACTTGTTTTGCATTTAGGTCCTTTCAATGTCTGGAATTTGGTGTTGCACGGTAGTAGTTGTAGGTCCGAATGGCGAGGAAACGGCAGAAAACGAGTGTTTAATTGTACACCGGGCATGCCAATGCTATGGTTGAAAATCTGGCGAGTATAAAATCCATAGTTTTTTCATTATCGGAAGAATTTTTTCTTTCCAGGGGTAAGACAGACTGCTTTAATGTTAAGCAAAGTGAGGTTGATGGAAGGGGATTTGGCATATGTGGTGGTGTGACAGCTGACCAATTTATGGCAGAAACGATGTTTCTTTGCAGTGTTATATCAAATGCTTTTGGGAGCATTTGGTAATGCAATTTTTGTACCTGCTCAGAGCTGGACTGTGATTCTTTATGCCATTTGTTTTTAGCAAGGGTTGTGGGGTTCATTTCTATGTTCTGTAAGGCTGATCTTTCAATTTTCTATACAACCACAAACAGACATCGACTTGCTCTATGTGATCCTGCTTCGGATGTGCTGAGTTGATTTACTTACCGCAATTTTTCTTCCTGAAAATTCTTTTTTTTTTTGGTTGAATCTGAAATTTCTATTTGAAATGTCATATATTGTTGCAGGAAGATTTTGTAATTTGGTCAATTGTCCATTCCATCAGTAACTGTGCTGATGGATCCTGCTATGGCATATGCTCAACAACAGCGGCAAGCAGCAAATATGCAGCAGCAGCAGCAGTATGGGTTTCACCCGCAGCATCAGCAGTTCCCTCCTGTGCAGGGTCCTCCTTTCCTACCTCCGCATCCTTCTCTCCAGCAATTCCCTTATCATCACCCTATGCAGCAACAGCCTCAGCTTTCTTCCCATGCTCCTACACTTCCTCACCTTCTTCATCTTCAGCAGCAACAGCAGCCGCCATCTGCCTTCCCTCCACACATGGCTCCACCACTTGTTCCTTCACCTTTCCTTGGCCCATACGATTCTTCTCCTCCTCCAGTTCCTCCTCCTTCTGATCCTGAGCTTCGTAAATGCATTGACAAACTTGTGGAGTACGCTGCTAAAAACGGGCCTGAATTTGAAGCCATGATTCGCGAAAAACAGCAAGATAATCCTGCATATAGTTTTTTATTTGGGGGTGAGGGGCATGGTTACTATCGTTATAAGCTTTGGATGTCTACACGTTTTCCAGGCAGTCACTTTCCTCCTTTTCCGTCCTCTTCGATCCCTATTATGCACCAACCTCCCAATCCGATGTTGAATGCATCCCCTTTGAACACACCACTGAATGCTGCTGGTGCTACTCCAGGGTCTTCAGCCTCTATGTTAGGTGCTCCTCAGATGCATCAACCTCCTTTTCCTCCATTCTATGAGCAGCAGCCCCATCAACATCTCCCACCCTTTATGGCTCATGGTCGGCCAGAATATGATAAGTCATCTGAGTCCTTCAAAGGACTATCTGGCCCACTTCCCTCTGATGTTGCTGCAGAACTTAGCGACGTAATAAGTAATCTTACTGGTACAAAGGATTCAATTAAAGGGGCCAAACTCTGGTTCATGCAGAGGTCTCCATTTGCGCCAGCTCTTGCAGAGGCTCTTAGGGACAGGGTCTATGCAATGGATGACTCTGAGAGACAGCTGCACATTATTTACCTTGCTAATGACATTCTTTTTGACAGGTTAGATTCTTATCATGTGCTGGTTTCTTGTCCTACTGAGCAATCTGATTTCCATCTATTCAGGAGATTCTAAATTTGCTTGCAGTCAAGTTTGATTTGTAGATTCTTTTACTGCTTCATACTTTTCCCCTCATAGCGATTTCTTATGCTAGTTCTACTTTCAGTCTTTTTCTGGAATAATGGACATGCACTGGACCTTCTGGAGTATTGTTTCTTTGTTACACAACCCCCCTCCCGCTCCTTCTCTCCTTTTTCATGTGTGACTATGTCAAACCAAACCTACAGTGATAACTCAGGCCATTGGACAGGAAATATTGGTTTTATACTGGGACACTTCTTCAAGTTTGTTACAATTTATAATTGTTACTCCTAGTAAGTACTTTTGTTTTACCTTGAAGAAAGAGATGGCTTATGTGCTTAAAATGTGGAAGAAGTCTCGTGAGTTTATTTCCAGTTGGTTTAACTGTGGAATTTCATAAGCTTAATGTGACACGATTCAATCAACAAGGACAAAATGTGATGTGTGCTTATGTAGCCATTGGTCAAAAAGCATCTTTTGTGGCTCAAGTAGTGAATACTCTCCAAGAAAGGGGAGCTATGGAATACACTATTGTGGTTAGCCCCCCAATTGTATTTTGCCCGAGATGGCTTACTCTTTCTACCCGAGGGGAATCTTCCTTCTCCTTTATTCCTGTAAAATTATTTCAGTAAAGTAAATAGCAGGAATTGTGGATAGGGAACTATACATGCACAGGTGACATAATTTAGTGGAACGATCAACGATTGAAGCTTTAGATTGGCAAAGTTATAATGGAAGTATGAAATTTTGCATTATAACATTGAGAACCAAATTTGAGCGTCTTTTTTAAATATTTAACTCAGCTCAACGTATGGGCTTGCATCTTTAATCTCGAGTCTTGCTGGTATGCTCACTTGGTTGGGGACTTGTAAGTCCCTTGTTGGTGGTGTTGGGCATTTTTACAAACATTTATAGAAAGGAAGGACTTTTTTAGAATGAGAAGGTCATGTGGTCTATGGGTTTTGCCTTTACTTAATTGCTTTATTTTACAGGTCCTATTTATTGGTCCCGGACCCCAATGCATATTGAGAATATGTTGGTCCTTGTTCTTGTAGGGCTTACATGTGGCATGTGTTACGAGTCTTCTCTCTGTTAACCTGCCTTTCCTTCCTTCTTTCCCCTCTTTGTTCTCCCTGTGGATAACGTGTGGAATGATAGGTCTACCATCAATAGCAGCACAGTAGGCTCTCCATTTGATATGTTACGCCATAAAAGAGAGATAGGCTTTCCATATGAATAGTATGGGGATTGGGATCGAATCATAAGTATTATTTCCTGTCCCAATGAAACTTGTATCTGACTGTGCACTGTTTACTAGAATGGTTGATTTTTCTTTCTTGAAGGGTTTACATTGTAGCTTATGCTCTCCATAATCAGGAGATATCAGTCTTGTTTTCTTTTTCGCTATAGCATTTCATCCTTTTTATTTGCAATGCGATGCAGTCACTGAATGTTAGATGGTTCTGCTGTGATTTTCTAGTTTGCATTCTGCCAGGGGCCTTGTAACATTGATCTCTTATTTGTTGCAGCTTGCAACGAAGGGTTAACCCTCACGACCTTGATAATGAGGCCCTCGCGTTTAAACCTGTTTTAGGTTCCATGCTTGCGAGGATTTACCACAATCCTCAAAACAAGGAAGAAAATCAATCACGTCTACAGAAAATATTACAATTTTGGGCTTCCAAGGAAGTTTTTGATCAGGATACAATTTATGGCCTAGAGGGTGATATGATTGGTGGGGTACCTAGTAGTTCTTTTCCTGGGCCTTCAAAAGAACTATCCATGGCTTCCAAAGACTCTGCCTCAGGTATTCTATCACCTAAATCAGATTTCTTTGAATGTTTAATTAAACTATGCAATTTACTTGAAATGCATTGACTCCATAGGAAAAAAAAAACAGTACTTAGGCTAGATCAAAATGTTCAATCATCCTAGAACTAGGTCCAGTTCTTGTTGGTCCCGATACTCGCAATTTTCTTCTCATTTGTGCCACCTTACTGTCATGAAGTATATTAAATATTCTGGCTCCTTACTTCCTGGGACAAAGTGCTAGATGTGTAAAGCTCTGATGAAAATGGCGCCAACATTGTTATTTTTGTAGTTGTTCACATGAGATTAGTAGTTTCATATTTGAAAATTGCTTAGATTATTTTCTTGTGCAGGGTTGCCACAACAAACGTCGAATCTCCCTCGCTGGCAGCAAGAAAGGCAAAGTTCTGTTTCAGGTCTACCGGATAAAGACCCAGCCTTGCCGCCCTCTCTAGCACCTCAGCAGTTTCTTCCTAATGCAGTTCCTGGCGGTGCTTTTCCGGGGTCCATTCCCGTGCCCTCAGCTGTTCAGCCTTTACCGGCATCAAATGCTAATGTTGGCGAAAAGTTGCCCCCATATCCTTTATTCCCACCTGGTCTTATACCAGGAATGGTCAGAAAGATGCAGATTGGCAGTGGCGTGCCTTACTCTCCCATGAGCCCTTTGGACATTCCAAACGTAATACCTCCATCTACCGTGCCTCCGTCAGAAATTCTCGAGAGAGTGTCGAAATTCTTCAAAGAAATTGGAGAGGTCAACCCTTCTGAAGGACCCATGGAAGCAGATTCTAGAGAAGATGACGAGGAGTACGAAAGAGAGCTTCCTGTTCGAAAGGGAGGAGCATGCATACCTCCACCTCCCAATCTGCAGGTTGACCCAGAGACAGGTGCTTATGCTGATGGAAGTGTTGATCGGAAAAGCGGCTCAGGTAGATTGGGACTAGGGGCGACAGTCAATCCCAATGAAGTGAGCCAATATGATGATGTTTATACTTCTTACCGGAAGCAAAGAAGCACGAACTACCATTCATCAATGAGTGCACGAGCTGCTGCGAGGTAGTAAGATGGAGCATGGTGTGCCCATCTCCCCAATCCACTGCTCTCTGAAAGAGTCGTGTTTAGCCTGAGAAAGTGATATTTTAGACCGAAACTCCGTATCTGTACAATCTCTGTTCAATTTGCAATTAGGGAAGGTCGGCCATGCTTAGGTTTTGTGATCCTAGTATTTGACTCATTTTGCTGCGAGGATGCATATTTGCCAAGGAATAAGCGCTTCGATCTCTTGTTTCTTTCGGCTAAGTCCAAGTATTTTCTTATGGGTTGAAGTATTCTTTTGGAGCATTCCTTCAGTTCCAAACCGTAAACCCCTCTATAATCTATTTATAATACGGGTTAAAGGATCTTGCAACATGAGATTGTGCACTTAGATATGTATAAAACTGACAGTTTTGCTTTCATGGGAATGTGGAAAAACGGGTGTTTCTTGTAACTTAGGCATGTATTGAACTGTGGATTGAAACTCTGGGTCGGGTCTCTAGAGACGATCTTGCAATGTTTTTCGGTTCACTTCCTTAGCAAGATGAGATTAACTTCTTGGAAACATCGGCACTGTTAAACAACAGTCCCTCTCTCGTCCATGGAGTTCAATTTTTCGCGGTGGTGATGCGGTATCAGTTCCTCGTCCCCGAGTCTATGATCTGCATCTCTGATAGATCATTTCATGCCTTTTAGGCGTGGCTTTTTATATGTTTATTGTCACCGTAAACAGGTACCGTATGTCACATTCATGCTGCTTCAACGATTAAATTAACGGAACATGCGTTAATGCGTCAAATGGAAGGATTTGATTGAAACGAATCGAAGGACTCGTAGATGGTTTGATTGCATGAAAGGAAGATCGAGGACCCAATTGCATAAGATGCAAGAGTTTGGGGACTAAAATCGCATTTGATCCTCGCTTTCCTCGCGAGTCCCGTTCCGCATCGCCGTTTCATATCCATCACCATCGCAAAAAGCGCGCAAAACGCACCGCTTTGGCCAGAGCAGCAAATACGACACTGCAAAACAGCCTCTGCGAATCCCTCCCTCCAAGAAAACTTGGGAGCTCGATCTTCGCGCGACTGCGAAGAGGAAGGTCAAATCAAATCCCGAGCATTTCCACGAACACCTTCTCTCCCTCTGCCGATCGCGCTTCTGTTTCCTCCGCAGGTACGAGATAAATGCGCTCGCCGATCGAAATGAATGGATCCTTCACAGTACTAGCGAATAACGATGAAGCTGCCGGTGTTTTTGTCGGCTGGGCTGTAGTTGACGATGGATGTTCCTGGTTTGATTGTCGAAGTAAAGGATATAAGCGATTCCATTGCGCTGCTAGTGGCTCGTTCGTATGTAGGATCCTTCTTTGAGTTTTTTTCCTCCTCGAGGAAGAATTAGTGAAGAACGCCCAATTGTGGGGAGACAGAAGTTTCTCAAGATTTTCTGGACATCTTTTGCGATTTATGTGCGTTATGTTGATGTTTAGAGAGTGATTTTGTTCCTTTGAAGGAAGGAAGATCAGAACTTTTGTTGGTTGGATAGGCTTAAATAATCTGAGCATTGCTGTGTGGTTGAGTGGTCCTGTTTAATGTGATTCAGTATAAGTTTTCATGTGAGAGAGGTACAGAGCCCAACATGCCAAAAGCATGAACCATTTGCTATTTCTTTTCTTGTTCGTTTAACTTTTGGTGGAATTGGGACTTGCTTGGTCGAGGATTTCGACGATCTTTGATGAGAAAGCTGGGATGATTGAGCCCCTCAACGTGATATAATACCTAATTTCAAGAATCAAATGACTGTCTTTTCCTTTCTTTTGGGTCCGTCACTGTTCAGCAGGCAATAGAAACTGATTCACCCGTTGTTGCTGATAAGGCACGATTCTTCTATTTTGCGTACGCCTGTTATTTCTGTGACTCCAACTTACTTACACGTTCCCCCTTTTATGACTTAAGAGGGCTTGCAGTCGTTCTCAATTGAAAAATTCTTTCGCAACATGTGCACGTGGGAGCTATATCTTTGAGATACTGATGACATCCAATGAGACCCCCCTATTCTTACACCATCATGTGACATTCTTCATTTCTTTCTTTTATTGTAGTCTCCGGTCCATCCTAAAATTTCAGAATCCATATCATGGATGGTGAAGCTGTCAATGGTGATGCTGTCATTGCAAAACTAGTGGAAATGGGATTTGAATATTCTTCAGCAGTAGAGGCTGTGAAAGTGGCTGGTGCTTCAATAAATGACGCAGCTGACTATATCTTGAATGGCCCCTGGAGAACCAATTTGGGTGCATCAACCAGTTCTAACCATTCCAAAGTATGTGTAAAAGCTTCAGGAAAAAGTGCTTCGTCCCTGTCACAGCCTTCAGGGAGAATGTGGCAATCTAACATTCTGGATCATTTTGGAACAAAAAGGCAAACCAAAAGAAGTAGATTTAATGTGGAAAAAGATGTTTTGGATGCGAGGTCAAAAGTCTCACCTGTCATGGAAGGAAACGGGAATGTCCATCCTGATACGCATCGAGACGCCGAGATCACATCAGAAATTATTGCTGTTGATTGCGCAGAAGAGCTGCATCTGGGAGCAGACTGGGAGCAGCAAGTTAATGGTCTCTTATGGAAGCACTTTGGTCATGCATCCTTGAAAAGCTTCCAGAGAGAAGCTTTGGCTGCTTGGCTATCTCACCAAGATTGCCTTGTTCTCGCTGCAACTGGATCTGGTGATATTTATTTGCTTGTGATTGACCAAAATACTTTCAGACCTAGTGCCGATTCCATATTCAGGAATGATCTCTTTTTTGCAGGTAAATCACTGTGTTTCCAGATTCCAGCCCTACTGTCCAGGAAGGTGGTTGTTGTGATCTCGCCATTGATAAGTTTAATGCATGACCAGTGTCTAAATCTCGCAAAACATGGTGTCTCTGCCTGCTTTCTTGGATCTGGGCAACCTGACAATAGCGTGGAAAAGAAAGCGATGGAGGGTAAATATGGTTTGATATATGTTTGCCCAGAGTCACTTTTAAGGTAAGAGTTTGACATGTCATGTGCATTTGCATTATCACTTTTGTCATTTACCGAGTGATATGGATCTTCCTACAGGCTGATAAAACCACTACAAAGTCTTGCAGCTGGCCGAGGAATCGCGTTATTTGCAATTGATGAAGTCCACTGTGTTTCGAAATGGGGCCATGATTTTCGGCCTGACTACAGGTTAACCCTTTTCTTCTGATCCCATCTTTCTCTGTGTATGACCTTATTTGTCTGGCAGGTGATTAGCCATCTGAGACCTGACTTGCTAAAAATGTCACATACATTAATCATTGACATGATGGTAAATCTGTCATTTTACTTGATATATTTTGTATCTTTCGTTTCTATGATTCAATTTGATTTTCGTTACAGTCATTTCTTCTCTCTTTTTCTTACCAGTTACTCAGTTATTTACGATGACTTTGCCCATTGGTTCAGCTTTGCATGTTCATGATCCTGGTTGATAGAGGGGACAATTAAGATGATTAAAAGATATAGGGTAAGGATTCTTTCCTGACTCAAGTTTTTTCACGTTTCAGGAGACTATCTGTGTTAAGAGAGAACTTCAGCACTTCCAAGATGAAGTTCTTGAAATTTGACATTCCAATGATGGCTTTGACTGCTACTGCTACTAACCGTGTTAGAGAAGATGTTATTCAGTGCCTTAACATGTCAAAGGAGACAAAGATTGTGCTTACATCATTTTACCGCTCCAATCTACGTTTTTCTGTGAGTTTGCTGTTTTCTTTTGTTCTAAGGATTAAATTGGGTTTTATGTGTCCATAGGGATATTTAAGTGCTTGAAAACAGAAACATGCACCAGCATGATTTTTGGTAGATTTGCTCCTAATATGGACCTGCTTTTAACAGGTCGAGCATAGCAGAACTTCTTCACGGACTTACAAAAAGGATTTCCATGTTTTGATAACAACATATGGTATGAGAAGAAAGATTGGTGACAACCAGCATCTCGACTGTGCTGAAGATTCCGATAATACATCAGTATGCTCAGAGGACGACTACTGTGACAGATATGAAGATGATGAAGCGAATTCGGTGAATAATGATAACAGCTCTTCAAGGGAGACAGAATTGTCAGTTGAATACTTAGAAGATGCAACGGACACCTTCCAGGGTGTGGATGATTGGGATGGTATCACTTTTTGTTAAAGAGGCATATCTATGGAATTCTGATTTCTGCATGATGTTTCTATCATTGCTGTTTATATATGCTTGTTGGATGTGGAGCAAGGGACTTTATGAAAATTTACTCATAAAATGGAAATTGTCCCAAAACTGTGCTAGAACTTATTCATCCTGTAATTTCATTAGCTATTCAATTGGCCCTTGCAGTTCCCTGCGGAGAATTCCATGGAGAATCTCCTGATTTAAGCCAGGAGATATGCAGTTCTTTTGAGACATCTGGTTCACCAATGGAACTGGAAGAAAGGCTTAAGCTTCAGCAAGAGCCATTGGAACGTGGACCTACTATCATTTATGTCCCTACGAGGAAAGAAACTTTGACAATTGCCAAATTCTTGTGTGACTGTGGCATCAAAGCAGCAGCTTATAATGCCAAGGTTCCATTCTGCATAAATTTAAGTACCCTATTTAATTGATGTATTCTCAATTTGATGCTTTCATTGTGGTATCATTCTTGCTTCAAACTACTCACATCTCTTTTATATTTATTACTGGGTTGTTCACTTTCACTTGTTCACCAAACATTTTGAATCATGTGGATAAATATCTCCAGAGATTACACACCTTGATTTCTGTGATGCTGCTAGAGTAGGTTCTATGTCTTGTATCTGCAGAAGTAGAGAAAATACATAAGCAGTTCAAGCGCTCAAAGAATGTTTACCTGGTATGAATGTGATGTCATGTACACCACAAATGGTAGAAATTACAAGTGAGACAGATATCAGATATCCTTTAACTCTGTTTAAAATCTTGACATTTTACTTAACAATTCAAATAATTATTCCTTTGTAGCTGATTTATTTATTTCTTTACAGTTGTCAAAATCATATCTTAGGCAAGTCCACAAGGAATTTCATGAAGATGACTTAGAGGTAAGCATAATTCTATATTAGATTATTGTCCACTGCAAATATAGTGCATAAGATAAAAAGTTTTAAGTGGCATGATCTGCATTTGATCCTTCCTTTGTGAAGTATCTCCTCCATATCACAGCATGAAATAGGAATAGTTCATGGAGCATCTCCTTCATAATACTGCTATGTGAGACCTGCTTTATTACCTGACATCCAGGTTGTTGTTGCGACTATGGCTTTTGGAATGGGGATCGACAAGTTAAATGTCAGAAGAATCATCCACTATGGTTGGCCACAGGTCAGTATCTCAATGTCTTTTATATTGCACTGATTTTCCTTTTATCCTATTCCTTTTCTTTTTTTTCTCGGCCATCCTTATTTTCCTTGCTAGGAATGCTTAAGTGGCACTTCTTACATATGAGGTTGAGATTCCAGGTTGAATTCACTTGCAGAGTTTAGAGGCATACTATCAGGAAGCAGGGCGTGCTGGAAGAGACGGAAAATTAGCAGATTGCAGTAAGTTCTTCAAAACTGTTCATTGTGGTTGGAGGCAATTGCCATTAGTATTGTATATCCATAGAAAGTACTACCGAATTCTCGACTTATAAGGGAATCCCAGGTGGTCGGGGAGGGAGAGAGTTCTATGCTATTTTTAACCTCAGAAGAGCATAGAAATATATTTGCAACAAACAGATTTCAACTTTATATTGTTATTCATCCTTCATTTCTTGTTTATCAGCTCTCTGGATGGAGAAATTTAGCTCACCTGGCGGAATTGTTTTAGTTCTTTTTCACATTATTTATTGCACTTAGGATAACTTCGTACTCCTTTTGGCGAGTGATCCTGGCTGCAATGATGCACTCTGCAGCATTATTTATCGTGTATTTTGTAAGCTACAATTTGTATTGCGTGTATCCTTACAAACATGTCTTCTCTCCTCCCCAATCAGTACTCTTTGCTAATTTAGCAAGAACACCAACTCTGTTGCCTAGTCAAAGAAGTGCAAATCAGTTGAAACTAGCATACAAAATGCTGTCTGATTGTCACAGGTATGTTCACTTAATCTCTTTCATTCCATTAGTTGGACATGTCTTAATATTTTATTGCCAGCCTTTTTTTTTCTGCTGCAGGTATGGAATGAACACTGCAAACTGTCGAGCTAAATCGCTCGTTGAGTACTTTGGGGAGCAATTCAGTTATGAGAAGTGCTACTTGTACATTGCTTATCCTTTTCTGTTTTTTTTGTAGAATGTGCTCTCATGAATTATGGTCTATTGAGCAGCTACATCATGCTGAAAATTAAGTTGATGGTAGTTTTAGCTCCTTAGCCAGATTGACCAGATAAAATATATGATTTACCATTCCATTTCATGAAGTCCTGCCTTTGCTCATTTTAGTACGTCACACAGGATTCAGAGAAGTCGAGGAAAAATAGGATTCAGAGAACATACTTAATTTTCTGAGCTCCCTTCTTTGATATCAAGTGATTTCTGTTCAAGATTATGGAGTATCTATCATTGTAGGTGCGATGTGTGCATTAAAGGACCTCCTGAGATGCTGAATGTGAGGGAAGAGGCTGATGTTTTCATGCAGGTTCTTGCTGCTCACAAGGTTAGCTCCTAGATTTGTGAGATATTAGTAGTTCATATCTGTTTAATCTTCACAATCTTTTGTGTTCAAGATCTCCAGTCCTACTTTTGTTGGAGATATGACGATAACAGCGCCAGATTATTTCTTCTCATTGTGGATAAACTGTAACAGCACCATAACTATTTCTTTTTAGTGTAAGAGATGTTCCATAAACATCATAGTGGAGGATAGAAGGTTAATTCTGTCATTAGAACTTGAAAGATAGGCTTTAGATTGTTTAGAGAGATGAGCATTTTCAACTCGTTTGGAGGAAGATGAAAGGGTAAAAGACAATTTTATTTGCTATTCTGAGACCATCACGTAATGATAAAGGAAGATCAAGAGGTTTTTTAAGCAGCAGGACCCTTTCTTCTCCTGATCGAGTGAAGTTGTGCATTATAGATGGAATGGCATTAGTACGTGCAGTTGCTGCTAAGAATCTTCCTTGTTTTTAGATGGCTTTACTTGCAAATTATCAAGGAATGTATTGTACAGTGACAGATGGTAATAGGTAATGTCTAAATCCCTGCAATGCAGAAACAATATGCTTTGTCTCGGGGAAGCAGCGGATACACCGCTGACTCATATGATGATGATGTAACATGTCATGACGTCAAACAAAGACAGTATGTTGAGAAGCTATATCTCAGGCTCTTGGTCAGTAAAATCAGGGAGCAGGTACTCTCTCTCTCTCACACACACACACAAAAACACACACGCCCTCCACTCCAAGCAGCTGCCTCCTTGAGGGCGGGGCAGTTCAATTATAGGGTCTTCTTCCTGGCAGTTCATCTGTTCATTCTCCTTTCTCCTCTTCTGATATCAAAAGGGAGATCGCATGTTCTCAGATATGGTGGGCAAATGCTTCACTGCTTGTGAGGTTCTTTTTGTTAGATTGCTCTCTCCACTGCTAAAATGTGACACTCGAAATGGTAAAAAAGAACAGTGTACAAATCAATGATGAGTCACTTGCTTTTCTCTGATTTGTGTTGCATATATCTATATATTTTCTTTGTACAATGCCAGCTGATACCTGATGTGCTGATGTCCCCCTCTGCAGTCTCCTAAACACATGGCAACTGACATGTTATGGTGGCAAGGTCTTGCTCGAGTTATGGAAAGTAAAGGATACATCCAAGAGGGTGACGAGAAGGTATGTACTCTTATAATGAATTAAACTAGTCATTTTGTTGGGAAATATACAGAAAGGAGTAAATTCTGTCTTGCCATCGTCTGATAACTGGATAACAAGGATATCAAGGACATTATTGTTAGCGATGGCTCTGCATAATCTCTCGGTACACTTGGCACCAGTTCGAAGCTTTCAGTTTATCTGAGGAAACGCTCGCATGGTTGTCTAGTTCCATTGGATTTGCACATTTTCAGAATGCACATTCAATTGGAGTTACACATCTGCATCATCATGGGCTCCTTAGTAATTCGCGATTTCCTTTTTGCAGGCTCATGTTCAGATAAAATATCCTGAGCTAACTGAACGAGGACAGGATTTTGTGCAATCACAAAGAGAGGAAGGATTGTACATATTTCCTGAAGCCGATATGCTTCTCTCAGGGAGAAAACGGAAATCATTTTCCACCTTTTCTGAATGGGGAAAGGGCTGGGCTGATCCTGAGATACGTCGCCAGCGCTTGGAGAGGAGGCGATTAAACAGGAGGCCAAGAGAAAGGAAATCAAAAGGTTTCAAGGCAAGTCAGAAAACCGTTCGAGGAAGGCTAGCTAAAAAACTAAAATCAAGGTGAGGCGATTGTTTTGGGTAGGGATTTGTCCGAGTGTCCAGTTTTATCTGTAATTACAGAATTAGGCACTGACGTAAATTATATCATCGAAATGTATACTTTTTCGTGGAACATCTTTTGAATGCATATGCTTCAGCTTCAAATAGATCGTTTTATATTAGAAACTACATTCATTGCAGATAATTACACTACGCACCGTAAATTCGGTGGATGCCGGGGGAGTCATGCCTCATTAGTCATTTTTAAGCTGGTTTGTTGCAGTGAACTGCATTTCATATTGATGCGTCGATCGCGTTCTCGAGCCTTTAACGTGTTGCGAAATATGGAAATCCTGTCACCCAAGATCGCATAACAAATTCCGTATTTTGTTAAAGTATATTGTCGCCTCTCAAGAAAACTTCAAAAAGTAGACTGTAGGATATAGTTCCACTTCACCTTCAACTCCCAAATAAAGAAGTGGGTTTCCGTAGTTGCTCAAAAGTCAAAACTCGTTATTAGCATTCACGATTGGATGGGTTTGCGATCGTCATAACTTCAGTCGGGGTCAAAACATGTAATTGCGGTACTAATGGTAAGACATACTGTATGAACACACCGCAGATATTTGCTTCCTTTTCAAAGACCCGTTATCCGTAGATATAATTGAAACCAACTAATCTAATATGATCCATATTTTGGTTTACTGGCCACCGATCCAATATGATAATCATAGATAGAGGGAACGTTGGTGCAACATAAAATTAAAAATATAAATTATAACTACGTGGTCCCAGCAACAAGAAGGCGCATCTAGTGTAGTGGTATCATAGTACCCTCCCACGGTACTGACCGGGGTTCGATTCCCCGGATGCGCACGTTCCCATCACTTTTTCCTGTTTTTGTCGTTCATGACTCTCGAATTTTTTAAATAGGGATGGATCTAGAAATTTTTCTTGATGGGGGCAAAATTTGATCAAACACGAGTATTTTAACAATTCATACAGTGTAGTCACATTTATATATATCAAAAGACTCGCACTTTGGAGGCTTGGTTTGCCTATAAAAACTGCGTGTTCATGATTTTAGAACTGTTCATTCAGCTTTATTATCAATTTATAGGGGAGAGTTGAGTTTATATATTTACTACCGACTTGTGATTGCTTTTTTTTTTTTTTTTGAGAAATTTAAGGGGCTAAAAGTTGTTCTTTAGGCCAAAATACCTTAAACTATTTTAAAAAGATAGAAAAATTGAGTGAGGGTTTCCCAACTTCTATACGTATAGACCAATCCCTCCTCATGATCCAGCGACACGAGAAGATGTCGTGGCACTCTTGAAACATTTGAAAGAAAAAAAGCAAGAAGTTAATGCTTCAAGTATATATATTACCGGGGAAAAAACACTAAAAAAGCTAAACATACTCTCAAGGAACCCCATTGACTTTGTCTTCTTGAAATCTGAGAAAAAAATCAAACCAGCTTTCTGTCTCAGAAATAGTTATCTGCTTCCTAGCAGTCGCATGTGCGTCTTGTTGTTGCTAGGATAGGAATGTAACATGCACGTGCTCGCTCTGTCACTATCCAACCAGCATGAATCATTTCATTGCAAGGCATTGTAAATGAATGATCGAACCTGTACCAGCGTGGACATGTATATTATATACAGCAAGTGTCGATTTTTTTTTAGGACAATCGAGTCACGGCGATGCAATTTGATTTGTTCGGGAACGTGAAATTCATTCGTACATGAAACCTGCGAGTCATTTTCTTTATTTTCATACGAAAACCCCACCAAATAAATGGCATTTAATAAGGACTTTGACTTCGGAGTCAACAACTCAAGTGTTTCTTTGCAGGATCAGAAGTTGTATTTAGGCGTGGGATCGCTCGATGGAGACATCAACTGAATGTGGGCATCACTTGATCTTTACTCAGGAGCTTCCTGCGTGTAATATTGCTTCTGCTTCTGCTCTCAGCACATTGCTCTGTTCCAATGCGTGCCAGCAAAAGCTTTTACGGCTGGAGGGAAGTCTAGAGCAATTTTGGCTTTCGAGTATCATTAGGAGTGGAAATTTTCATTCTTTTTTCTTCGCCTGCATAAATTTTGATGCTACAGATGGTGGGAATTGCTGTTGCTGGTTCTGGTCTGTTTCATGCAAATGCTAGCAGTAAGTAGCTTGGTCTATTTCATGCCAATGCTTCTGTTATATGTTCAGCATCTATGTTTAATATGTTGCAATTTGGTCTGTTTGCCTAGAAACAGGAAGTATATGTAGTGCACGTTCTTAGGTTAAAGTTTTTATTTTTGCGGTTCAGGGCATCTTTTTGTGTATCTTTGCAGTAAATAGATGCTCAAGATTTCTTCAGATATGGTGCACTTTAGAATGCGTGTAGGCTGTGCCCGGTGGAACCCGTGTGGCCACTCCTTTTAAGCAGAGATGGTAATGTTATTGCATGTATCCGGTGAATGTAGGTTCAGTAATTCCAGATCCTAGGGGTAGGTGAATCTCATGAGAGACCCATTAGATCTAAAGGTCGAAATGTATTGTCTCGCATAGGGAGGATTCATATTAAGGATCTTGGAGGGATAGCAGATCCACTAGTCACTTAATGTTCTTTTGTAGTTGTAGTCAACAGCCTTTTTTATATACTACCTTGTTTGTTCGAATGCCAGAATCAAGGCCATCAGTCTCGATTCCTGCCCAATTGCATAAAGAATTCACGCCAGCTCTCCCAGCATTTATTTCCTTGAATCAGTGGCGACACGGTTTGTCTCCTTGAATTTTATCAGCAGCAATGTTTAACTCCACTCTTTTCCTTTTGTCATCATTTGTTCATTTTCTGTTTTTGCCACTCGCAGAAGTACTTCCCTCCAAGTCTCTTCAAAGTAGTTTGATTAGATGTTTTGATACAAATAAGGCAGCTTCTGCTAGTTCTGAAGAAAATGCAAAACCAAATAACAGATATTTTGGCAGAGACACGATAGCTGATGCTGCTGCTAGGATTGCTCCTGCAGTTGCTAATATATATGCTCAACAAGGGGAAGGTATGCCATGTGATCTTTCTCGTATTAAGTCCTCCGGGCCGAAAATCTTCGGTTGGTTGTTTTTTTGCGGTAATCTGAAAACTCTCTCCTTATCTTGCTGATGAGTGCTAGACCGGGAGATTGGTTCTGGAACTGTTATTCATGAGGATGGCTACATTTTAACATGTGCTCATGTTGTCGCCGACACAACAAACGCAGTATATTTGGCTGATGGGAAGGTTGGTGTCCGAGGATGTACTTTGCTTTCCAAATTTAATGGCCTAAGTTCAAGTTTCTCACTGTTTTTTCTTCTTTACCACATCATCTTGGAAGTAATGTTATTATCTTGAACTTGCGTATAGTTGAGGATGGGAAAGATTACCACTTTTGTCAGAATACTTACCCTTCAACTTTGCTCAAAATATTGTCATTCTATTTCTCTGCACATAAGCATGCAACTGGACGGCATAAAAAACATTGCACTGCCAGTATCTGCAAGATTGGTGTAGTTTTGTGGGTACATATTGCTTCCTCGACCCAATGTTGATGAGAATGAAACTCTAAAGTGCCATGGACTTGGGTTAAATTATATTATGTTCTTGTATTTAACTGTGCTGGAAATAGAATAGTTATGTTAGAAAGTCCAAAAACCAGAAGTTTAAACATTAGGTGGAGGATGACCACCTGTACATAAGGCTCAGACAAAGCCGTATTGCACTTGGTTCAGTACTAAAGATTGTGGATGCTTCCATTTTCTAGACAAAACTCACCAATTTAAGCATGGATGGTCCTGGGCTCTTGGCTTACAGACAGAAAGAATGTCGCAGGTTTCTGTATGCTTGCAAGACATGGAGAAAAATATTGTAGGCCGGGTTGTTGATGCTTATGTGGATCTTGACATTGCCATTATAAAGATCGATTCCCCAAGTTCTCCCCTTCCAGCAGCAAAAGTTGGCTCATCTAGTAAGCTTCGTCCTGGAGACTGGGCAATAGCCGTGGGCAGTCCACTTTCCCTTCAACATACTGTTACACTCGGGATTATCAGGTCATTCAGCTCGTACTTACAATTTGACCAAGCAATTAATTATTGTCCGAGTATTTGTTTTCCTCAGCTGATTGTATCATCACCTAAGTATGGATGTACAATTACTACTCAAAGTAACAGTTCCTTCCCTCTTCTTTTGCTTAATGTAGCTGTGTTCATCGCACAAGTAATGAATTGGGACTTACAGGAATGCCCATGGAGTATATACAGACAGATTGCGCAATCAATCCAGTAAGATGCAACAATTCCTGTGTTTGCCTGCCTGCCTGTGATTGGTTTGTGTTTCCTTTGCTGTTGCATTCACATATTCAACGTTAATAATATTAGAAGGGTCTCTGTGCATTAGCTGCTACACTAAAATACCAGTTCTGGCCATACTCCTAGATATCTGTTACGTTAATGTGGGAAGAATAGGAAGTACAATGCCAATTAGTTATATGGGGAAAGCAAGTCTATCTAACGGAGAGGTGCAATGCTACTTTGAGCCTCTCTAGAAGCGTGAGAAATGGTAAAAGGGGGATCGTGTATTTCGTCATTAGTGTGCCACCTATCTGTGAAATGTTGGCCACCATCTATCATCACATAGATGTTTATGATGCAGATTGTAGACCCTAAATAATACAGTCTAAGTAAATGGAAGTCTGGGACTGCATTGGTGGTAAATTCACGTGCATGCACTTCTGTGTCCAAGTTAAGCTAGATCTTTTGGCATAACTGCGGTATGCTCCTTAACTTGACGACAAGTTGCCATCTTTTCGTTCTTTGTTTAGGGAAATTCTGGGGGTCCTCTTTGCAATGTTGATGGAGAAGTAGTTGGTGTCAATGTTGAGACTATGAATGTGGAAAAAGCATCTGGAGTGAGCTTTGCTGTGCCGATTGATTTTACTTCAGCAATCATAAAGCCCTTCCAGAATTGTCGGTAAGTTCTATTTTGGTGCCTCAGACCTGCTTGATATGTAACTATTATTGCAAACTCTTCTATTGGTATGATAATCAATCGTGTCGTATTCCCTATAAAATATGGTGACTAATCTCAAAGCAAGCATGTCATTGATTTTCTGATGTGCATGTTGATCTTGATCAATTGGATACTTTCTATTGCATTTTCTGCGACAACTCCAGATGTTGGGTGAAAAAGAAATAGTTCGATGATATCAGTAGTTTGAGCTTAAACAATTTCTTTTGTCATTGATCAGTAACTAAAATGGTCATGTCAAAGTCTTCTCCAGTCTTAATTCTCCAAACTTATTTCCTAATAGGAATCATTTGCGTAAGTTCTTGCTTAGAGAATTTCTGATATTTCGAGCATATTATCTTTACTATCTGACAGATAGCAACTTTGTGGCAGGAGGACTGTACGACCTGATTTTGGCTGGGTTATGCGGAATGTCAGTGACAAGAACTTCCAAGCACTTAAAAAATATTACCCCACATTTCCTTATGCTAGAGATGGTGTCTTTGTACAAAAGGTAAGTCATTTTATTTCTTCTTCAGGAAATCTGGAAATGTTCTCCCTCTTCCCTTTTCCACGATGTCATTAGTTTTTAAGAAGAGTGCCTGAATTTTGTGTGCAAAATTTGCTACTGTTGGATATTGTATTGCTAAGGTCTCTGGTATTTGTTTAACTCATCATCTTGCTTCTCTTCTATGCTCTCTATTTTCTCGTGAAACATGCTATTTGAAAATATTCATGAAAACCTCATCTGGAAAAAATGTTCCATCAAATAAACCAGCATCACTTGTTGACTGTGCTATGATAAGAATCATACTGAATAAGCGACATTAACGCCACGCTGGTGCTGCCATTTATTTTTGAAAGTACCCTAAAGAAAGCTCTCTTCAGGAGACAACTTATGTTGCCTGCTTTTGAGTATCATTTGACTAGTCAGGTGTCGATCCATATGAATCGATCCCCAGTTCTTTTGACAGTGAAACTTGTATTTTGTGTACTCGTGGAAATTTGAAATCTAATGTCATCATATTCTCATAATGCTGTTCCAGCTAACCTTTTTAGTCAAATGCGTGCTTCTGATTTGTTTACATTACCTTTTCCTTACATATTCTCATCTTCATCAGGTAATAAAAGGATCCCCTGCTGATCGTGCTGGCATTCGAACCGGTGATGTGGTCGTGAATGTTAATCTAAAACAAGTTCGAAACATAAAAGAGGTAAAAGTTTTCTTGACCTAACAAGCATAAATTCTGATTCAAAAGTTGTTTACTTGGTACATCGAGCAAATAATAAATGGAACACTGGAATCTTTATCAAAGATCTCAATTAGTGTATAACGTGTTCGTCAGAATGACTTGCACTCGTTTTACTTGATGTCGGCGTATCCTTGACGTGAAATGAGTATGGCTTCAAAGGCTTGTTAGTCTCTACATGGATTGTGATCAACGGTAGTTTCAAGATGAGGAATCTTGGATGTTATATAAAATGAAAGAAGCGAAGATAAATTACTGATTATCGATGGATGAACAATGAACAGACAAAGTTGTTCACTATAAACTAAAGTGTCTACAGTTTGAGATGGCAGCTCAACTTCAGCTGTCTGATTTATTTGGTTGGTTATCGTTATTGAAAACGAGAACTAAAGCGCTTGATTCACCAATTTGTTGCAGATGATGGATGTTATGGGGGAGAGATCTGGGGCACCTGTCATGGTAATTGTGAAGAGAGTCAGGTTTGGCAAGGATGATTTCCTTTGTCTGAACATAAATTTCGAGGAGAAAGATGACGCTGCTCCGAGGCCTCGACTTTGATCGAAGCATAGTTATTTGCAGTACAATAAAAGTCCAGGCGAACTGGTACCTTGGATCATTGTTTTCATGAGAGGACAATAATGTCCCACATATCATGTCATCAAAGAACCTCGATCTGGTGATTAGAATAAAATGTGATTGTTTTCTTTGCAAGAGAATCTGTACTATGTACATGCGTTGGAACTTTACAATTCAAGCCTCAGCTACAAAGCGCCCAAAATGGAACCAACAATCGCTTGACAAGAATCTCGTACAGCTACTTCTAACATGTTTGGCTGGTGTAATGCGCGAACCATGTTCTGATAACGTCAACTTGAAACCCAAGGTGATTTGAAAACTCGTTGCATACATAGGCCTTGCAAAATGAGCCTGAAATCACTCGAGATAGCACCGAGGAAAAGAAAATCCTAACTCAACTGCAAGATTCGCAATCTGAGTAATTTCCTAAATCTTAAATCCTAAGTCTGTAGGGAAGGCGAGTTTGCATTTCTTGCGATTTCTACCTCGTGTGTTTTAAGGAGGTTTTAGCATGTCACTACTAATGCATTTCCCTTCGTATGACTTGGTCATGATTTCGTTCCTTACATATTATCATGTGATTATCATAACCACAATCGGCATCTATGAAATGCTGACGTGGAATTTCGACATTAATAGAGATTATAGTTCGTGAAAAAACCCAAGTTGGCATATCAACTGTTCCTTCGAACTCGACTTGAAACTGAATTTTTGGCTCAACATTTCACTCGATTTATAACCATTATCTAGTCCATGAAAAAAGAAAGAATTTCACTCATTTTTTATATTTTCTTTCCCCCTTTTTCAGTTTTATTACACGCCTTGTCCAACACTCCAAAGTCCAGACACCAACTCTATTGCAGCACACGCCTGCCTACCTACTAATGGCAACGACGGGGCGTAAGGAAGCGAGGACACTAGATTAAGCGGCGACGAAGATGGTTCCATGGCGCCATGGCGGTTCGCGTGGCGGAGATCAAGGAAGAAGATGAGTGAATCTGCAGTTCCTTTTGTTTCTTTCCCGTTCTCTCATTTCCTTTGTCCGAGTTGAGATTTCTGCATGAAGAGAAAAATAATATTATGTTCATTATCAAGTGAATAGTACACGAGCATATTTATAGGCCATACACAATGACTATCTAAAGCAACATATTAGGATCAATCGAGAAAAATATATAGAATAACCTAAATATATCTCTAACAGTCCGAATGATTGAACCTGCCTATTGAAATATTAAACTAACGTTCATTAATCCACTTTGAAAGTCATTGTAAGGCAAGCTGGCATTGCCATTGCAGCTTCAATGGCTTGGTTTTAGCATTTTGGAGTGTGGCTTGAGCCTTTGAACTCTTGCTAATGGATCCTGTCCGATCTTGAGTCTTTCTTTAACCACGTGACAGAGAAAGAACTATTATATTTTGAGGAATAGATGACGACTTGGTAACAACTATTGTATTTCAAAGCAACTAATCTAATATGATCCCTCTTTTTTGGTTTAGTGGCGACTCATCCAGGCAACAGCAAGAAGTTGCATCCGGTGTAGTGGTATCATAGTACGGTCTCTCTCTCTCTCTCTCTCTCTCTCTCTCTCTCTCTCTCTCCTTTGTCTCTTTGGTTGAAGATGTAGTTTCTTCCAAATGATTTCCAAAATAAACTTGTTTGTTATGTAATGAGAGGTCGTCTCTAATATCCAAGGCATAACAAAAAGAATTTTAAAGGAGGACGGATCTAAATTATTTTTTAGCGGGGGCAAGATATGGTCAAAGGATTATGTTAACGATTCACGTAGTGTGATTACCCAAACAAATTCTCAAAGGCAACGCATTGACTTTGTCTCCCTAAAATCTGAGAAAAATATCAATCATCTTTCTTTCTCAGAATTAGCTATCTGCTTCCTAACAGCCGCATGTTTGTCTTCTAGCTGCAAGGGAATGAATTCCACATGCACGTGCTCGCTCTGTGACTATTTAACCAGTATGAATCGTCTGATTGCTACATAAATGCAACTCGTTTCTAAGAAATGGTGAATCACACTTCACGCGGAACGCATTGACTTTGTCTCCCTAAAATCTGAGAAAAAAATCAATCATCTTTCTTTCTCAGAATTAGCTATCTGCTTCCTAACTGCCGCACGTTTGTCTTGTAGCTGCAAGGGAATGAACTCCACATGCACGTGCTCGCTCTGTCACTATTTAACCAGTATGAATCGTCTGATTGCTACAGAAATGCGACTCGTTTCTAAGAAATGGTGAATCACACTTCACGCGGAAACAAATTTTTTTTTATTGTTTGTTTTACATGATGATCCAAGAGTCCAAAACGTTGCAAGTCATAGAAAATGAAAGATGGAAGCTACCAAAATAAAAGCTGGCATTTAGTCAAGGACTTGGACTTGGGAGGCAACTACTTAAGGTCGTTTCTTTGCAGGATCCGAAGTTGTATATAGGTGTGGAATCATTCGCTGGAGAAATCGACTGAATCTGGGTTATCACTTGATCTCTGCTCAGGAACTTCCTACAAGTAATTTTCCTTCTGCTTCTCCTCTCAGCACATTGCTCTGTTCCGATGCGTGCCTGCAAAAAATTATTACCGCTGGAGGGAAGTTGAGCAATTTTGGCTTTCAAATATCGTTAGCAGAGAAAGTTTTCAGTCTTTTCTTTTTTGCCTGCATGAATTTTGATGCTACAGATGGCGGGAATTGCTGTTGCTGGTTCTTGTCTATCTCCTACATATGCTAGCAGTAAGTACCTTGGTCTACTTTATGCAAATGCTTCTGTTATATGTTGGTGCATCTATGTTTAATATGTTGCAATTTGGCCTGTTTTCCTAGAAACACGATGTATATGTAGTGCACATTTCCAGGTTAAAGTTCTCATTTTTGCAGTTAAGGAAATCTTTTTGCGTATCTTTGCATTAAGTAGAAGCACAAGTTTTCATTGGATATGGTGCACTTTAGAGTGTTTAAGGCCGTACCTGGTGGAACCCATGTCACCGGCACTTCTTTTAGATAGAGATGTTAATGCTATTGCATGCATCTGGTGCATGTAGGTTCGATATTTCCAGATCCTAGGGCTAGGTGAATTCACGAGCAACCCATTAGATCTAAAGGTCGAAATGTATTGTTTCGCATACGTTGGATTCGTATCAAGGATATGGAGTGGTTAGCAGATCCCCTAGTCAATTTAAAATTCTTGTGTAGTTGTATTCAAGAGCCTTTTTAATGAACTACCATGTTTGATTTGAATGTCAGAATCAAGGCTATTAGTCTCAATTCCTGCCCAATTGCATAGAGAATTCACGCCACCTCTGCCGGCATTTATTTCCTTAAATCAGCGGCGACGCGGTTTGTCTCCTTTGAATTTTATCAGAAGCATTGTTTACTATTACTCTGTTGCTTTGTCATCCTATGTTCATTTCTTATTTTTGCAACCTGCAGAAGTACTTCCCTCCAAGTCTCTTCAAACTGCTTTGATTAGGTGTTTCGATACAAACAAGGCAGCCTCTGCTGAATCTGAAGAAAATGCAAAACCAAATAAGGTATATTTTGCCAGAGATGCAATTGTTGATGCTGCTGCTAGGATAGCTCCTGCAGTCGCTAATCTATATGCTCGAAAAGGAGGGCAAGGTATGCCATGTGATCCTTCTCTTGATGAGTCGTCCTGGCCAGAAATCTACCGTTACTTTTTTTTTTTCTGCTAATCTGAACAGTCTCTCCTTATCTTGCTGATCAGAGGAAGAAGGGGAGATGGGTTCTGGAACTGTTATTCACGAGGATGGCTACATTTTAACATGTTCTCATCTTTTCTTCAACAAAATGGACGTGACATATGCAGCTGATGAGGAGGTTGGTGTTTGAGGATGTACTTTGCTGTCCAAATTTGGTGGCTTAAGTTCAAGTTTCTCGCTTTGTTTTCTTCTCTACACATGATACTGGAACTAATCATAATATCTTGAACTTCACATAGACATGCAAACTGCATGTATAGTTAAGGATGAGAAAGGATGCCACTTTGTCAGATTAGTTAGCCTTCAACTTTGCTCAATATACTGTCATTCTATTTCTCTGCACATAAGCATGTAACTGGAGCGAGTAAAAATCATTACTCTGCCAGTATCTGCATGATTCATGGAGGTTTATGTGCACATATTGCTCCCCCAACCCAATGCTGATGAGAATGTAACTCTGAAATGCCATTTTTTTCAATTTCTTTTACCAGCACTATTTCTCAAGGCCCTTTCTGGGACTTGGGTTATATTGTGTTTTGTTCTCGAATGCAACCGTGCTGAAAAAATAATTAGTTGTGTTAGAAAGTCCAAAACCCAGAAGTTAAGTTGTTAGGTGGAGGGTGACTACTTGTATACAATGCTCAGACAAAGCAGTATTGCACTTGGTTCAGTACTAAAGATTGTGGATGCTTCCATTTTCTAAACAAAACTCACAAATTTAAGCATGGATGGTCCTGGGCTCTTGGCTTACAGAAAGAATGTTGCAGATTATTGTATGTACGCAAGACAAGGAGATAGGCCATGTTGTTGATGCTTATGTTGATCTTGACATTGCCATTATAAAGATCGATTCCCCAAGTTCTCCCCTTTCAACAGCAAAAGTTGGCTCAAGTAGTAAGCTTCGTCCTGGAGACTGGGCAGTAGCCATGGGCAGTCCACTTTCCCTTCAACACACTGTTACGCTTGGGATTATCAGGTCATTCAGCTTGTACTTACAATTTGACCAAGCAATTAATTTTTGTCCGTGTATTTGTTTTCCTTAGTTGATTGTATCAGCACAACTGCGTGGATGTATAATTGTTAGTTAAATGACAGTTCCTCCCCTCTTCTCTTGCTTAATATAGCTGTGTTCATCGCAAGAGCTATGAGTTGAGACGTGAAGGAATGGCCATGGAGTTTCTACAGACAGATTGTGCAATCAATCCAGTAAGATGCAACAATGCCTGTGTTTGCCTGCCTGCTGTGATTGATTTGTGTTTCCTTTTGCTGTTGAATTCACATATTCGACGTTAATATTACTAGACAAGTCTCTGTGCATTGGCTGCTGTATCAGAATACCAGTTCTGATCAACCTCCTAGATTTGGGTTACATCAATGTGGGAAGATTATGATTTACAATGGCAATTAATTATCTGGGGAAAGTAAGTCTAGATAATGGAGAGGTGCGATGCTACTTGAGAATCTCAAGAAGGATGAGAAATGAAAAAGGGGGAATCCGTATCTCATCATTAAGTGGGCCACCTATCTATGAAATGTTGGTCACCACCTTTCATTACATAGATGTTTTAAATGCAGAATTGTAGACCGTACATAACACAGGCTAATGAAATAGAAGTCAGTGACTGACATTCGTGGTAAATTCACGTGCTTGCACTTTTCTGTCCGACTTAATCTAGGTCTTTTGACATAACTGTGGTATGCTCCTTAACTTGACAGTAAGTTTCCGTCTTTTCTTTTGGTTTATGAAGGGAAATTCTGGGGGTCCTCTCTGCAATGTTGATGGAGAACTAGTTGGTGTCAATGTTGAGACTATGAAGGCGCATAAAGCATCTGGAGTGAGCTTTGCTGTGCCGGTCGATCTTATTTCGGCAATCATAAAGCCCTTCCAGAGTTGTCAGTACGTTCTATATTGGTGCCTCAGACCTGCTTGATATGTAAACTATTGTTATGAACTTTTCTATTGGTAAAATGATCAATCGTCTCCTATTTTCCTCTATATTATAAAAGAGGTGATTGATTTTAAGTCAAGTGTTTCATTGATATTCTGATGTGCATGTTGTTCTTGAGCAGTCGGGTCCTTTCTATTGCATTTCTCTGCGAGAACTCCATGTATTGGGTGGAAAGAAATAGTTCGATGACCTCGGTAGTTTAAACTAGAACAATTCCTTTCATCATTGATCAGTTACTGTAATGGCCTTGTCAAAGTCTTCTCCAGTATTCATTCTCCAAACTTCTCCAGCACAAATTATGATATTTCAAGCATATTATCTTTACCTAGGTAACAGATAGTAACTTGTCGCAGGATGCCTGTACAACCATATTTCGGATGGGTTATGCGGAATGTCCGTAAGGAGAACTTGGAAGCACTTAAACAATATTACCCCACGTTTCCTAATGCTTTAGAAGGTGTCTTTGTACAAAAGGTATGTCTTTCTCTATGTCTTCTTCGGCAAATCTGGAAATGTTCTCATTCTCTTCCCTTTTCAAAGACGTCTTCAGTTTGCAAACAGAGTGCCCCCAATTCTGTGCATGGATTTGTGGTTTTTTTTTTGGGGGGGGTGGGTGTGTGGGGGGGCGGGGGGTGTGGAAGGGGGGTGCTCTATGGTGCATGGTCAAAATTTGCTACTGTTGGATACTATATTGCTAAGGTCCCTCTTATATTTGTTTAGCTCGTTGTCTTGCTTCTCTTTTGTCCTCTCCATTTTCTCGTAAAAATGCTATTCGAATTACTAATGAGAACCTCGTTCGGAGAAAATGTTCCATCAAATAAACCAACACCACCTGTCGACTGTGCTATGATAAGAATTATACTGAATAAGCAACATTAACGCCGCACCGTTGCTTCCATTTCTTTGTGACAGTACCCTAAATAAAGCTCTCTTCAGGAGACAACTTATGTGGCATGCTCTTAAGTATTTTGTCTAGTGAAAATGTCAACCCACATGAATCCATCCCCACTTCTTATGACAATCAACTTGCATTTTGTGTACCCATGGAAATTTGTAATCTAATGTCATTTTATTCTCATAATGCTGTTGAATCTAGCCTTTTTAGACAATTGCATGCTTCTTATTTGTCAACATTGCCAGTTCCTTATGTATTCTTAGCTTCGACAGGTAATAAAAGGATCCCCTGCTGATCGTGCTGGCATTCAAGCCGGTGATGTTGTCGTGGATTTTGATCTACAACAAATTCGTAACATAAAAGAGGTATAAGTTTTCTTGATCTAACAAGCATCTATTTTGATTCAGAAGTCGTTTACTTGGTGCTTTGAGCAAATAATAAATGGAATAGTAGAATCTTTATGAAAGATATCAAGAACTGTATAACGCATTCGTCAGAATGAATTGCCCTCGTTTTACTTGACGTTGGCCTAACCTTGATGGGAAATGAGAAAGGCTTTAAAGGCTTGTCACTCTCTACATGAACTGTGATCAACAGTAGTTTCAAGTTGAGGAATCTTGGATGGAATGTAAAATAATAGAAAGAGGAGATAAATTACAGATTATCGATGGATGCAGAATGAACAAAGTTGCTCACTATAAATTTAAGTGTCTACAGTTTGCGATGGCAGTTCAACTTCAGCTCTCTGACTTATTCAGATAGTTAGCGCTATTGAAAACGAGAACTAAAGCGCTTTTTTCGCTTGCAGATGATGGATGTTATGGTCAAGAGATCTGGGACACCTGTCGATGTAATTGTAGAGAGACTCATGTTGGGCAAAAATCGCTTGGTTCATCTGACCATAACTTTTGAGGAGAAAGATGTTGCTGCTCCAAGGCCTCGACTTTGATCTCAACTTTTATCAAATCCTAGTTATTTGCAGTTCAATAAAAGTCCAAGCGGTGTGCTACCTTGGATCGTTGACATCACGAGAGAACAATAATGTGACATGTATCATGTATTGAAAGAACCTTGATCTCGCTAGTAGAATAAAATGTCATTATTTTGTTTGCAAGTAAATCAGTACTACGTCCACGCGTTGGAACTCTACAATTCAAGCCTCAGCTGCTATGTACCGAAAATGGAATCGACATTCGCTTGACGAGAAACTCGTAAAGCTACTTCGAACATGTTCAGCTGGTGTAATGGGCGAGCCACATTCTGATAACGTCAACTTGAAACACGAGGTGACTTGAAAACTCTGTTTTATACATCGGCCTTGCCAAATGAGTCTGAAATCACTCAAGATAGCACCTAAGGAAAGAAAATCCTAATACAACCATAAGATTCTCAAACTGAGTCATTTCCTTAATCTTAAATCCTAAGTTTGTAGGGAAGTTTTGCATTTCCCACCATTTCTACCTTGTGTGTTAAGGAGGTTTTAGCATGTCACTACTGATGCATTTCCCTTCATATAACTTGGTTATGATTTTGTTTCTTACATATTATCATGTGATTATCATAACCAAAATTGACATCTATAAAATGCTGACATGAAATTTCAATATTAAATAGAGATTATAGTTCATGAAAAACCTAAGCTGGCATATTAACTATTCCTTCAAACTCTACTTGAAACTGAATTTTTTGCTTAACATTTCACTCAATATATAACCACTATCCAGTCCATAAAAAAAGAAAGAACTTCAATATTTTCTTTCATCCATTTTCAGTTTTATTGTATGCCTTGTCCAACACTCCAAAGTCCAAACACCAACTCCATTGCAGCACACGCCTGCTTACCTACTACCAATGGCGACGGTGGGACATAAGGAAGCGAGGACACTAGAGTAAGCGGCAATGAGGACGATTCCATGGCGGTTCGCGAGGCAGAGATCAAGGAAGAAAATGAGTGAATCTACAGTTCTTTTTGTTTCTTTCCTCGTTCTCTCATTTGCATTGTCCGGGTGATTGAACCTGCCGATTGAAAAACTAAACTCATGTTCATTAATCGACTTTGAAAGTCAATAAAAGGCAAGCTGGCATTGCCATTGAAGCTTCAATGGCACGGTTTTAGCATTTTGGACTGTGGTTTGAGTCTTCAACCCTTTGCTTTTAGATCCTGTCCTCGCTGCGCACGATCTCGAGTCTTTCTTAGAGCACGTGACCGAGAAAGAACTACAGGACGGCATGAGTCTTTGTCTTTTGAGGAATAGATGACTTGGTAACAACTATTCTATTTCAAAGCAACTAATCTAATATGATCCCCTTTATTTGTTTACTGGCGACTAATCCAATATGATCATCATAGAGAAAAACAACGTGGTATCATAGTACTCTCTCTCTCTCTCTCTCTCTCGTTTGTCTTCATGAAGTGTGATTACACTTAAATATATATTTAAAAGATTAGCACTTCGTAGGAAACACTAAAAAGCGAAACATACTCTCAAAGGGACCCCATTGACTTAGTCTTCGTTGATTCTGAGAAAAGAATTGATCAGCTGTCTTGCTCCTGCTCAGAAATAGTTATCTGCTTCCCAACGGTCCCGTGTGCTTCTTGTAATTGCTAGGGAAGGAATATAGCGTGCCCGTGCTCGCTCTGTCACTATTTAACTTCTTTCCTAAGAAATGGTGTACCACACTTCACCGAAACAATCTCTTTAACCAGCGAGTGTTGATTTTTTTAGGACAATTGGGTCGTGGCCATGCAATTTTATTCGTTCGGGAAGGTGAAATTCATTTGCAAACGAAACCTGGGAGTCATTTTCTTAATTTCTATACGAAAACCCCTACAAATAAATAGCATTTAATCAATGACTTTGACGTCGTAGCCAACAACTTAAGGTTGTTTTTTTTTTTTGCAGGATCAGAAGTATTATTTAGGTGTGAAATCATTCGATGGAGACATCAACTGCATCTGGGTACCACTTGATCTCTGCTCAGGAGCTTCCTACTGGTAATTTTGCTTCTGCTTCTCCTATCAGCACATTGCTCTGTTCCCATACGCGCCTGCAAAAAAATTTACTGCTGGGGGGAAGCCCAGAGCAACTTTGGATTTTCGTTTTTTTTTTCGCCAGCATAAATTTTGATGCTGCAGATGGCGGGAATGGCTGTTGCTCGTTCTGGTCTGTTTCATGCAAATGCTAGCAGTAAGTACCTTGGTCGATTTCATGCAAATGCTTCTGTTATATGTTGGTGCATCTATGCTTAATATGACGCAATTCGGTCTGTTTGCAGAAACAGTAAGTATATGTAGTGCACCTTTTCAGGTTAAAGTTCTAATTTTTGCGGGTTAGGGCGTCTTTTGTATAGTTGCATTTAGTAGAAGCTCAAGAGTTCGGTTGAATATGGTGTGCACTTTAGAGTGCTTGTAGGCCGTACACGATGAACCGTGAGGTGACCACTCCTTTCAAGTAGAGATGTCAATGTTATTGCGTGCATCAGGTGAATATAGTGTTTTGGTGAAGACGCAAAAAATGATAGTGAACCTCGAACTGACCCTAGTGTTGAAAATTTTGGAGAAACTAGTGGTGATTTTTGGATACGGGGTAGATTTGTGACTAGAGCGAAAGTCTGTGATTTTTTTTTAGACAGAAAAAAAAGTTCAGAAGAGATTTGGGATTCGACTCAAAGTTGGGTTTAGGGGTTATGTCCTAGTCAATTTATAGTTCCAATTGTAGTTGAGAAACTTTTTAATGAATAACCTTCTTTGATTTGAATGACGGAATCAAGGCTATTAATCTCAAATCCTGCTCTATTGCATAAAGAATTCACACCACCTTTCCCGGCATTTATTTTGTTGATTCAACGACGAAACGGTTCATCTCCTTTCTAATATTATCAAAAGCAATGTTTAACGCCACTCTTTTCCTCTGTCATCATATGTTCGTTTTTTTTTCGCTTTTCCATCCTGCAGAAGTACTTCCATCCCAGTCTCGTCAAACTAGTTGGATTAGGTGTTATGATACAAATAAGGCAGCTTCCGAAGAAAATGCAAAACCAAATAAGGGATATTTTGGCAGAGATACAATTGCCGATGCTGCTGCTAAGATTGCTCCTGCAGTCGCTAGTCTATATGCTCCAAAACGAGGGCAAAGTATGCCATGTGATCCTTCTCTTACTGAGTCATCCTGGCCGAAAATCTCCTGTTACTTTTTTTTATTTTTATTTTGCGCTTGTCTGAGAAGTCTCCTTATCTTGCTGATCAGACGTAGACGCGGAGATTGGTTCTGGAACTGCCATTCATGAGGATGGCTACATTTTAACATGTGCTCATGTTGTCTTTGACACAACGAACGTGGTATACTCAGCCGATGGGAAGGTTGGTGTTTGAGGATGTACTTTGCTGTCCAAACTCAGTGGTCTAAGTTCAAGTTGTTCACTTTGTTTTCTTCTCTACCACATGATCTTGGAACTAATGATATTATCTTGAACTTGATGTAGACATGTAACCTGCCCATATAGTCAAGGATCGGCAAGAACACCACTTTGTCAGATTGATTAGCATTCGACTTTGCTCAATATATAGTCATTCTATTCCTCTGCACATAAGCATGTAACTGAAGGCATAAAAAATCATCTGCTCTGCCAGCATCTGCATGATTGGTGGAGATTTGCATGCCCATATTGCTTCCCCGAATGTAACTCTGAAGTGCCATAATTTTCATTTTCTTTTACCAGTTTTATTGTTCAGGCCCTTTCTGTGACTTGGGTTATATTCTGTCTTGTTCTCGAATATAACTGTGCTGAAAAAAAAAAGAAACCTAGTTGTGTTAGAAAGTCCAAAACCAGAAGCTTAAACTATTACATAGACAGTGACGACTTGTATATGTCTCCAACGAAGAATGTGAATGCTTCTGTTTTCTAGACGAAACTCATGGATTTAATTATTGATAGTCCTGGGCTCTTGGCTAACAGAAAGAATGCCGCAGGTTGTTGTACACTTGCAAGAAGCCGAGAAAGAGGTTGTAGGCCATGTTGCTGATGCCTATGCAGATCTTGACATTGCCATTATAAAGATTGAAAAACCAACTTCTCCCCTTTCAACAGCAAAAGTTGGCTCATCTAGTAAGCTTCGTCCTGGAGACTGGGCAATAGCCATGGGCTGTCCACTTTCCCTTCAACACACTGTTACGCTCGGGATTATCAGGTCATTCATCTTGTACTTACAATGTGACCAAGCAATTAATTTTTGTCGAAGTCTTTGATTTCCTTAGTTAATTGTATTAGCACAAAAGTGTGGATGTATAATTACCACTTAAAGTGACAGTTCCTTCCCTCTTCTTTTGCTTAATATAGCTGTGTTCACCGCATGAGCAATGAGTTGAGACGTGGAGGAATGATGGAGTATCTACAAACAGATTGTGCAATCAATCCAGTAAGATGGACAATGCCTGTGTTTGCCTTTGATTGCTTGGCGTTTCCTTTTGCCGTTGCATTCACATAATCAATGTTAATAATACTAGACCAGACTCTGCTTTAACTGCTATACCAGGATATCAGTTCTGGTCAACCTCCTAGAGTTGTGTTACATCAATGTGGGAAGAACAGGAATTATAATGGCAATTAGTTATATGGGTAAAGTAAGTCTAGCTAACAGAGAGGTGCAATGCTACTTGAGACTCTCTAGAAGTGTGAGAAATGAAAAAGGGGGATTGCATATCTCGTCATAAGTGGACCACCTATCTGGGAAATGTTGGCCACCACCTTTCATCACACAGATGTGTATGATGCGGAATTGTACACCGTACATAATACAGTCTAATCAAATAGAAGTCTGTGACTGCATTGATGGTAAATTAACGTGCATGCACTTCTCTGTTCAACTTAAGCTAGCTCTTTTGGCATAACTATGGTATGCTCCTTAACTTGACAATAAGTTGCCATCGTTTCTTTCTTTGTGAAGGGAAACTCTGGGGGTCCTCTTTGCAATGTTGATGGAGAAGTAGTTGGCGTCAATGTTGAGACTATTAAGCCGGACAAAGCATCTGGAGTGAGCTTTGCAGTACCTGTTGATTTTATTTCGGCGATTTTAAAGCCCTTCGAGAATTGTCAGTACGTCTATTTGATGCCTTAGTCTTGCTTGATATGTAAACTATTGTTGTGAACTCTCCTATCCATATAATAATCAATTGTCTCCGATCCTCTTTTATATAATGAAAAAGGTCATTGATTTCAAAGCAAGTGTTTTGTTGATATTTCGATGTGCACGTTGTTCTTGAGCAATTGGTTCCTTTCTATTTAATTTCTCTGCAATAACTCCGATGTTGGGTGGAAGAGAAATAGTTCGATCCTCTGTAGTTTAACCTAAACAATTTCTTTTATCATTCATCAGTAACTAAAATGGTTAGGTCAAATCTTCTCCAGTAAACATTCTCCAAACTTATTTCCTAAAATGATGGGAGTAAGTTCTTGGTGAGTGTGCGCAAAGTATTTATGATATCTCAAGTATATTAACTTTACCTATGTAACAGATAGTAACTTGTGGCAGGAGCCCTGTACGACCTGATTTCGGATGGGTTATGCGGAACGTTAGTGATGGTGTCTTGGTACGGATGGTATGTCTTTTCTTGTTTCTTCTTCAGCAAATCTGGAAATGTTCTCCTTCTCTTCCCTTTTCCATGATGTCATTAGTTTGGAAGAAGAGTGACCCAGAATCAACTCTGTGTATAAATTTTGTTGGGGAGGTGGCATGGTCAAAATTTGTTACTGCTGGAAATTATATCGCTAAGTTCCCTCTTTTGTTTGTTTAACTCGTCATCTTGCTTCTCTTTTGTCCTCTTATTTTCCCATGAAACATGCTATTTGAAATTATTCATGAAAACCCTGTTTGGAGAAAATGATCCATCAAATAAACCAACATCACTTGTCGGCTGTGGGATGAGAAGAATCATACTGAATGAGCGACAATAACGGCACGCGGGTGCTGCCATTTTTATTTTTATTTTTTGTGAAAGTACCCATAAGAAACCTCTGTTCTGGAGACAGCTTATGTTTCATGCTTTTAAGTATCATTTGACTAGTGGAAGTGTCGATCTACATAAATTGATAACACTTCTTATGACAATGAACTCGCATTTTGTGTACTCGTGGAAATTTGTAATCTAGTGTCATTTTGTTCTCATAATGCTGTTCAAGCTAGCCTTTTTAGACAATGCATGCTTCTTATTTGTCAACATTGCCGGTTCCTTATATTTTCTTATCTTCATCAGGTAATAAAAGGATCCCCTGCTGATCGTGCTGGCATTCGAACCGGTGATGTCGTTGTGGAATTTAATGGAAAACAAGTTCGAGACTTGAAAGAGGTAAAGTTTTCTTGATCTAACAAGCATCAATTTTGATTCAGAAGTTGTTTACTTGACGCATTGAGCACATAATAAAATAAACACTGGAATCTTTATAAAGATCTCAAGAACTGTATAATGCATTCGTCAGAATGAACTGCACTCGTTTTTCCTGACGTTGGCCTAGAAAGGCTTCAAAAACTCGTCACTCTCTACACGAACTGTGATCGACAGTAGCTTCAAGATGAGAAATCTTTGATGGTATGTAAATTGAAAGAAAAGAAGACAGATTACAGACTACGGATGCAGAACAACCCAACAAAGTTGTTCGCCAGTTAGTTGGAAACGAGAACTGTAGCGCTTGATTCACCAATTTGTTGCAGATGATGGATGCTATGGGGGAGAGATCTGGGGCACCTGTCAAGGTATGTGTGAAGAGAGGCGGGGATGCTTTGGGTCCTCTGACCATAACTTTTGTGGAGAAAGATGTTGCGAGATTTGCAGCAAATCCGAGGTCTCGATTTTGATCTCGACTATGATCAAACCATAGTTATTTGCTGTACAATAAAAGTCCAAGCGATCTGTTACCTTGGATCCTTGATTTCGTGAGAGGACAACAATGCGGCATGTATAATCATGTCATGACAGAACCTCGATCTGGCGAGTAAAATAAAATGTGATTATGTTGGTTGCAAGTGATTGAGTACCATGTCAATGTGTTGGAAATTGAAAATTCAAGTCTCAGCTACTTTGCACCGACAATAGAATCGACATTTGCTAGATGAGAATCTCGTACAGCTGCTTCAAACATGTTTGGCCGGTGAAATGCGCAAAGCGCATTCGGATAACGTCAACTTGAAACCCGAGGTGATTTGAGCACCCTGTTTTCTACATCGGCCTTGCCAAATGAGCCTGAAATCACTCGAGACATCACCGAGGAAAAGAAAATCCCAACTCAACCGCAAGATTCACAAACTGAGTCATTTTCTAAATCTTAAATCCTAAGTTTGTAGGGAAGGCAAGTTTGCATTTTCTGCCATTTCTACCTCGTGTTTTAAGGATGTCACTTCATTTTCCTTCATGTGACTTGGTTATGATTTCGTTCCTTACATATAATCTTGTCATTATCACGATTTATGTATAACCAAAATGAGTATTCATGAAATGCTGACGTAAAATTTAGTCCAGACACCAACTCCATTGCAGCAAACGCCTACTTAACTACCAATGGCAACAATGGGACAAGGAAGCGAAGAGATGAGATTACTCGGCCACCATGACCGTTCCATGGCGTTTCCCGCAGCCGAGATAGAGGAAGAAGATGAGGGATCTACAGTTTTTTTTTTTTGGGTTTCTTTCCTCGCTTTCTCACCTGCCGATCGAAATACTAAAATCATGCTAATTAATCAACTTTGAAAGTCGATAGATGTCGAGCTCGCATTGTCATCGAAGCTTCAAAGGGAGAATTTTAGCATGCTGGAGTGTGGTTCGAGTCCTAGACCCTTTTGCTAAAATCTGTGGGACCGCATTGACTTTGTCTCCCTAAAATCCCAGAAAAAAATCAATCAGCTTTCTTCCTAACCGCCGCATGCTTGTCTCGTAGTTGCAAGGGAAGTAATATAACATGCAAGTGCTCGCTCTGTCGCTATCTAACCAGTACGAATCGTCTCGTTGCTACATAAATCCAGGAGTCCGTCCAAAACGTTGCAAGATACCGAAAATGAAAGATGGAAGATGCTGAACCAGCTTTTGTACGAGAACCCCACCGAAGTAAAAGTGGCATTTGATCGAGGACATCGACTTCGGAGCGTTTGTTATAGTCAACACCACATTTATTATGCGCCAACTTACCTCTGGTTAATAGACCTGCGGTCCCGTTCATAAAGGGATTAGGTGGTGGAGTCGGAGAATATCAGATTCGGAATTCGATTCCCATCAGCACTGCACATATATGTACGTAGAAGAGATTAGTGAAGACAAAATGAAAAAAAATTTGCCCCCTACCAAATTTCCAACTCTTTGGCTGTCAAGTTTGACTTTTCTTCTAGGCAAGTTGCGACATCTAGAGGAGAGGAGAGAGATCTAGAGAGAACGGGGTTGAGAAAGCGAGGCGGTGTCTCTTCAACATCGATCGCCGTATGTTATCGACAAGTGTTTTCATCATTGATAATTTACCAATAATCAAAACGAACTTAACACCAAACTCTCAACTCGCTCAAATCGGGGTCACGTTGATTACAAAGTTTTGACCATTTTTTTGGTGTGAACATATATTAAATATGACATGTCACTCCCATTAACCAGTCCACTAAAAAAATTGATTTTTATCTTTTGTTTTATTACATGCCTTGTCCAGCACTCCAAAGTCCAGACACCAGCTCCATTGCAGAAGACGCCTTGCTTACCTACCAATGGCAACGACGGGACGTGAGGAAGCGAGGACACTAGATTAAGCGGCGACAAAGAACGTTCCATGGCGGTTCGCGCAGCAGGGAGCAAGGAAGAAGAAGATGTGTGGATCTGCAGTTCCTTTTTGTTTCTTCCCACGTTTCCACATTTCCACTGTCCGGGTGATTGAACCTGCCGATCGAAATACTAACCCGGTGTTTATCAATCGACTATGAAAAGTCAATAGATGGCAAGCTGGCATTGTCACTGAAGCTTCAATGGGACGACTTTTGCGTTTTGGGGTGTGGTCTGAGTCTTTGATCCTTTGCATTTGGATCGTGTCCTCGGTTCCCACCGATCTTGAAGACGACTTGGGTCTTTGTTTATTGAGAATAACTATCGTAAATATTGAATAAGAAGGCCCATATCTTCGAAAGAAACTGAAGCTGAATAATGGGTCACAATCACCACATTACATTAGAAGAAAAATTAAGCATTAGTAAATCATCTCATGATATTCCCAAAGCATGATTATCTGCAACTTACATACTAATGCTTACTTGCTTAGAATTTTTTGCTAAGTGGGTGTAGTTTGTCTTGAGGAACTTTTGTTTTCTGATGGCAGTGGGGTGAGATGTCGAACTGACCTTTATCTGGTAAATTGAGCCTGATACACTTGTCCATCCGGTGATGGTTCGTCCGTGCAAAACTGCTCGGGGAATGGTTCTCTTTTGTATCTAACTTATGCAGAGCTAAATTCGAGCATGTTGTAGTGGTTAAGTTATTACCATCAGGATCGTTTGCATTGATCATGACTGAATTGTGATTCGTTTCCATTTTATGGTTCTTGTTTGTTACATGCCAACTCTGGCCCTGCTTTGTTATTTGCTGACAATCTTCTACCATCACCTTTCATTATGTTGGGTCACTGAGAAACAGGAGGCATGTGGCATTGGTTTGATCATTGGTGTAGTTGCAGTTTCCATTTGAGAGAAGTCCTATTGTTCCGGACTGCTTGATTGTCCCACTTAATTTGACTTTCCTCTTTATTTGTTAGATCAGAAAAATCCCTCATCATGTTCCTTGCAGATTGGATCATCCATATAATGCAGTGATGAGGAATATATAAAAATTAACAGTAAGGCGAAAAGGTTGACTTTAGCTCGTTGTTTTCTGAAGAAATTCTACACTCGCCCTTCTCTATATAAATAGCAGGTGTCTTGCAGAGTTATGTGTCTCATAACTTGTGCAGTTGGATAGTCTATCAACCAAAATTTTCCTTTCCCCGTACATTTTGCGACTCAAATGGCAGAACTTATGGGACCAGAGTCAAATCTTCTGCGAGTGCATATGCAACATACACTGTCCTTTCCAGCCGTGCTTTCCTCAGACAATCAGAATTGTGGTCTGTTCCTTGTTCTGATTAGACATTTTTTGTTGTAGGTTTTTAAGGGTTTTGACTTTTCACGAATTATGTGTTCACTTTGAGGTTAACCAACTGCAGGGAAGCTTCATCTGCCTACTCTTTCGGCTAATCCATGTTACAGTGTCAATGACCCTCAAGAAAGCTCAAAGATAATTCACAAGGGTCTTGGCAGAGACACCATAGCTGATGTTGTTCAAGAGGCTGGTTCTGCAGTTGTTACTATATATGTTAGCTACCTGGGTATAGCATGCTTTTGTAGCTGCTTTCTTTACTGTGAAAAAAATGACTTGGTTGTTTGCTCACTTTTTTTCCTTACTTCCAGGATCAGGTGGAATAAGAACAGATGGAATTGGTTCTGGTATCATTATTCATGAGGATGGCCTCATTTTAACGTGTGCTCATGTCATCTCACAGGGCGGCCAGGTATATTCACCTGATGGGAAGTTTTAGGATTTGCTTTCTTGCCCAATTAGGCAGATAGCCTTTAACTTTCTACGAACTTAAAAATGCTGCTGGATGTCTGCACATATGCAGTTATATAGTGTGGATGGTAAACAAATGTTGGCATATATGAGATCATCTTTTTATAATAGTTGCTGCATCTTGATAAACACATTTTTGTACTGCTCAAGGTTTATACTGAAGATATGTTCAGAATATATTTTCATCGGTCTGTCTTTCTTTGCTATTTATATATGGAGTTTCTATGCAGAATATAAACATTTCTTCATTGAACAAATACTATGTAAAAATGTCGGGTTTAAATTGTATTTTGTAGATTCTTTGCCAATGTTATGGCAAAAAGCATGTAATTGGAATATGTGACACAGAAAATCAATGTTGACAAGATGACTTGAGTTGAGCAAAAAACGTGCCTCGGTTGAGTCTAAACACCGGATGCTTTCTGGACTCGAGGCTCTTAGCTTACCTAAAGCGAAATGTCACAGATTAATGTAATTTTACGGGACGGCCAACAATTCAAGAGCAGATTGGTCGTTGCTTATTTGGATCTCGACATTGCCCTTTTGAAGATTAGTCCTCCGCCTAAGATTGGCCTTTCAATGGCAAAATTTGGCTCTTCAAGCGAGCTTCGCCCTGGGCACTGGGTGATTGCTGTCGGCTGCCCGCTTTCCCTAACACATACTGTTACTTTGGGTATCATAAGGTACTTCAGAACTGATATAGATTTAGAATCTGTTAAGGCCATACACATGTCTATCAGTGATTACCAAAAAAGAAAGATTTATCTTAATTACTTAATTGTAGTAATATAGGAATGAAATATCTTCTCTCTCTTTTTCCCCATCTACCACTGTCTTGCTGATTAAAATACTAGTTCCAGGTTATCTAAATGCGAGCAATACTCATGCCTTTTTTGGTGCTTGATCCAGCTCTGAGTGCCGCAAAAGCAGCAAGTTGCGCGATGAAGGAGTGGAAAGAGATTTTTTGCAGATGGATTGTTCAATTACTCAAGTAAGATGTGCCTCCACCTGTGGAAAAAGTGCCCAAATATGTGTTTACTTTCATACTCACAGTTCTATCACTTCTATGTGGGCGGTTGTATATGCATATAGGATAAGCAATATCACCTCTGGCTAAGTTTGCAAAACCAGCCAAATGTAGTTCAAGCCTTGCTAACTTTGGAAACTCTCCATGGAACATTTTCATTTTTTTCTGCACAGCAGCAGTTATGATCCACGAGCGTTAGAGCGATCCCTGCCACTACCCAATTTGGGTCTATTAGTTGCTTCTTCTCTTACATTGGAGACAAACTCCATTAATGACCGAGTAGAAGACGTGTCCTGCTCTCTTGATAGAGCTAAATTTGACCTATTTACTCATTGTGGAAATGAGGTAGGACCCACTCCAAAAATTACTACTAGGCCTCGAAGAAGGTAGGGGTGATCGGTTCCCGATCCGGTCAGGTTCAACCCAAGAACCGGGAACTGGACCGGTTCCCAGTTTCTAGGACCGACTAGTCCCAGGACCATGGACCGGACCGATGGTCCGGTCCAGTTTCAATGGAACCAATCACTTATTGGTAAAGGCGAGAGGGAATGGGAGAAATTAGATTAGGCTTTCTATTTTTTGCAAAAATTTTAAAAAGTAAATAAATATATATATATGAAAAAATTATAAATATATATATTTATCGGTCCGGTCCGGTCCCGGTTCGGGCGGTCCATCTTGCTCACCCCTAGAAGAAGGAGATGTCATTGTCCGCACTTGTAGAGCAAGCCCAATGCATGTGATTCCTACGATCATGTGGGTCCCATGTAACGGTCGATGTGATCCAATGGATCACGTGCCTTGGGTCTATATGTATCAGCTGCAACTAAAGATTTTCCCAGAAAAAGAGCTAGCCAAATTCGTTCTAAAATCAGAAGAACCGAGAATGTCTTATGCGGAAGATAGAAAAGAACTTTCCTGGCAGACTGGAAAGTGAACCTCAAATCTTGTCCTAGTCAAGAGTACACTTAGGGATGCGCCGCTACGCCTGAAAGGGGGATCAAGGTTCCTACCTTTCCCGGGCCTCTCAATTGGGAAAGGCAACCCGCCAGCGAGGCAAAGGCTAATATTGATTTGGCAATGCTTAGTAAACAGAATTTTCTTCCTTGATCGAGGCTACAATGTGGCTTTAAAGAAAGAGAGTTCGCCTTCTAATTAAGTTGGTTTTATTTATATGCACATCTTTCTGCAATATCAGTTTGCTCTTTGACCTATTGATATCACTTCTTTAGTGCTATAGTATTTAAAGCAATAACTTATTGTTTCTATTTTCTGGTGAAGGGAAATTCAGGGGGTCCTCTTTTCAACATTGACGGAAAACTTGTTGGAATTAATACTTTCTGTTCAAATACTGCACCTGGGATGAGCTTCGCTATACCAATAGATAACATCCGTGCACTCCTAGACCCAATCAGCAAATGGTAAATATCGTGCCTTGAAATTTTCTTCATAAGATATGACGTAGCTTTTCCTTTATAAATGTTGCATGGCAAACAGTTTTTCCTGGTCCATACCAAGTGTATTACCTTGAAACATGGAGACTTGGCCCACCCCTGTTTCACTGCTTCAACTCATTTTTCTGAGCTCATTTGCCTGTGCAAGAACTTTGTTTTCTGAAAGGGAAGAGAAAAGCTCAACTGAATATAGAATTTTCCATAGGGTATCTGTAACACACGAAATTGTTCATTCATCTGCGGCGCAGGAGCAGTTGATAATTGAGCTATAATGCAATCTTCCATGGGTGGCTGCTTCTAAGCAAACTGTTTCTGCACTCGTACTTCCTTTATCATTGAGCAGTCATTTAGGGGTCTTAGCTGGCTGTTGCCTCTTGAAGGTAAAGCTTATTCTCCATTGTCTCGCTAGCCGACCTTTGAAGGGACGTATCGAGAACCAAAACAGAACGATCACGCAGAAAAACAGAGAAAATAGACGATGCACAAATTTACCCAGGTTTACCCTCGATTAGGGCTACGTCCTGCAAAGAGATTTCACTATGTTTTCGGTTTACAGCCACTCAACTCGTTACAATGATCAAAAAAACGAACAAAATATATATATGCCTCAAACGGGCCCAAAACCTAAACCTATATGAAATCTCTTAATCTCGCACCATACGGGCTAGCCCAAACCCGTTGAGGTTTCGGGCGCGCCCCGAGCCCCCGCCGCTCACCGGCGAGCGGGGCGGCCGTCCGTCCCCGACCGGCCCGGAACCCCGTCGGGGCGCCGCCCCGAACCCCCGCCCGTTGACCGGGCAGCGGGGCACCACGTGTCGGGGGCGCTGCCCCCGAACCCCCGCATTCCGCACGCATGGGTCACATGTCGTCGGACAACACTTCAGTTTCCCTAAGCTCACGTGGGCGTACCCGGTATGAGAAACAAGAGTCCCTGAAGTATTCGCCAACTCCAACAACCTTGACCTTATTTGGAGGATATGTAATAATCAGAATTGGCCTCAATTTGGTACCGGTCTCACGGCTCACACCGAAAATTTTTTTACCGTAGAACATGAAACCTGTAAGCTCCCAAGCAGTGGGAGGAGACTACTTAGGCTCTGACCGCATGCCTGTTAAAGGATGAGCCGGTGACTCATAGGCAATGACTTGGTTAAGGGAATCTACCGGAGCCTGTAGCAAAAGCGAGTCTTCATAGTGAATTTAACTTTCAAGAGAAATTCTATAAAGATAACCAAGTTTATAAAACTTCTCATCTAGATGGGAATAATAAGAAAGAGAATTCGAAGTGAGGAATATACAAAGAAGATAAACTTTTATTATGGTTTGAAACACACAAATCTAGGTTAGACAGGAACAGAGTGCTCGTTGTCTCTGACTCTGAGATGAGCCAAGCATTCTTCTTATGGCTAGATCCAATCTCCCGGTCCCTGAGAAAAGGAAAAAAGAATTTCTATTCAAATGTCGCCTGATGTTTCAGCAAAGCAATGACATAGGTGGGCCAATTAAACTAGATTTGGACGATCTTCTAATTGGGAAATAATTCTGAGATGGTAAATCCCAGTGGATTATGTATCGTATAAACACAAATAACTGTAATCGCTTAATCATTTCAGTAAAGATTTAGGATATTTTTAGCGTATACATCCGTGATGGTATTCTGTGGCAGGAATGCAGTTCAACCTGAACATGGATGGATTATATATGACTTCTATGGGATGATGATTAACCAGAAAGACCCCTCATCTCCTGATAAACAAGGCGTTCGTGTATTCAAGGTATGCATTAAAGTCTGGATATGTTCGACGAGCAAAACAAGGAATTCTCTCCGAGAATGTTCCATTCGCTTTAGGGCTTAAAAGGCATATTAGTTAACTTGTGTAAGAGGAAGCTCCATCAACCCTCGAGAAAGAGATCTGCAGTATAGACTCATCAACTAGGAATACAGAATGGTAACAGAAGACTGTCATTTTCATACTTCAGCGCAGAAGCTTTGTCCCTTTGCCCATTTCATATTCCATGACCGGTCGCAAAAACTTTAAGTAAAAATCCAGGGGGTAATTTTCAAAACGTAGGGGTCGGCTTGCAAAATTTCCAAAATACTGGATTTTGGAGTAATTTACCTTTAGAATTATATTAACAGGTGAGAGGAGGCTCCTCAGCTGAACATGCTCATATCAAACAAGGTGATTTGATTGTAAACTTTGATGGCAAACCGATCGATGGTGACATTCGAAAGGTAAAATCAACTCACATCATCACTATAAGTTATTTGTGAGGAACTATAACATAGCACATCGTTGTATGGACACTGGAATCTCAAAACTTGTGCTACATCTAGACTGATGTATAAATTTTATATGTTGGTTCGTATTTCATTCACTTGAAAATGACATAGCTCTATTCTGCATTGTTTTCCAATAGCTTAAGGTTTTAGAGAATCCGGTTGCATACTCTAAACTTCTTAAATAAATAAATAAATCTCGTTGCTTTGGTCTGAAGATGACATACAAGCTTTTGACATAATTGTTCTCCATTGAATGTAAAAAAACTGTGTGCTGACCAGTGAACCTGTAATAGATCATGGATGTTTTGAAGAAGAAGTATCGGCAACGGATCAAAGTTGTCATACAGAGAGAAAATGGTGCTCCCAGAATTTATACCATGCTTCCCGAGGAAAAGAATCAACATGCTCCAAGGATTACAGGTCTTGTGAGATCCAAGATTTGAATTACCGTATATGCATTTGTAGCATAAACTGAATTATCTCGTCTTATTTCTGGGTTTTCACTGTTAGGAGATGATGATTGGTGAGCCATGGAATCATAATCATCATCTCCAGTGTCAAAATAAGAATTCGACGTCGCTTCCATAATAACAATACCGTTCTTTTGCATAATGCTACACCCTGTGTTGAGTCTTCTGCTTCAGATTTTTGTGAATGAGTATGAACTGGTTGGCCTGAGAATGTTGAGGTCTTCCTTGTATACATTGTTACTCTAAGCTCAATGAAGATGGTCGAATAGGTTACCCAAAACAATCCGATAGATCTCTTTCAAAGCAGGATGGATATGGATGGAATTTCTTGTCCAGAGCCGGACGACGGATTAATCAGAATCATAATTGTTGATGATATTGAGAGCGGCATCAGTCGAACAGGATCGAATCGAGTGTGACTTCCAGTTTGTAGACTTGATCCATCTATTCACAGGAGGAGATCCATTTCACTGAGGATCATTGAGGGAAGCCATTTACCTCATTGTTATAAAGGATACCGGGAACATTTAACTAAGGATCAGTGCACAACAAATCATATAATATTCATAACGATACTTAGGAATTACATGAAACCTTTTGATCTCGAATATAACAATCTTCAAGTTAAATAACTAAGGTTTCGATTCATTGCATCACATTCTCAAAACGTTTAGAGGCCTAGTTCAATTTTTCTAAGAAGATACGAAAGAGCTTTTCTGAAATTTTTAGGTCAACGAGACATCTTTTACTAACTTAACGCAATATATCTATCTAGTCATGGATCCCTTAAAACAAATCACATATTGATTAGAGATTGACTATCACCTGGATCATAGAATCGATGTATGAGATAGGCTAGTGGCTACCCGTCGTCCAAAGGGTGTTTTTTTCTACACCCTCATTAATAATTTTTGGTTTTTTAGATAATTTTTATTTTATAGCAGAGTGTTTACTATAATAAATAGTAATGGGGCAGACCTAATTGAGGGTTGGATTAGTGAAAAAAGAATTTTACAGACCTAATTGCACATTTAACAATTGAACCATGTTCCGGACTACTCATATGGCCTTAATGTTTTTTCCTAACCGGCTTTCCCCCCTCAAATAAGCGCGCTCAAAATTAACGGCGGAACAAATTAAATTCACGTTTCCAAAATTCCGATCTCGGACGATCGAGTCTCGCGGATTGCCAGCGTGGCGCATTTTCGACCCTTCGATCAAACACCCCCAGTTCCAAAATCAAAGCACCCGCACGGATCGCCAGCGTCACCACCATCCGATCTTCCGCCGCCGCTCCCTATAAATACTCGCCGACGTCGCCGTCGACGTCGCACGTCGTTGTCCCGCTCGAAACCCAGAAAGAGAAGCTTTGTCTTCGTCCTCCTCTCGAGCAACGCCGCGCTCGTCTTGGGATCGCGACGCCATCTTCGGGGACCCAGAAATGGAAGCCAGGGGCGCCGGAGGGAGGCGAGGGAAGAGGAAGCAGGCGGTTTCCAAGTCCGTCAAGGCCGGCCTCCAGTTCCCCGTCGGCCGCATCGCCCGCTTCCTCAAGAAGGGCCGCTACGCCCAGCGCACCGGCAGCGGCGCTCCGATCTACCTCGCCGCCGTCCTCGAGTACTTGGCCGCCGAGGTTGTTCTCCTGTTCTTGGTGTTCTTTCGGGCACTTCGCGGCGACGGTGGCGATGACGGAGTTCTGTGTTTATGGCGTTTCGCTCGTTCGGCATTTTTTGTTTCAAATTTGTGGGAAACGAGCGTGGAATGTGGACATGAGAGTTGACTGATTGCTATCGCAATGCCCATACTCGAACCCATGCATGCATGCGCTCCGTGTAGTTTATCACTGTGACTCTGACGCTAAATCCATTCGACTGCTGGGATGGAAGTGATCGAATTGGGTTGATTGCGCTGTACGCAGGTGCTGGAGCTGGCGGGGAATGCGGCGCGGGACAACAAGAAGACCCGGATCAACCCGCGCCACGTGCTGCTGGCGGTGAGGAACGACGAAGAGCTGGGGAAGCTGCTGCAGGGGGTGACCATCGCGAGCGGCGGCGTGCTGCCCAACATCAACCCGGTCTTGCTGCCCAAGAAGCCCTCCGCCGCCGACGCCCCCAAGGCGTCTCAGCGCAAGTCTCCGGCCAAGGCCTGACCTCGGGTTCGGGTTCGGGTTAGGGGGTGTTTCTGTAAATGGCGGTTTTTTGGGTGGGCATTTTGGGTATATAGATCGTTATTTGCACAGAGGTTAGGCCCTTTTTTTGGTGTACTGTTAGGTTGGTTTTTTGGATGGTAATCCCCGCTTCGGCGCATAAGAGTAAAAAGATGTGATGTTCATCATCTGATGAATTTAATGCATATGTTTTGCTCGTTCTACAACAACCAGAATCTGTTCTCTCTCTCTCTCTCTTTTCTCCTTGGTCGCGAGAAAATTAGTGTTATCTGTGTATATATTTACGCCAAATTAAGTATTCTATCAATAATGAAATGATGCTGGGCTCAAATGGGCTTTTTGTCTTGAACAAAAAAGTTCGGTGTTGTGTTGGAATTTAGATGCCCAGATCCCGCATTGCGTTGGTCGTGAATCTGGGATTAAGGTCGAGAAAATTAAGGTTCAAAGATATTGTCTTTCTTTCTAAAATATCAAGAAAAATCGAAAGACTGAGTAAAGCTACGATTTTTAAGCTTTTGATCGATCCATACGCCTTCTATGTACACGCCCCACTTTCTGCTTCGCCCTAGCGTACAGAGAGAGGGGGAAGGGGTTTAGGAGGGGCTTTTCAAAAAAATACGGAGCGGGGCTCTGCACCTCGCCTTCGCGAGCTGCAGCTGCAAGATCATCGTCAGCTCATGAGACTCTCGCTGGTAAATTCATTCCCCAAAATCCCGACTCGCCATCTTTCGCATAATCGTCGCGCGTTGCCTGCGTTCATTGCAAAACGGCCGTGGACGGCTTCGTCGTTATCGTGGATCTCCCTTTTCGCTTCGCTTCGTCTGACCCAGGAAATTTCTTTGCTTGCATTTCTTCCTCCTGCGTGTTTTCAGAGGAACTTGGCGCGCGATTCCAAGAGAAGTTCTCTGCTCCGGGTCGCCGCAGTCGCCGCCGCAGCCGCCGGTTCTGGTGTTGCGTTCGCGAACGCCAATGCTGATAACAGTGAGTCTGCCCTTCGTTGTCCGCTTGTTGTCTTGCTGGTTCGTTTGTTCCCGAAAGCCTCTTCTCGTGCTTTAGTGGTTGTGGAATTGGAGGTGAAGCATGTAGTAATTTCTGTTGACAGCTATAAACTGTCGTTTAGGAAGTCTTGTATAGTGTCGGGCTCGCTAGCTTCGTGTTATTATTGTATTGCCATGCCAATTTTCTTTTGCTCGTAATATGTCCCTGCGAAATCTCTGTATCTGGTCCTTCTCATGGTCTGATCTATTAATGAATGTCAAAGGCTTACGATTCGAATTTGTACATTTAGAGCCGGAGTTATCGATTGGGGTTTCCATGCCTTTGCGTAAACTACTGGAGCGACCGTGGCATATCGGCCAGATAACAGACTCCCGCCCAGCTTTTCTTTTTTGGGATCATTTGCAATCTGGTCGGTTCTCGGTCTATTGTTCAATCTACTTGACTGATTGATTTTCTTCTTGACAATGTTTTGGATTAAATGTATTCTTTCATGCTCTCGTCGCCTTCATTTTGAAAATTGTAGGTATTCTTCCGACATTCTCATTTAGAGCCATTCCAGCTCCGCCTGATGACGTAAAGAAAGAAGTGCCTGCTGATACCAGCGAAAGTCCGAAACCGTGTCCTCAATGTTTGGGGAGGGACACCATTGCAACTGCAGCTGCTAGGGTTGGTCCTGCAGTTGTAAATTTATCTATTCCGCAGGGTATGCTCCGTCCTGTTATTTTTTGTTACTTGTCTCGTCGTTCACCATCATGATGTGTACTCTATTATTTCGGCATTTCCCTATTTGTAAGGTTTCCATGGCATGACCACTGGAAAGAGTATAGGATCTGGAACTATTATCAACAATGACGGTACGATTTTAACATGTGCTCATGTTGTGGTTGACTTCCAAGGGCTTCACTCTTCATCTAAAGGCAAGGTTCGTTTCTTTTCGTTTAGCCCGTCTCTCCATAATATTTTAGTTTCCAGCAATAAAATAGTATTCATCTCATTTATGGCTCCGTTGATACTTGTTATGTCTTGTTTTTGTACTACATTGCATTGGAAGTTTTAGCAAATATGTCTTCCGTTACTCATAACTTCTCTGTTGAATCACTATTGCTTTGCTGGCCATGTAAATGTACTTTATTAGTGGTGCTTCTTAAGTTAGAATTTGAATATTGTATTTTCTGCGGCTAGTTGATCTCAAATGCTTAATTATTTTAGTAAAACCTCTAATTGAAGTTGCTAAACCATATTAAGTGAAGAGAAAAGTGCTCTACAAGAGGTGGTTTTCTTACATGTCACTTAGAAGTAGCGTTACTACGACTGTTAGCATGTCTTGACTCCTAATTTTAGTCTTTTTCCCCACTATTTTCCAAGACTATATGCTGGAGTATCAATGTGTGAGCTATCACAACCTTTAGCTATATAAGAGGTTGATTTTCATGATTAATTATCTAGCCTCTGAATAATTTGGAGGATGTCAGATACTTTATTTTCATATGAGAGCGTATAGAAATTGTTATAGAGTTAATTGTGATATAGTTGTTCCCTTAGGTTGATGTTTGCGATAATTCACAGGTTGCGGTAACTCTGCAAGATGGTCGAACATTTGAGGGTACTGTTGTCAATGCGGATATGCATTCTGACATTGCCATCGTAAAAATCAATTCAAAGGTTCCTCTTCCAACAGCAAAACTTGGCTCTTCGGGCAAACTTAGACCTGGAGACTGGGTGGTAGCAATGGGCTGTCCTCTTTCCTTTCAAAATACTGTTACGGCTGGCATTGTCAGGTACTTCTATCTTTTGTTTTTTCTTTTTTAAATCTAAGTATAGAATTGTTTACCTGATAATCCCTGAAACCATTAGATCTTATATTTTCTTTTCTTCTTTTTGTATATGTGAGTAAATGATTTGTAGCATACTTACCACTATTTGTTTTTGCATTTTTTTCACCCGCATCTAGTTGCGTAGACCGCAAAAGCAGTGACCTGGGTCTTGGAGGAATGCGAAGAGAGTATTTACAGACTGATTGCGCAATCAATGCAGTAAGATGGTCCATTTACTTCTCCCACATAACATGCATGAGTGTTAGAGAGAGCTTGTGGGAGGTTTTGTAAACAAGGGCCCATGGCTAGTTATGCACTTTGTTTGAGGACTTCATATATAACTAGTAATATCTAACATCACATATTTTTGTGTTCCTTCCATAAGGTAGATACCGGAAATAGTGAAATTAGTCTAATAAAGTTTTGTGGTCAGCTTGTTAGAGTCCAAATTGTGGGAAGGGATTTGTTGAGTATGTCTTAAATTCTTTATGGGCTTAGGCCAACTTTAGGGCTTGGGGGCAATATAAATATTGCTTTTCTCAAGTTATTAGGTTAAGAAGTTGAGACAGAAAGAGTCTTTAGCTTTTGAGCCACCTTTTGTAATCCTCAATATTCTGTAGTGGATTTTGCTTCTCCTCTCCCCGTGGTTTTTCCCTCAAGAGTTTTCCACGTAAATTTTGGTGTTCTTTATTCTTCTCAGTTTTATTTTCGTTATTGTTTTTGCATCAGTCATAACAGGATTTCCATCAATGTACCCTAAAATAGCACATCTGCATTTGGAATTTTCACCTAGTATTCCGTTGATGCAAATGGTTGAAAAACTGTGAAGAATCTGTTGATTTATATGACCTGTCTTGGTCTTTTTGGCTTTTCAGACATATGCTTGCTGTTACAGTTTTGATGCTGGTGTTGATTTCATCTGCATGTCTCACTAATATCATACTTTTCTGTGACATGAAATAGTGATGTGCTTTCTAATGAAAAATTGCTTCCAATTAATATGCAGGGAAATTCTGGAGGGCCTCTTGTTGATATTGATGGAGAAGTTGTTGGCGTTAATATAATGAAAGTGTTCGGTGCAGATGGATTAAGTTTTGCTGTACCAATCGATTCAGTGTCGAAAATAATAGAACACTTCAAGAAAAGTGGGTATGTTCTTGTACGTTGTAAATATGCCTTGATCTCTCCTATCTCTCATATGGTTATTTCACCAATATCTGAAGTTTTGAGATGCAATATACTCCCGGTTGTAGTATTCTCTCTTCTAAGCCATCTAGGTTGCATAAGAGTACTGGATTTGCTTCTATTATTTATCCTATTTTGTCACCTCTCCCATGAGGAATCTATACTTGAAGTATCCCACATGTTTAAAACCTGGTATATGGATTCCCAGCCAAGGCTCCATTTTTGCTTTTTTGCATCAGCTGTTATCATATGGAGTTGTAGAACTGATTTTTTGGTGTCACATTAACTGTCATGATAGTAAATCTGATCTTACTATTCTGGATCAATATGTCGATTTACAATAGATTGTGTAGTTATTGACTCTAGAGGTTCATTGTTTAAGTTCTCTGTAAGAGAGTAGTCAGAAACTTACTTGATTAGCCTTTAAATTTTGTTTTTGATTTTGTTCTTGGTCAGTGAAAACCCTGTCTATTTTATGATATTTAATTCATATTTTAAATGCTTTTTGTGTATAGAAGCATTCTAACATCTTGGTATTTTTACTAGGATATAGTGCTTTTCTTCTACTTAAGTTGAGCTGTTCCTACTTCAGTTTCCCTTGAATTGATGGATTGATATGGAATTGTCATTTTTGTCGCTAAAAGAAGCATCCATCGTGGAAGTCCATGTGATTGATTTCATCTTTCCAGGAGAGTTATTCGACCTTGGTTGGGATTGAAAATGGTTGATCTTAATGAGATGATCATCGCTCAGCTCAAGGAAAGAGATCCTGCATTCCCCGATGTTAAGAGAGGTGTTCTTGTACCGACGGTGTGTTCTTCTAAGTAAATCATGTCAGTTATTTGTTGTGTAATATAAGTGATGTTGGTTTCACCTTGTTTTTAACTCTTTCTTGTTTTGGCTTTGTTAATGTGCCGGTGCAACTGATTTGGTGAAAGGTAGCGAGACTTGCACCATACGAAGAGTGAAAAACTTCATAGAACTGTTTTGGTCAAGATAGTATTATGAATATTTCTATGCTTAAAACATTAGAGAGGAAACTGAAACTGTTTCGACGAACTGATAACAATGCATCTCAAATAGGACATCCTGTTTGTTGACTGTAATATGTTTGAGCTTGATGTTCATACAGGTACATTAATTTGTAAGAGTACTGTTACAGCAATGCATCTGTGGTACATTTCAGATGATAGTATATGGTCAGCATCATGATTTATATTCATAATTACTTTATTTACACCTCTTGCCAATTTCTCCAGTAATTGCCATATGTTCCTGTTATATATGTCCTCTTCTAGCATGATCACCACCCGTGATATAAGACTCATGAGGAATGGAAGTGCCTATTAGTTTCATTACTTTCTAGTGCATTTAAACAAAAGACAGGGTGGGGGAGTTTGATAAAGTTTTCTTTAAGGACAAGGCACTTTTCTTTCTTCTTCCTTATCACTTAGATCTATGTAATGTGCTTTGCATGTGTTGTAATTGATCAAGATCAAGAGATATCCCTAACTGTGACCACTAGATCTTGCATCAACAAGGATCTTTTTTTTAATTAATCTTTGTTAGCACTATGGGTATGAGTTTCTCTGTCTCAAGGTGGACACTACTGTAACGTTTGCATTCAGCAGAATATCAGAGTTGTAGAGTCGCAGGTTCCTCATCTTTGTTATTATTCTTGATTTTCCTTACCAGGTAACTCCAGGATCCCCAGCTGATCGTGCTGGATTCCAACCAGGTGACGTAGTCATTGAGTTTGATAGGAAGCCTGTTGGCAGCATCACTGAGGTTAACTCTCTCTCTCTCTCTCTCTCTCTCTCTCTCTCTCTCTCTCTCTCTCTCTCTCTGTCTCTCTCTCTCCTTTTTCCTAAACCTAAATTAGTATAGTATCACTCTTGTGGTTCAGTGAAGTGTCTGCTTTTCAGGAAAAAAAGAAGGAAATATGCTCTTAAATTTTGCTATATTTGAGCTAGACAATAGAGATTGCAAAGAGAATGTACTTCCTTAGTAATAAGTTATGGCTAAATGTTGAGTTGTGATGACCAGATTTGCCGACTGATATATTCGTGGCAGATAATCCAAATCATGGGGGACAAAATTGGGATCCCAATAAAGGTTGTTGTTAGAAGAGCAAAGGACAGTCTCGTCACTTTGACTGTAGTACCGGAGGAGACCAACTTAGATATCTGAAGGAAGACGGCGATACTACTTTCAGAAATTTCAATTAATATGTATTGAACAATGTGTGGTTTACTTGATCCTTCTCTATATTGAAGTTAAAGAAGGGACCAGATGGTCTCACACTTAAAGAGAGAAAAAAAAACAGTATGACCGCCAGGTAGAAATAAATTTTGGAAGAGTCCTGCATAAAATCAAGAATCTCTTATAATTAAAAAAAACCAATTCAATATTTTGTTTTGGTCAATCCGGTAATTACTTGAACAGAAATTAGCGAAGCTCCTTGTAGATGGAAGCTGGCAAAGGACACGTTGCTGTGGTTCAAAAAGAAAGTTCGATCTTATAGTTACTGAGCAACTTCAATTGAGATTCCAGGGTTGAGTGGGTTAAAGTTTCTATTGATCCGGAGAAATCGAGCTGCTCCTTGTAAACTTGCAGGTGTGTCTTGGATCCCTAATTTTAAGTGTGTTCCCCACGCTGAAGTATGTCATTTAAACATCTATGGAATTTCTTGGTCCTCTGTAAGGCAAGCTTTGAGATGATGGTTCGGGCAATGCCAAACTCTTGGTCTGGTTCTGAATAGGATTCAGGGAGCTAACATAAATGAAGGTATTATATATGTGTCACGGTTCCGAGGTTTTCATGCGTCAAGGACCATGTATGAATTGAGAAAAAAAGGGCCAAATTTATAAGAGCTTCCGGAGTGTTCCTAGGGACAAGTGATACAATAATTGTGCAATGTTCTAGAGAACCGGTAGTTGGTGGACAGGAAGATGCGATCTCCTTCGCTATATCAAATGTCAATCAACGGATGTAATGAGCTAAGTCTTTGTACAAGTAGGGATGCTCTCCCCTTCATTTGTATTCATTTAACAATTGAAATAATTCATTTCTATTTTCTCCCGGACCTCCTCTTTAAACTTTCTCTCTCAAACAATTGATCTAGGCTTGGCTTAGGCGTTTCAACATCCAAAGAAGCCTAAGTCACTGCATGGATTCGATCCCAAACAACCAACCCATGACATATGCACCCAGAGCCTCCGAGGCAACTTTACTTGACCCATGATCGCAATTAGCTGCTTTTCTTCCATTCAAATAGTTCCATAAAAAACGGCTTCCGTCCCAAATGGAAATGCGAATTGCATGGATGTAGATTTATCCTTTCAAAATTTGCGTTTGGCATAGATCTTTGGAACGCGACTAATGCATCACCAACCGTGAGGCATGCGCTTCTTATTCTAGCCTATTTCCGCATGCCATAATGTCCGTTCGTGTGGAAGACTAATGGACTATATGGGTTACAACCTTCATTCTTGAAGCAGTCTCTCTTCTGTTTTTCGCTCTTTGGCCAATTACTCCCATCGACGGAGTGAAATTTGGAATTGACTATACATATCGTTTAGCCTAACAGTCAAGAGGTTGAACATAATCCCATGATCACGTATCCTCTAACATGGTTCCTTCCTCCAATATACTGCGACCATTTTCCCTCTGGCCTCATTTGTTCAATATGAGTGAAAGCTCAGCTCGTCCTAATCCCTATTCTTTTTTTAATTCCCTCATATTCGCAAGCTCTCTGGGTTCATCAACCTCTCCAAAAACAAAATCAATAATCCTCTTACTACTCTATCCAAGTCACATTGCCCTTACGAAAAGTTTCCGTGTCTGTCAAGCATAATAAAAAAGCTAAAGCAGAAAAAAAAAAAGACAATGTTTCCTACGAATAATTAAAATAAAACCTGTCAAAGCTAAAAAGAGCAATAAGATTGCACCATCGATTACACATGACAAACATGATTTGGTCTTGTCACTAGTCCAACCGCTTCATATTTTGTTTTGTCACTAGTCCAACCGCTTCAGTTTGAGGCCCCTTTCTGTTGGCTCTCCTCAGCCCGAAGGAAAAATCCAATCCCTGCCAGAAGTCCAGTGCGATTTGGGCTTTTTGATTGGTGACTCGTCCTCCATGCGACTGTTGAAGTTCCATCTTCATGGTCCATAAAAGATTAATCGCTCTTTTGGGTGGGGCCTCACTTATTTATCATCAAAGAGGATGGTAGGGGACATAACCTAGCAAGCCCGACAAGTTGTTCACTACATCATTGCACCGAGTCAAGAGGCTTATCATCTGGTGCGAGATGTCCACGGTGATGTTAAAATTGGGTGCACTTCTTGAAGAGGGTGCTATTTCAGTGGGCAATGGTGCATTGTTGTTTAGCAGTTGTGGCTTTGCAAGTGGAGGAAGGGGTAGAAGAGGCGGAAGAGGAGAGGAAGGGACAGCTCTTTGAAAGTTCTTACTATTATAAACCATTGCAAGAGAGGAAGAAGAAGATGATGCACCACCATCTGCAAAACTAGCATTGTTGTTCTTGTCGTTGAAGTTGTTCGCATTATCAACCATCATCTTTTGCTCTTGCTTACTAGTAGTTTCTTCCCCACCCAACATAAATTTTACACGGGCTGCTGCCCGACCTCCATTACCTGTGGTGGGCCCTACACCGGCATCATCTCCAGACGATTTCTTCAAGCATGATTTGAGCTGCACCGAGGATGCAGGTCCTGGTCTTTCAGTCGAAGGATCCTTGAGGCGTGGAGTATCATGTACATCATTGACTCTGCTTTTTCCAGACTCCGAAGCCTCGGATGCAGGAACTTCTGCATCCCGAAGAGAATATCTCACGCCAGCATTGCCAAACAAGTTGTTGTTTCCAGCAGCATACTTGTAAGCTGCCTCCGCGTCAAGTTTGCGGTGGAAGACAACCCGGCATGTCGATGACTTCCAGAAGACACGGATACCCGAGTAATCTAATGGCCCAAATCGAGCAAACCTTGCCTTGAGCTCAGTGACAGAGGGTAGTGACGTTCCAGGAGGAAATTTCATGACTAATATGGTGGGGTCCGAGGCTCTTGCCGGATGAGACTCCACTTTCTTGACAGGAAATGGTTTTGCTTGTTTTGGGGTTGCAGATACAGTTTCCCTTCCCTCTCCCCGTGGCGCATCTTGGGTCTTCTGAATTGCCCTCTTTTCAGAGGCCAATGATTTGATATTGTTGATTTTCCTCAACCTCTTTGCTTCAATTTCTTCTTGACGGTCGGATGGAGGACGTTTGCGGCCACTCTTTGTTGGGTCATCAAATCTTCCAGGTGGTTTTGTTGATTTTGAAGATGATAACTTTCTTACGCTTTCACCAGTAGGTTGATCGGGAGCTCCAACACCAGCAAGAGATTTAGCAGGGCGTTTTTCATCGGTATCAGTCTCAGATGGTGGAGCCAGAACCAAGCTCTTCTGATACACAAGGGATCGAAATCGAAGAAATGCATGCTTTGTAACTGCAGGATTGCTCCTTTCAATTCCATAGAAAGGATCAAGAGCAAGGGCTTGCAAGCCATTCAAGAGTTGTCGCAAATCGAGCTCAGCATTTCCAGACCAAGTAGGCACCGTCCCAACATTATCGGGATGCATCCAGCTTGCTTCACTTTTCTGCTGTTTGTCCGCATAAGATTCTTCTCTTGACGCTGAATCAACTTGAGAAAGTTTACCAGCAACTTTTGCCACTGATACTCCGACTTTGCTAGCTACCAGCCGCTTTTGGGGATGATCAGAACCTGTCTCAGTACCAAATTCTTTCCTTTTCTTCTTTTTCTTCTCTCTCGTAACAGCATTCTGCGAGCTTGGCTCTCCTGCATGATATTTAAGAACTTTCTTCTTCTTCTTCCTCATGGCTCCATCAGCACTAACAACATCAGCTGATAAAGGAGAAACATAACCACTATCCTGTACTGTATGAAATTCCTGGCCTCTTTGCAGAAAACCATCTTGGGAATTGGTGATTTTTGCATCATCCCCTTTTCCCATTACATTGGAGCCACCTAAACCAGAAGGACTCGAAATATTTATTGCAGAGCTACTTTCTGGAATTTGATGCAGGTCTGAAATCCCAGTACCACCTTGATTTGAAATTGCATCTGCAGTTACTTGGGTCTGCTCAAGTTTCCCAGAAATCTGAGAGTTGACAGGAATAGATGGAGCTCTCTTCTGCAAGATATAACCTGCTGCAACTACAGATGAACCGTCAATGTAAGCGGCAGGAACCAAAGAATTGGCCTGTACTGGGCTAGTTAGTTGTGTGCCAGAATCTTCACGACGCTTGAAAAGATATTTGTCCTTTTTGGAGGTATCCTTCACTTTCATGGGTTTAGTGGAGGTCCTTTTGCTGCCAAGAGCCTCGGCAAACACCAGTGGACCACTCAAAGGAGCTGAAGAAGAGAACAAGCACATGATATCAGAAGGAAGGTACCAACTATTAACCAATATATCTTATAGCCAGAACGCGTTTGATGATAAACTATGAAAGGCACATCCACGTCCAGTAACAGTACCAGAAAGGAAAAAAAACTCAACTTCATAAAGAAAGAGCTTAGGTGTTTAGTGAGTGAACCATAAAGTAAGACAATCAAAAGAGCTGATAAGGGCATGCACTCCACATCAACTATAAGGAGCCGGACAAATTTTGATCTTACTAGCTCCTTCGATCTTCTTTGCTATCCCTTTTCCATTGCATTTTATAAAGAGAAAAATGAACTACTAAAAGTGCAATAGCAGGTTTCGACCCAAAAAAAAAATGCAATAGCAGGTTGACTATTAGCCAGGAGGCAAAAAGTTGACAATATGTTTCCTTAGCATGGAAGTTGAATAAGCACAAGGGATGTTATGTTGATTGTTTCTTTTCTTATGAAAAATGCTATGAAACCAAGCTGCTCAAATATGAACTATTGCCTTTTCCTTAGAGCAGATGGATGTACTTCAGTATCCACTTGATTAATGTGTATTGCATGACTGTACAAAGCAAGACCAACACTGAAGAGAAATACTGTGCAAAGGTAGGACTTTTTCAGAACCCTTTTCTTTAAAGAACGTGTTTGGACTTCTCTTTGATAGCTCCATACATGATAACAGAAAGAAAAGAGTAGCGAAATTGAAACTACTTAACTGTGTCTACCGAACATCTTATAGCTAAATCATGAATAGGCAAGACTTTCTACTATATAACTCAACAACTCAACTTGTGGAAAGTGAACCCATATAAGCATGAGTCATGCGAATAAAGGCAGCAACCTGCCGAGATAATGCCCAACAAAAACAAAGAAAAGACACTAATAACCGCCACAGAAAAAATATTTGAAGCTTAAAATACACTATCTAATATACCTCGAGGCGGCTCTTTCACCGGCTGAGCTGTTGCATCAACTGGACTGTGAGAAGGGCGCACAGCCTGCACCCCGAATGCCTGTGCATAGGTCTCATCATACTCCTCAAATACTGCCTTGCGATAAGCAAAAACGATAGCCTTATTCTTGACAAACTCGAGGCTCTGCTCATCACGGCTTTGCGGCATTAATGCAAGCTGCTCTATAAATGCAAGAGTTTCCCGAGGCTGGAAACTGTCTCGTGCTTTGCTTATCTGAGTAGTCGAATACAGCCCTCCTTGCTCATAATCAGGCACATCGACTGCAAAGTACCCCTGAACATGTGTCGGTCGAAAACTAAAAGCATTTCTACACCTGCAAGCCAAACCAAGACCACTTCTTCTACTTGCTTCATCCATGGCCTCCTCAACTGCCTTACTAAAGTTCCTCGAAACCGTCTGGCTCGATTTTTCAATGAAATTCTCCTCAAAAGGTATAAGCTCTGCTGGGTCAAACCACCCATAACTACTATCACCGAAGAAAGCCACCAGCACATAACCATCCCTCCTCGAGCGACGCACCGAAGAAGATGCAAAGACTTCATTGAAGATTTGTCCCGGCCACCAGGGATGTGATTTTACTTTGCCCCACACCATATCCCCCACTTCAAATCCGTAACTCAAAGCCCTCGACATGCCACTTTCATTGGAGCTATTTTTCTCATTCGCTACATATTCATCAAACTCAGACAACAAAGAATCATACTGCCGGTCGAAAGGTTTCCTCTCAGCCAAGCCACTAGAGTTTCTCGACTCCAACCCATCCCCGTCAACCGCAAGGCGACCTTGCAAACCAATTTCGCGATCGTAGGCATCAGATGGGTCATTTTCCACTTTCATCCCACCTTTCACATCGTGGGGCCAATACTCACCGGACTTCTCGCTTTTAAAATCGAAACCTCCAGGTACCATTTCCTCATCTTCCCCACCAGGACTCCCCCCACCTGCCGACGAGCAAACCCTAACTCTATCCTCTTCAGATCTCCCATTTCCTGAATCTACGCCACTACCCGAAGCCCTAATTTCGCCTCCTAAACCTACCGAATCGACGCCCATCGAATCGACCGCACCATCACCTGCAACCCCCAAACCCACGCCCTTCCCTTCCCGAGGCACTCCACGGGCATCCTCCGAAACCCCACCTTCCCCTCGATTCTCCTCCGGCCCACCCGATTTCCCACCTAAACCGTCCTCATTCGCCGCCGATAACATTTGGAACAGCTCCTAGGTCTAAGCACCAAGCTCCCAACGGCGAGACGGGAGCTCCCAAGGTCCCGCCGGAGGAAAAACCGTTACCTTCCGCGGGCTTCACGGAGGCCGCCGGCGCCGATTTCTCCGGCGAAGGCACCGGTACGGCCGAGGGATCGGAAAATCAGAGACGGAGAAACAGAGGCGCGCGACGCGGAGAGGTGGGAGAGGTGGGAGGGCGTGTTCGAAACAAAGGGAAAAGGCGCAGGGGGACTGTGTTTAGTGATTTATATACCTGGGTTTCGACGAGCTTCCAGCTTCATTTTCATTTTCTGGCCTTATTATTTTTTTTTCTTTTTGTTCAATTTCCTTTTTCCAATTTCCTTTTTAAATGGATTATCATCTCGTCCACCAGTGGAAAAAAAAAAGAAAATCCTTTTTTTTTAAATCAATTTTATCATATACCTCGTGATTATCTTTCGAATCACAAGAAGATGTGGGAATTTCAACTCGAAAATTTTGTGAAGTAGAATAGACGGTCGAATGAAAATATATGAGGCCGTGGAAAGGACGATTATAGAAATATCTAGGGAACTATCAAGGTCGGGAGAGAAATTCGTAATTTAGGAAATATAAAAATATCTGTTGCGAGATCGCTAGAGACATGTGGAGATATCTTATTTTTCGGTTAAGTTTTGGGCCGTTTTTATTGTTAAGTTCGTTGTAATTTATTGAGATTCGGTCAAAAAAAGTAAGTATTTGGGAAATGGTACTCGGCTTATGTTTGAGGAAAATATCGTTCCGTGGCAAAGAAAAAAAGGAAAATGACATAAATAGTTTATAAAATTTGATCAAATGTGTAATGTGATCCCTGAACTTTTAAATTATTTAATGTGGTCTCTGAACTTTATCTTAATGTGAAATGTAGTCCATTAAATTTTAATTTATCCAATGTTATCCCTAAACTTTTGGTAGAGGTTTGATTTAATTCTTGCACGATATGAAAATATTTAATGTTGTCATTGATCTTGAACTAATGCAAAGACTACTTTGAACACTTTCATATAATTTAGACACTACATTAAACAGATATTAAAAGTTCGTGGACCACATTGAACAAATTAAAAGTTCAGGGATCACATTGTGCATTGGCCAAAGTTTAGGAATCACATTGAAAAAATTTAAAATTCAAGGACTATATTGCAACCAAAGTTCATGAATCATTTGTGTCATTATTTCAAAAAAAAAACTCAAAATATTGTTGTGCGGCAAAAAAACAAAACTGAAGATATTGTCTTGAGAGTAATAGGGATCATGGGCTTCAGTCTAGCGTAAAAAGCCCAATCTTCCATACTTGGGCCAAGCCCAGTCAGAGATTGTTAGCATGTTTGGTTAGAAAATTTGGGGCTGGCTGTGAGCTCGGTCTTTGAGCCTGCCAATTGACAACCTCCGCTCAAAAGAATAACGATCTCCATCATTTTCTCTTGGGTTAATACTATCAAAAATCCCAAACTGGTATGCATATGACAATTTTACCCCAAAATTTTTTTTTTACCACCAAAAACCCCAAACTGGTACACCTGTGACAATTTTACCCCGAACATACCACAAAAAACCCCAAACTGATACACTTGTGACAATTTTACCCTGAACATACCACAAAAAACCCTAAATTGATACACATGTGACAAATTTACCCTGAACTAAAATTTTAATATTATTTTTTTAGTTTTTTGAATTTTTTTAAATTTTTTTGTTTTTTTTTTTTTCATCTTCAACCTCTGGCCGTTCGCTGGATCGGCGACCAGCCAGAGGCGGAAGCCGGTGAGGTCTACCTCGCCGACTGCTAGCGAGGTCGACCTCGCCGGCTGCTAACGAGGCTCGACCTCGCCGGCGTCAGGCGAGGGCTGCCCTCACTGGATCTGGCAAGGGCGACCCTCGCCTGCGTCAAGCGAGGGCTGCCCTCGCCGGCGTCGGGCGAGGCCAGCCCTTGCCTGGGCGGGCGAGGACATCCCTCGCCCTTGTTGGCGTCGGGCGAGAGCTGTCCTCGCCTGAGTCGGGCGAGGGCGGCCCTTGCACGCGCCAACGAGGTCGAGCCTCGCCAGCGACTGGCGGGGCCAACCTCGCCGGCTTCCGCCTGGCGACCGGCCATAGGTTGAAGATGAAGAAAAAAAAAGAATAAATAAATAAATAATTCGAAAAAATTATTAGTTCGGGATAAAATTGTCACATGTGTACCAGTTTGGGATTTTTCGTGATAAAAAAAATAGTTTAGGGTAAATTTGTTACGGGTTTACCAGTTTAGAGTAAAACTGTCACATGTATACTAGTTTGGGATTTTTTGTGGTAAAAAAAAAATTTGGGGTAAAATTATCACAGGTGTATCAGTTTGGGAATTTTGGTAGTAAAAAAAAAGTTCGGGGTAAAATTGTCACACGTGTACCAGTTTGGGGTTTTTGATGGTATTAACCCTTTTCTCTTTGATGCACCACCATGCGCAGTTGGTTTTGAGTAGAGGTGAGCACCAAGTCCGATTCAATTCGGAAATCGGATTGAACAGGCCTAAACTGACTGATCCAATGCTAATTTTAGTGAGAACCAGTTCAAGCCCTAATTCTGCCAACCCTAGAACCTGGCCAAGAGCTGTTCTGTTTCCGGTGCCATGGCTAGAATCACCGATTGTATTTGGGAATCAATTTGACCAATCTAGTTTTCGGGCTACATCGGTTTTGAAGTCTCTTTTAAAAGTTAAAATAAGAATTGAACATTAGTCTTCAACATGAAAAGACATAATATAACAACTTGACGAACATGTGTTTCTTTTTTAAAAAAATGGTGCAGCTTTATAGTTTATTGTAATAATTTAATTTTGTACAGAAAACCAAAAATGGTCTTAGTTTAGAAACCGATGTTCTAGAGCTAATTGGTTTGGTTCCCCGTTTCAACCCGATTCGTCTCGGAACCAATCACCCCCAATTTCGAGATTGCATTTGTCACTTTTACTTTGAGAGACAACGATCCAATAAAACTCACATTATCTAAATTTTCACTAAATCTAGCTAGGGTCACATCTCTTATTTTGTTCAACATGTTAATTATTTTGTGGTAGACATGATTCTTTATCTATTTCTTCTAATTATAAATGCAATGTCACACTCGAGTTGTACAAAGGGGTGAACTTGAAATGGAAAGGGGTGAACGAGGGTGGGATTTATCCCATTACCTCTTCATGTCTGCATGTTTCTAGTGTTACATTTAGAAAAATACGGAATATCAATTATACACTCACGGTTTCCATTTTCCCACTTTGGAATCCAAAGAAATTAAGGAAAAACAAAGAAAGGATGTTACGAAATTTACAGAACCTGCGCAATGTTGTGTGAAGGTACGTTGTAGTTCAGAACTTCATATACGAAGGCGTAAAGCATAACCATGCATCATCTTTCGCGACCAAACACAATCACATAACGAAGATGCATACTTTCAAGCATTCGGGAAAAGTTTCAGAAAAGTCATTGCATTTGTGCTCATTTAGTTCTAAACATTTTAATTGTACCAATTTAGGAGAAAATTGTCAAAAAAGTCCTAAGCCAATTGCACTTTCGCTAAATCAATACTAAACCTTTTAAGTTTGCCAATTGAGTCATAAACATTTACGATTCTTGCCAATTGAGTCCTAAACCTTTACACTTCTTGCTAATTGAGTCCATCTGGCCAATTTTGACCGGAAATCGCTTATGTGGATGCCGGGCGGCCACGTGGCGCTGATGTGGAATTTTTAAATAATTTTCTGAATTTTTTATGGTTTTTTTCTTCTTCTTTTTTTTTTTTCCTTTTCTCTGTTTTTTTTTTTTTGGGTTTTGGAGTTGGCCGGCGAGGGTGGCTGGCCAACTCTAAAACCCAAAACTCGCCGGCCAACTTTAAAACCCAAAAAAAAAAAAAACGGAGAAAAGGAAAAAAGAAGAAGAAAAAAACCATAAAAATTCAAAAAATTATTTAAAAATGTCCACGTTAGCGCCACGTGGCCGCCCAACTTCCACGTCAGCGATTTTCCGCCAAAATTGGCCGGATAGACTCAATTCACAAGAAGTGTAAAGGTTTAAGACTCAATTGGCAAACTCGAAAAGTTTATGACTCAATTGGCAAAAGTGCAATAAGTTTAGGACTTTTTGGGCAATTTTCCCATCAATTTAGTCATGCACCTTTTGATCTAATGCCAATTCGATCATTTCGGCTAATTTTTGCCAGATTTTGCTAATGTGGATACTAGCCGGCCTACATGGTACCGTCGGCGCTGACGTGGACAATTTGTAATAATATTTTAATTTTTTTTCCCTTTCTTCTTCCTTTTGCCGGTGACTGGCCACAGGCGATGGACGGCCACCGATCATGACCAAGCAGGCTAACCTCGCCTAGGTGAGGGTCGACGTCGCTCGGCATAGGCGAGGCCCTACGAAGTAAGGGTGAGCTCAGGCGACAAGCTCACCGTTGCCCAAGCAAAGCCCGACGAGGGTCGGTCTCACCCAAGTCAGATCTAGTGAGGCCAAGGCCTAAGCGAGGGCCAACCTTGCTAGATCTAACACAATTAAAAGGTTGTTTTGGGACAAGATCTAGTCGGATCTAGTCGACTAGTTTTGGGAGACTAACGCCCGTTTCACCTAGTTTTGGGAGACTGATAACGCCCGTGTTCAATGCATTTGATGCATTAACATGACTCTTCAAAGGGCTTTTTTCAGTCCAAGCACAACAAAAATCAGTCTCCCTACTCAACAGATGACTCACCTAAAATAAAGGTTAATTGGGAAGCCATAAGTTGCGTTCTAATAAACTAAACACAAGATAGCATAAATCTTCATTTTTGTTCCCGTGATGATCATATGTCCGTCCACCATGTTCGAACCTATCTCAGATTATGTTTTCACTTATCCCCTTCCACACATCTTTATAACTGTTGCTTTGCAACAATTTCCTTCAAGCGCAATTCGGAGCGAGGAAAGAGTTCGTTGACGCAACAATTGATTAATAGACATATATACTGAGGCTAAGATTCAGCACAGAACCAGCTTATCTAAAGAGGAAAGAAGCACTTATCTAAAAAGCTATACCAGGATTTTATAGGACATTTACTAAATTTTACTTTGCTAAATAATGTTTCTAATTTGTCTGTTAAATAAGCGAGACCTCTCCATACAAAGTGGTTTACAAAATTATGTATTATTTTACTAGTCTCCATATCAAGAGTTTGATGTATATTTAGCTA